CTAGAACTCGCTCGGTCCCGGTGATGCAAAGGGCACTACAACAAGTTTGGCAAGTCTTTTGGGGTGGCTTGGTGGCTTGCAGGCCGGCTGGTCTTGACGCCTTTGTCGGCACGTTGGGTGGGCGGGTGTCTGGGCACAAGAGCAGTACCCAGGACGGAGTACGGAGCATCTACTACAGTAGTCCACTCTCGGTGCCCTTGCTCTACTGTACTAGTGTTTTCCTTCAACCACGACCTTTTCACCTTCTGTCAGTCTTTACTGTGTCCACCATTTTGTACATTTTATTCTTTAGTCAATTTTGTGTCGTCGTTGTTCATTATCGTCGCCAGTGTACAGCAATCCTGATCTCTACCTCACTCGGCCGTCCAGTTTCTGTGAGGCCAAGCTCCTACCTCCTCCTGGCCCTTGCAGACGGGTCGAACCCCCCTCGCCTCGTCTCGGCGCCTTGCTCTCGTGCCTCCCTTTCTTTCTCCTTGGACACATATTCTGAAGCGGCTGTCTCTACATCTCCATCTTTCTGATCACAACATTGGGATCCTGGTTCGACATCCGCTGTTGATTGTCAGGGAAATGGTCTTTTGCGAGGCGCAAGAGCTTCGACACTGAACGATATGAACAACGACTCTTCACAGTTCCTGCAGCAAAATGCGCGAACCTCAACCTTCTGCTATCTACGTTGCACCACTACGAATCCGCAAGAATAGTGATGATGATGATGATGACGACGACGACGACCATGACAACCACGGGCCGTCCCCCAAAATGGAGGACTCGGGGCTGGGCACCACGAATCCACGACCAACGTCTATAGAATCACTCGACGGCATGGCCTCCACTCGCGCAAGATTCCACAATTACCTACGAGCCCTCTATCCCTTTCAGCCCTCCTCTCCTCACTCCTCCAGCACGGTCACGCTCCCTCTCAATGCCGGAGATATTATTTTGGTTCACTCGGTGCACGTCAATGGCTGGGCCGATGGCACACTATTGGAGACAGGAGCTCGTGGATGGCTGCCGACCAATTATTGCGAAGGTTACGACTATGCTGCCATGCGACCTCTGCTCAAGGCATTAACCGAATTCTGGGATCTCGTGCGCTGCGCAGGCGATTCAAACCTGAGTCTTTTCCGCAATCAAGACTACATGAGAGGCCTAGTTGCAGGAGTCCGCGCATTGCTGGAACGCTCCAGCTGTCTGACCCGGGATTGTTCCTTGGTCAAGAAGCACGATCCCATACGGAGGACTCGTAAAAACCTCCTCTCTGATCTCGCTCTTCTTGTCCGTGCGGCAAAAGAACTGCAGCAAGTAGTCGTGGGCCACGCGGCTAGCAAAGACACACTCGACATCCGTCTGGACGACATGCTGCTAAAGGCCTTCCGAATCGTTACCCGCGCGGTCTTGTTCTACGACGTCTGGACGGAGCAAGCTGATGCATCGCCGGGAGCTGCGACAAGGCCACCCGACTCTTCTTCAGAATCCGTCGCCATCACGCAATCTCAGCAGTCCAGCAAATCACAAGTTGCTGTCCGACGTCAAGGCTCAATATCTGTCAAAGCAAAACCTTCAGGCGCAACCGTCCTGTCGAAGCATAGCAGTCACAGTTCCACAGGTAACCCTACACACATGCGGCGACACTCGTCCCTCACACATCGCATGTCGTACAGTCGTGGCACGGGCCAGAAGAACTCCAACCTCATATCCGAATTCCTCAATCGCTCTTACGACGAATTTCTGACAGTACTGGCCTCGTTCCTGGGATCTCACATGCAATCTAGGTCATCGTCCGAGTTGTTACTCACCACTCAAAACGCCGTTCGGGCTTGTCGACAGCTGTTTGCTGTCGTCGAAACGGTCATTGATCGAGACTACAGCACTTCCCGGCCATTAGTTCAGGCCAAAGATTCCATGTACGACGCGATCACTGAACTGGTTCATGCTGCTCGCCAAGTTTTCAAGCCCATTCGCTCGATGGATGACGATCTGATTTATTCTCCTGACGAAGCGCACAGTCTAGTACAGGCTGCTACAGCCTGCGTCAGTGCTGCAGGTCGATGCGTGACAAGAACCAAAGCGACGCTAGAAGAGATAGGAGATTTTGAGATTGAGAACCTGAGTTACCTATTAGGACGTAACTCAGGTGGCTCTAGTACACCCGAGCCGACGAACTTCGAACCCTCGCCTCCGGAACGCCTTCAATCCTCTTCAGCATTGAGGTCACCCGCTGACAAGGGCTCAGACCAATTGGAGGAGCGCCCTCGCATCGTCATCAATCAGGGCCTGCTGACTCCTCCTCTTTCCCTCAACGCTGCCGAATCTCCTTCCACTGGCTCCGGTAGTGTTCCCCCTACACCGAAAGACGACGTGGTGTCGGAGATCATTCGCTCGTCGCCATTGCCATCTGCGTCTCTGACTCATCAGAAGATCTCTGCAAGCTCTCCAGTCTCCAATCAGTCCGCAGATATCAGACACCACCGCAAGTCAGGAGCCCGCGCAGTAGGAGGGAGTACGAGTAGTGACAGCAGCTTCGAACGCATTGAACGACGGTCGAATCCCAGCAACATATCCTCCGCGTCGACGCGAGTCACCTCGGTTCAGGAAGATCTTGGCCACTCGCTAAAGCCCCTTGGCTCGAGACCGTCACATGATGGTGGTGGCCGAGAGTCCCTTGACGATGACGAAGATGCTGAAGCTGAAATCCTTGTTCACACCTTTTCCCAAGAGCTTGTCTTTAATCGAGAAGGCATCATTGTTGGGGGTACGCTGAACGCCTTGGTGGAGCGACTGACCGCACCCGACTCAGCCCCTGATGTGTCTTTCGTCACCACAATCTACCTCACTTTCCGCTTATTCGCAACTCCAGTGAGCTTCGCTCGTGCCTTGATATATCGCTTCGAGTACGTGGGTGAAAATGTGAGCATCGCAAGCCCTGTCAGACTACGCGTTTATAATGTCTTCAAAGGCTGGATGGAATCTCACTGGCGTCATGACTGTGACGACACAGCACTTCCTGTCATTGTCGGCTTCGCAAGAGAGTCACTCATTGGTGTACTCCCAATGGCCGGCAAGAGAATTCTTGAACTGGCCGAGAAGGTAGCTACAAGCCATGCGCCTATCGTTCCTAGAGTGGTATCCGCCATCGGAAAGACGAGCACATCCACCGCGGCGTATATTGATCCGAACACCCCACTGCCAAATCCCGTCATTTCCAAGAGCCAGCTCAACGCATTGAGAGCTTGGAAAATGGGTGGACCATCCGTCTCCATCCTCGACTTCGACCCTTTTGAACTTGCTCGTCAAATCACGTTGAAGACTTCAAAGATCTTTTGCTCGATTCTTCCCGAAGAGCTCCTAGGCACGGAATGGACAAAGAGAAGCAGTTCCCTTGCCGTCAATGTCCGCTCTATGTCGACTCTGTCCACCGACATATCGAACCTCGTCTCCGATTCCGTTCTTCAACTCGAAGAGCCAAAGAAGCGAGCCGCCATCATCAAACAGTGGGTCAAGATTGCCAACAAATGCTTGGACTTGCGCAACTTTGACACGGTCATGGCAATCGTCTGCGCTTTGGACTCGACCAACATCAAGCGAATGAAGAAGACATGGGAATGCGTACCACAGAAGGCTAAGACCATATTTGACGAGATGTGTAAGATTGTCGACGTGGCTCGAAACTATGCTGTTTTGCGTCAACGTATTCAGTCCCAACTCCCGCCTTGCCTCCCTTTCATCGGCGTATATTTGACAGATCTTACCATGGTCGATTCAGCCAACCCTTCTACAAGGCCACTTTCGACAGAAGGCGGCGGGGCCCCGGTCATCAATCTAGACAAGCACATGAAGACGGCGAGGATCATCTCCGAATTGCAAAAGTTCCAAATCCCCTATCGCTTCGCCGAAGTCTCCGAGCTCCAGACATGGATGCAAGACCAACTCATCCGAGTCAGGTCTGCAGGAGATAAAAGTTTCCAACTTCACTACCGACGATCATTGATTTTAGAGCCCAGAGAACCTAGCAGGAGTCCAAATCCTGAATCAGCAACGGGAAAAGACAAGGAAAAATTCGACTTCTTTACGTGGGCACACCTGGGCCCAAAAGAGAAGTCAGTTTCAGTGTCGAGTTGATCAGAGACCTTCAGGTTGACGCAGAGCCCGGGCTTCAGAAGCGACGTTTTTATGATTTTCGTGCTTTCATTCTTCCCAGGATCGTTATGAGCTTATGATACCCCACGGACGTCTGTGTTTCTTGTTGATTTTGCTATGTCGCCTGCTAGCATGGGGTATAGGTTTTGCTTGCGAGGCGTTAGGTTGGGGATACGATATCAGTGCTTTGCTGCCTTTTGCTTGATTCTTGGCTTCTCGGGATTTTGGTTCAATGGTGGGAGGCTCAGTCCAAGCATCCATGCACTTGTTATAAGTGTAACTTATCACATGCGTCGTTCTTTACCGAGGACAGGGCCATATTGGGGCAGCTTGGAAGCAATATGTATGCATTATGGATGAAGCGGGGTTTTGTTTCCGCTAAACAACAATCGGTTCTTCTGCTGGTAGTGCGGCCATGGCTACCTGGGTAGGGAAACGAGCTCTGAGATCTAGTGGTACGGGACAGCTTTCCAAAAGGCAAGGCAGGCAGCGGCCATGATAGCATAAGTTTCTCGACAAACTCTACCGCATGATGTACATATACGCGCCAAACTGACGACAGGAATTGATCAAACACACAATGTCTCGCGAAGCTTGCTCTTCAAGGCTCATGACTTTCGTAATTTATAATGTTCTCTTTACTATGTTGGCTTGCATCAATGTGGGAGCATGGTCCTCATTACGATAAGCTGAACAGGAGATCTTGGTCACATCCGTAAGATGTTTCTAGATAATCGGCTCTATGCCTAATATGTAGAGACTTGTGTGTGAGGAGCAGTATCCAAACCAGCGCAGCAAGCTTTAGGAGGAAGCAACAAGGCCACCACTTCCTCGTACCGGCACCCCCCAAAGAATGCGGATCACCAGCGCTGTCCAAACCGGCTTCGCACCCAGGGTTGATAATAGCCTGAGTATTCTCTCGCCCTGGAGATGCCAAAGTGACCGGCAACATTGACGTAGCCGTCTTCGGTATGTTCGCCAGCCCTTTTGAGCGCTTCAGCGTCTGGGATATCCGTCTCCCAAGGTGTTCGACAGTAGACGCAACGCACGCCCTTCCCCGCTTGGCTCTTCGCCCACTGGTTAAAACATGACTTGTGTATGTTGTGTCCACATTGCGCTTTGCACCAGACCAGCTCGTTGTGCTCCTCATCAAGGTCCATGTAGCAGATTGGACATTCTCCATCGGTAGGCTTGCGGCTGCCCTTTGAGTCTTCGGAGAGATCGGTAGGGATTGGAGGCGCATGGGCAAAGATTTCTTCGAGCTCCGAGGTCAGGAGGGCAAGTTGGTACTGAAGATGCAAAGGCGCTTTGAGGACAGTGTGAAGAGCGTAGACTTTGTGTTTGCACTCATTGCCTCTGAGCGAGTCAGGACATGTGCAGGTCGGCGAACGGCTGATGGTGACAGTGTAGATGTTTCCTGTCGAACCCACAATGTCAATGTCTTCAGACGGGGCTCCCGCCATGATGTTCCTTTTGCGACCTAGCACAATCATGCGTTGAGTCTGGGCTCGCTTGAGCTTAACGAGGAAAGACGCTGGAGGTTTACTTCTGTATCTGCGCATTCGCTTCTCCTCAACTTCTTCTCTTGTCCTTTTCTTGGGCGTAGTGGTGGTGCTTCTCCTTTTGGTTCTGCATTTTGCCCCGTCCACTTTTTCTGGATAACTTTCATCTCTAGCAGTGCTTTGTGTTTTCTCCTTCTTGAGATCCTGTACGCTCGGTGATGCACTCATTCCGGCTGGTTGATGGAGCGGCAATTTTAATCGTGATGGAGATCTGAGTTTCATCGGGGCAGTTTTCACGACTCCTCCGCGGCTGGAAACACGAGACACCGTCGTGAGAGGCATTTTAGGCAATGAAATTTGGTGCCTTGAGAGGGAATCGAGTATCTAATAGTGGTCAGTAGGTTGCCTCTGTTCTGGGTGGCGGGGAAACGGTGGAAAGAACGGGGTAATTAAGCTCCTTCCTTTAAAGTGGCGGCTGGCAGAACTTTAACAGGCGCAGCAAGGTCCTTGGGTCCTTGTCTCGGACCTCTGACCAACCAAGCGTTTCTTCAGAGGTTGAAGAGAAATGAACTGACCCAAGAACTTAAGGATTCGACGCCCCTTATAATTCTCTACGCCTACATTGTTGGCGAGACGTCTCGCACATCTCAAGTTCCTCTGCAGTACATGCCGCCCTCATTGACCGTCTCACACCAAGTGAACTTTAAGCAGAGCATGCAAGGGAAAGGGCAAGCTGGTCACGATCTATTCCGGTCAGCTCAAAGCCACGCCCTCCTGCTGCCGAGATCCCTACATTCACTAAAGCGAAGTAGACTTTGATTGAGAACCAACTGCGCTTTACCAAGTTCCATGCGGCTCCAATACGGTTTCATAGTTGCGCGGTTTCGCTCGCGATGAATATGCTTAAGTGCGGCATGGTCGCCCTTCCGTTCATCCATTCCAATTTACACCAAGTTTTGAGAATGTCCACCGGGGTTTTGCGCAGAATCTATAGCTGTTAATCTTGTGCAACTCTTGGACCGTTCGGATAATATACTCACAGTCTGTGGTCACAAAGGCTCTGTCAACCTCGGTCAATGCCTCGCAACAGTATTGCAACGTCTCAGCAATGTCATGTGTGCGCCTCAATGGTGTCTTTCCATCTAACAAAATATCGAACTCTGTCCACACGCCATCCCCCGCATGGTACGCAATAACCGACTTGAATCCAGACACCAGGGCTCTGAACCGATAAGCGAGATATATCAATTTCTTTTGGTGCGTCTCGTCCACCGCGAGACCGCAAAGCCTGCTGACATTTTCGACGCAGGTACCCGCCCAGTCGTAAAGAATGTACAAGGAAAGCAGTGCCGCCCCCAAAGGATCCAGCCACCAAATGCCCGCCTGCTTTCCGATCAGCGGAAAGAGCAACGAGAGCGTATTGAAGTAGACATCTGTCTTGCAATCCTGCGCCAGCGCTTGCACTTGTGTGGTCTTGATCCTCATACATCCCAAGCCGATCAGACCTTTGATCCCGACGGTCCCAGCCATAGACGATTGCCAGTGGGGGCAACGAAGCAATGTCGTGGTTACCATTCGGAAGCAATCTCGCAATGGATTCTTGCAGGATTTGAAGGAAAGATATAACCATGATGATGGAAAACACAAGGATCCCGATGGGTTCCAGCCTCCGCCGACCGACTGGGAATTTCCTCGCAAGCGCTGACAACCTCCAAGAGACCAGCTTGTTGGTCGCCCACACGATCCCTGTGCACAGCAGATCCAGCGCCGAATCGACAAGAGAGGCAATCAACGACAAGGATGAGGACTTGAGCGCGGCTATTCCCTTGTCAACGAAGAGAATGATGTTGGCAATGACATTGATGTTGATGGCCCATCGCGCGTTTTGATCTGCCTTTTGCCTCATTTTTCGAACCTCCTCCGGCAGCAAGTAGTGAATGAAATGTGCTCTTCAACATGCTGCAGTCTGCCTTCTCTTTCTCGAATCCCGTCGTGATCAGCGTCGGTGTTCATGCTCTCCATAACCTCGTCGGCCATGGCTAGCACTATGGTGTCCACTTCGGCCCAATCGTTCAACGTAGCGTTTTGCTTCTCGAAGAATTTCCGGACCTTTTTGTTTTCAATTTGCTTCAACTGAGTGCCACGTGTCAGCTGGACACAGTCGTCCATTGGCGCGTGCTGTTACCGCTTTATCACTTTTCCTGGCCTTCTCGAATGCTCCTCTATCCACCCCTTCTCGCAGCTGCTCCTTCAAAACAGCCGTGGTTTGGCGATCCAAGGCATATTCGACGGCATCCTTGAAGCCAGGAAAGCGTCTGTTATGGTTCCCCGACTCCAGATCTGGCTGCCTCCAATGGTCATCTGCCTGATTCTTGGGTGGATGGAGAGTTCGTTTACCGACCATCGTATAGCTGCTCTGAGGCTCTGAGGGTCGACCTGACAGGGTTCAATTTTACGGATAAGTGTCAGAGTTGAAGTTTTTGCAGCAAGAGGGCGTAAGTATAGGGCGCTCGCGAAGGGGATATGGCCAGATGCCATTGTTGATATAAGGAGCAGATCTCATCAAGGCCGTGGCGCGGCCCCCTGCTTCGATGACGACATTGAACCAACCGTTTCCCTGTTTCATCCTCCAAAGCAGCGCAGAAGCAACAAGCTTTCCCGTCCAAGGAAGCTTGGTCGTCAAGCGAATCTCTAGTCAAGGCCTAGTTTGGGGCAGGATGGCTCGCGTAAGCGACACTGACCAACCTTTTTGTGGCCCCTGGGCCTCACATGCCCACCAGCCCTACGCTCGTCCTCACGGCAGCGTGCCTATCACCGATGAGTCCGAAGGTCCGACCAGATAGGCTTCCGCTCATTTTGGAGGCAGGATTCGGCCACATTCAAGTCTAAATAGCCCCTTCAAAACCTCCTTCCATGACATCAATGACAAGTGCAGAAAGTCAGCTTAGGCAGCTACATGGTCGTCCCACAGGAACATGATCATTGTGCATCGACAGGCCCGGTTTCGGTCTCCTAAGAGAAGAACAGCGCTTATAGTCGTACGGTGGAAAACCAAATAGGGTATGTTGGCTGTTGATTGTGGTATCGAAGTCCGCGAGATCGGGAGACATTGTAGAAGCAGTGTGCGAAGATAACATACGCCCGGGCTTGTTGGAATAGTTTGCGGGACAGAGACATGTACAGTGGCATCGTTCCTAAGGCTCCGTCAATTCCCAGACTTTCAAGAGCACAAATTCCCGTGGATTCAATTGAACAACTAACTCAGTCCCGGAGGTTTCTGGCCACGTATCTTACTGAGCAAGCGTTCTGTCCTGGTACTTAAGGCTACCACTCGCATTTGTATCTGAGCCAGATCAGGAGCCGTCCTATTCGTGGTTGAACTTGAAGCTTGGCTTCTCGTGGTCGCCGAATCCGGAAGACTTGTTGAAATGCTGGCATTTTCTATGGGCGAGATGGTTTCGTGGGTCTGCAATTCTATGATCCCATCGGATTCATTCTGTTTCTCGACGACCTCATTGTTACCAGCGGATACTCTTGCCTCAAACTCGGGGCTGGGATGCTTGCGGTTGCCATGAGCCCATGCCTTCACCAATTCGAGCTTGACGCCCGGTTGCTCCATAAAGTCGCCAATGACGCCTGTCGCCTTGCATTTCTCACAAATGTCAGGAAATACGTGTAGGTTGTCGTTGACGATGTCCTCGCAGACTTGATGGGTGCTTGTGATCAGCAAATTAGAAGTTAATAGTTTGTCCACCATGTGAGCGCACTGCACGATGGTCTTGATTTTGGCATGTCCGCAAAGGTGATATATAGTGCGTGATTCACACATCTTGCAGGGGCATCTGTGATAGAGAAAAGAATATTTTAGATTTGTACAGGAAAAGAGTGTCTCGATGGGAATCGTAGCTAGTGTCACTTGTCATTCTATAAGGTCTACCACCATCTTGTTCCCTGAGGAAACCAGAAAAGGCACATTCTGGACAATGAATACCAAGTTAGAGCTCCTTTGTCGGAAGGGCCCAATTTTAGTATCGCTCCATGCTTCATGATAAGCGCTGATTCTTTGTTCGGGTTCTTTATATTTGAGGGGTGTAATCAAATGATCATTAGAGTAGCGTATGCGAGACATGGCCGAGGATGGGCGTTGAGTGGCCGATGATAAGTGAGTGAACAATGTTCATTATTGGGCTCTGGCAGTCGGAGGCCGAGTTGCCTATCTGCGCCGCCGCGCCGCCCTTTGTTGTCGACCGAAGTTTTTTCGGGAAGACAGGCCTTCTTCTCGCTTTCCTAGCCAGCAGCCGCTGGGTATTTAACGTAAGAGTGCTTTGGGGCGGTCAAGGGGGCGATATGGTTAATGTTTTAGGCAGTGGCAAGGTTTAACGTGGTGACATCAGTGGCGTTGGGGCGAATCTGGGGTTGGACTTGGCAATTGGGATCTAGCTATTGGCACCAGCTAGGGCTTGGCCTCTACTGGTATTTACCTACTTCGTTGCATCTGCACTCTTACTAGGGGCCCTACTGGCCCCTAGGCTAGTGCTTAGTTGAGTCAAGCTTTTTTCTACTCAGCAATTACTTTTACTTCATGCCTACTACTCTCTACTGTATGTACATCAGTACTGCTCCTGGTTTGTGCGGGTCATTAAACCTCCACTCGTGCTTCGACTTTCTCTTTCCAGCCACGAAGTCGATCATGTCCGTTTCCTATCTTTTTAGCTTGCCTGCTCGGTCCGTAGTCGAAGCCCCTTGAACGTCTCCTGGAGCGCCGTGAACTTGCATGGATGATTTGATCTACTCCCGCTGACGTAGCCTGCTTATGAAGTCGATTGAAATCATGCACGCCCTTTTCGCCTTCTTCTCCTTTGATAAAAAAGCCCTCGCTCCTCCCCCTCCTGCTCACCTTGCAGCGCTTCTCAGCGCACTTTGGACCAACTTCAAAATCTCTGCACAAACATCAATATGGCCGAAACATGTCGACCATCAAGGACTCCACGACGGAGGACCAGTGTCCATGAGGATGCTGCCATACTGGCGGGAATGGGGGTGAAACAGGAATTACAGCGCAATTTCTCCTTTCTGTCCATGCTAGGACTGGCCTTTGCAATTCTCAACTCGTGGACCGCTCTGGGTGCGAGTTTGTCGTTGGCTTTGCCCAGTGGAGGTCCTGACTCGGTCATCTGGGGTCTTGTTGTCGCTGGTATCTGTAATCTGTGCCTGGCCGCGTCTCTTGCTGAATTCCTCTCGGCCTATCCAACCGCCGGAGGCCAGTATCATTGGGTCGCCGTCATCAGTTGGAAATGCTGGGTGCCACTTCTCTCTTGGATCACCGGCTGGGTCAACACCGCTGGTTGGGTCGCTTTGACAGCAACTGCCGGACTGTTGGGAAGTCAACTCGTCCTCGGCATCATTTCGCTCACATCGCCATCCTACCAGACCCACCGTTGGCACCAGTTCTTGATCTACATTGGATACAACGTTTTTGCCTTCATGGTAAATGCATTCATAACTCGGCTGCTTCCCCTCGTCAACAAGGCTGCGTTGATCTGGTCCATTACAGGATGGCTTGTGATTTCCATTACCGTCCTTGCCTGCTCTTCTCCGAATTACCAGGGCGGAGATTTCGTGTACCGCACATTCATCAATGAAACCGGCTGGCCGAACGGACTTGCTTGGCTGTTGGGTCTCTTGCAGGGCGGTCTGGGATTGACTGGGTTTGATGCAGTCGCTCATTGTATTGAAGAGGTGGGAAATCCTACGGTGCTGGGTCCTAGGATCATGATCGGCTGTGTCTTGATTGGCGTCATGACGGGCTTCATTTACCTCAGTGTTCTTTTGTTCGTCTCCAAGAACGTGCAAAACGTTATCAGTTCTTCTGCGGGTCCGATGTTGCAGATCTTCTATGATGCTACTTCGAACAAGGCCGGGTCTGTGTGTTTGTTGATGTTTCCCCTCGTCTGCTTGCTGGTGAGTGCTTCAATAACCGATCCTGCACGAGCAGCGATATGGCTAACGTTCGTCAAAGTTTGCTGCGGTAAGCATCATGACCACCAGCAGCCGAATGGTGTACGCCTTTGCCAGAGATGGGGGCTTGCCAGCCTCGCGCTTCTTCGCCAAAGTTCATGGACGACTCCAGGTCCCCTTGAATGCGCTTTGGCTGACTCTGATTCTGGTCATTATCTTCGGCTGCATATTCCTCGGGTCCAGCAGTGCCTTTAACGCTATTGTGTCGGCTTCGGTTGTGGCCTTGGGAATCACTTACGCCATTCCTCCCACGATCAATTGCCTTCGGGGCCGCAAAATGCTGCCAGCATCTCGTCCGTTTATACTGCCAAATTGGCTTGGGTGGACATGCAATTTGGTAAGCTTGTTCAGAAAACCAGAACTCCAGATTTTGACGAACAACAGATTGGAATTGCCTACGTGATCCTCACCACCGTTCTTTTCATGTTCCCGCCGGTATTGCCCGTGACCGGCAGCAATATGAACTACTGCGTTGCAGCATTCGCAATTGTCCTGATTGTCTCCACGATCCAGTGGTTTGTTGACGGCAGAAAGAACTATGCAGGGCCGCAAATTGATCTTGGCGCCTTGAAAGCTGGGGAAATCGTTGGTATGGCTCTGGATGAGAGTAACCAAGCTAGAGCGAGCGATGATACATTGTTCGGAGGTCAGGAAAAGAAGGTGGTGCCGGAAGACTGATTCGTAATGCAGCTCAAGCTCAGCCTGCCTTGATCAGTCAGGCCATTCAGGGTCCTCCTCTCTTTGGAACACAGCAATATACTTCTTTCCGCCATTTCTCGTGACTTTCTTGGACTCCTCTGTTTCCTCGCTCATGACCTCGACGAAAGGATCAGCATCCAGCTCCTCCTGCGCTACTCTCTTCCACAATTCCTTCGCGCCGCCCGCTGCTTCACCTTCAAAATGCTTGACCATCCACTGATGCAGCTCTTCGACGTCCGTGATGGTATAGACCAAGCCGCCAGGTTTTGTCACAAATGCGTATTCGGCGTTCAGCTGTGCAGAGACGATGCGGGCCTTGTGCTTTCGCTGCTTGAAATGCGGATCCGGAAAGCAGAGGAATATCTTGGACAGCTGAGCGCGGCGGAAGTAGTTGGGCAGAAATTTCATCGTATTCGTGCGGAGCGCCGAGATGTTCTGGTAAAGCATGGCTTTGCCCTCATTAGTGACGGACGCAGATTGGTTTTGGGCGCGGAGAGCAACTATTCGGTCGACGACATAGTCAGTGACTTGAGCTCGCAGCTCCATCCCTAGCCCTTAAATCAGCAAAATGAAAAAGGCAAAGGGAAGCCACTGGCGCAGACCAAGCATCAAAGTCTCCGGGAGCAACGGCGCCAAAGCCACCAGAAGACCACCAAACCCACAGCCAATATCTGCGATCTCAACTTCTCTGCTCACGCTGTGGCGTTGGCCATTCTCAGCTTCGCTGTTTGCGAAAGCCGGGTAATGGCATGTCCAGTCCATGTCGGCAGGACTGGCGGGGCTGTATGGAGACAAGTCAGATCTGCCATTTGAATGAGGCCATACAACATACTAGGTCAAAGCATGGTCCGAGAAAGGATTTGCATGGGCCCGCTGTCGATAGAACTTTTTCTTGGGCAACTCGATCTTGCCGCTACCACCGCAATCCCTCCTAGCTTTGAGGTGCTCTTGGGCCTTCTTGTAATCTTCTCGTTTCTGTCGTTTATTCGAAGGTCCCGTCATATTTCCGATTTGGAACTGAAGGAACTTCGATTCTGTCGACAGGGCGCAAAGTTCAAGATGGAGCGCTTCAGCCTACATTGTACGAGCACGCCGTATTTAGGTAGCTGACTGGGCTTGGCATGCCCCAGGGTCAACGGCTGGTGAGGCTTTAAAAAGCTTATTCGAGTAGTAATGTAACGTCCGGGCATCACTCTCGACTTACTTCCCACCGGAGTCTTTATTGCGATCCTGGCTGTCTGGCTCAGGTAGGCACGTGCGATGGATAGGATGAACCGAAAGGGTAACAAAATGAATCAGTATTCAGCAACCAGGCATGGTAATATTGTTTACGCAGTTGCTGAAGAGTTCATCTATGAGGGTACGAGCAGCTGCACCGTCAGCTTTGTTACTCTTGGGGACCATGGACAGAGATCTATCAGGCTTCGCGTCACGCAGACATCACCACGATTCGAACTCTTCTCTTGCCTTTCTCTCTTGCACCGCTCTTCTCCTCTGAGTTCACTCTAACTTTCAGCTGCTGAAACAGCTCAACCGCAACCCCCTCTTGTTCATGACCTTTCTCAAAGACTGTAAGCCGATATGACTCGGCATCAAACTTGCTCTCTAGCTTCAAGGCCTCACCAGCTTTTAAATGGAAATCCTCGAGCCGGACTAGTCCTTCAATGCCTAACTGCGGGACGAAAACCACGGTGCCGTTTTCGAACACGCGCATCACATACCCATCAACATCGATGGCGGCGTCCGGGGCTTTCCCAGACCGTGCTTTGAGCGCTTGCCCGACATAGTATTCGATGCTGGCACGACCCGCCAGTTGGGCATTTCGGTGTCGGAAATTGAGATTCTGACAGACTCGTTCCAACTTGCCCTTGTTTCGAAGATCATAGTCCACAACCTCGCTTCCCTGGCCATCATATCCAATCGCGTAGGCCAATTGACGATGGACGAGCAGATCTGCATACCGGCGAATGGGACTCGTAAAATGTGTATAGATCTCACTAGCGAGACCATAATGTCTATATTCTGGCTCTGCGTGCGAGCCGCTGCAGAAGTATTCGGCCGACGTCATACAGCGTGTTGCCATGATTCGGATCAAGGTGTTGAAGAATGGATGCTTTGGATCTACACAGAGATCCAATGAATCTGCTAGTGCCTTTGAGCTCGACACGTCGAGCTCCAAACCGCGCATTCTCTTCAACTGCTCACTGAGGTCTGAAAAGTTCGATGCCGGGGGTGTTGCATGTCGTCGCAACAAAGCAGTTTGAGGGAAGACCGACTGAATCTTCCTAGCAACCGTGACGTTGGCGAGAAGCATAAATTCCTCAACGAGTGAGTTGGTAGCCAAACTCGCCTTCGTCTTCACATCGGCTAGAGAATCAGAAGATTCACTATCTGCTTCAATTCTAACTTCTGGGCTCGACAGATTCAACGCTCCGGCGTCCATCCGCTTTTGACGAAGCTTTTGGGAGAGTGATAGCAAGGCCCGCATGCCTTGAGTGAGTTCATCCGTTGCACCTGTGTCGTCAATGCGCTTCTGGGCTTGTTCATATGAGAAGCCTTCCTTGGACAAAATCACAGACTTGGTGAAAGAAGATGACACAACTTCCGCGTCTGGAGTGATCTCCCATATGGTAGAGAATGCATATCTTTCAACATGGGGTTTGAGGGAGCAAAGGTCTGTTCCGAGCAACATAGGCAGCATGTCAATTCGCTTGTCAACCAGGTAGACAGTCGTGCCTCGAGCGGAGGCCTCTTCGTCCATGGCATTGCTAGGTTTGACAAAGTGAGACACATCTGCAATATGAACACCCACCTCAAAGTTTCCATTTGAGAGCTTTCTTGCGTGGAGGGCATCGTCAATGTCTTGACATCCGGGAGGATCGATCGAGCAAACAAATAGATGTCGGAGATCTTGCCGACCTTTCCAACCAGGGTCCGACGATGCAACCGGGATCTTCCAGAAGTGACCCTCCGAAGGTAAGCAGTCTAAAACCGCTTTTGGAAACGGTCGATACTGGACGTCATATTCGAGAAGTAACGCTTCAGTCTCGGCATCCTTAGTCTCTAGTTCCCCAAGCGAACGAATATAATGGCCAGCTGGATATCTGGTGTCTCGCTCCCACGAGTCGATTGTCGCAAGAATCCGCTTGCCTATCAACTCATCGATCTGACGTGTTCGAATCCGAATCTTTGGAATGCGCTTGTCCATTGGAACCAAAAAGACCGTGCTCTGTTTGTTTCCAGACGTGTTCCCAGACACGGCATCAATGGTTCCAACCAGCTGTCTCCAGTTCCTCTTGATAACTCCAACCACTTTGCAGGTAGGTTGAGCTTTTGTTTCTGCACTGGCAATATGTGCGCGGCGAACCTCCTCCTGGAGTGCTCTTTTTTCATTTTCCGTAACCACTGTCTCCTCTTGTTCCTCGTCTTCCGGATTGTCGTTCTTGTTGACTGTTTCCTCGTCGAGGATCTGAGCCGAGGGAGCTTTCCACTGGTCTTTGGGTAGAATCTCAACAACCACGACATCGCCAGATATGGATCGATTGCTGTTTTCCCTCCCAAGGACCAATAATGGCCTGTCAAAGGCGGGGACTTTGACCGTCCCCTCCAAGTAGTTGTATGGAGAAACATTAAAGACTCCCTGGTGCAGCGTTCCAGCTTTGATTCCGGTCATTATCCGGGACATGGAATAATATTCAGGGTAGTAGAGCTGCACTTGAGCTGCGCGGACTTCTTGAGCTTCAGCGCCTTGGCTTACCATGTCAAGTAATCTATCGGCATCGTCCAATCCGCCCACGTATTCCAGCAGTGATAGGGCGGTCACGTTCTCTTTTTTTGACCTTTTCCGATTCTCCTGATCATTGGTGAGAACCACGATTGTGGGAGGTTTCTTTGTCACTTTTTGTAGATGATTGGTATACCATTCCGCTGCTTTTCTCACTGATCTGTCGTTTCTGTCATTGATTGACTCGCCGCTTTTTCGTCGCACCGCAGTTTCGAATCGAAACTCGTTGAAGAACAGATAGAAACGCTTGTCTTCGCTCTGGGCTAATGCCATCAGTCTGTTGTAGAGAGGAAAACTCCTATTCTTCAACTCTTCCAGAACTGTCTGGAGTATGATGACATCGCAGAAGTGAGCTGGCTCTTCTAAGAGGTCCATTGCGCTAAGCAAGACATTGGTATCGGGGATTAGGTAGTGCCCATTGGGAAAGGTTTTGGTGTTGGTCGGTTTCTTTGACAGGACGAACTTAGGGACTGATGATATTATTAGAACATGAAGAAGTACCCGAAGCAAGCAGAGACACATACCAACCCCATTGGCATTGGGCGCGGCTGTGGAAGCACAAGACGTGCACAGTTGCGAGGAGCAGGGAATATCTTTCCTCAAATATTGTTCTCTCACCACTTTCTGGACCCGGCCGCTTTTGGTGGACCGAATGAAGACTTTACTGGAAATGTTGGCAACATTTGGGTCGGCGGCGAGACCTCGTTTGAGGCTTTTCATCTTCTCTGCGCCCGCGCCGGTAACGGTACAGGTCTACTGAGTGCGAAGCGAGGGTATGGTACTGGGACACTGAGGGCTGCTGGAAATTGTTCAACTTCCCCCACACATCACACAGTGGTGCAGAGATTGCGCTGCGAAAATAAACCCTCCACAGGACTCACAACTACGGTGGAGTATATGCGCCAACAGTGCTCTCTAAAGTCCCAAAGTCCAAAAGCAAAACCAAGGGGAGGGGATTGTCAATTCCATGCCGCCGGTTCCCCGCGCAGTGCACCTGTGCCGAGCACATCGGAGTTGATTCCAAATGGCACTTACGTTTGTCCGATAATATGGATCTCGTTCGCTGGATTGATTTCTTGGGACGTTCTGGGCCGTGGTGCATTCCCATCGTGAGACCTGTCTTCACGATGTGATACGATCCACTCGGTTGCCTTATTGGAGGCCACTTCAGCTGAAAATCCCACCTTGAAGGTGCTGATATTCTCCCTCACATCCTCTTTTCACTACCTTCTTGTTTCTCTATGTCCGGTCCCTATATTCAGACGGCTCTTTGCTCGCAACAGGGCATGAATCGATAGTGAGCAGAAATTAGCAACATGTCCGAGGAGCCACCGTACGTCGTCTCCCCTACAGCCGACTCATCTTCCACCGCCCGCCCTGCCACGTTCATTTTTCTCCATGGCTATGGAGATGATGCCGAAGGCCTCCCGCTGGGGCTGGCTCAACAGTTCCAGTTCAACAACAAAATGCAATATCTGAAATGGGTTCTGCCTAATGCACCGCACAATCACGAGGCCATGGCTCGAGCATGGTATGTCCCCAAGGCCTTGCCCAACGCCGTAAAGCCTCGAGTGCCGGGGCATGAAGGTGAGGAAGATGCTCCAGATGATGAGGTCGGGATCATGCAGAGCGTGGACATGTTGGATCAGCTTGTCGAACAGGAGATCAAGAATGGGACGCCCTCAGAGAGAATCGTCGTCGGTGGATTCAGTCAAGGTTGTGCGGTGAGCCTGGTTTGGGGTCTGACCGGGAGGCTCAAACATCAAGTTGCGGGAGTGCTCTGCCTGTCTGGGTACATGCCCCTCCAAACCCGGATACAACAGCTGAGAAATGAGAGGGGAATCAAGGACGACGACAAAGATCCCAAAAGATGGTTCTACGTTCATGGTACAATGGACATGTTGGTTCCCACAAGACTCTTTGTACAAGGCAAAGACGAACTGGCAAAATGGGTGGACAAGGAGAATATCGAGGAGCACCTGTACCAGGGCATGGGCCATTCTACGAATTCTGCCGAGTTGAGAGACATGCTGGCATTCTTCGAAAAGGTCATCCCCGAGTGAAAGCGTCCGTAATCACTCTCCAGGCTGTTTCAATTCGCAAAAAAAGGTCATGAAAATATCTGACGTAAGAATTCGATGTTGATTATTTAGCTGCGCAATGCGTAGCACAAAAGAGCGACCTTTCGAATCAGACAGAGCCAGTACATTCCAACCCAACAGAACGTATCTCGTCAGATCTCCTTTTGAAGTTCATTCTTCTTCAGCCCTGGCAAACGTGACACATGGTCACAATGAGCCGTTGTTTCATCGTGGGCAAGTCTGCGAGATTCAATCAATTTCGTTAGCGAGTGCCCTCCTTGTCAAGTAACTTCTGACGAACGCGCTTTTTTGCTGGAGCCGCAAGACTGATTGTGGTTGAAAATAGCTTCATGCAGGGAAAGAATCATGTTTGCTTGGGCCTGAGCAGCGCCGTTGCGCGAGTTTCGACCACTCCCACTTCCTCTAACTGCCTCAGGCGTAGCACAAGTGAAAAAAGAAAAAGACTGCGACGACCATTCACCCTCACTACTGCCACGGCCCGTGAAAAATATATAACAACAGCCTAGAAAAGAAAAAAAGGGACAGCAGAAGGAAAGACGTACCGCTCCACAAGATCCACAAGTCTTGCTCCCAGAAGAAATAGTCGCTCCACATTTAGGACAACCAGAATGTGACATGGTGCACCGGTCTGAGAGTGAGGGTGGGATTCGATTGAATATGTATTTAGGCCGACGAGGAGTAGAGGTGATGGGTCTCTGGGATGGGACAACGGCCAATGTACAAGTATGGAAGGTGCGGCCGAGAATATATTTGGAACGCTGCTGGTCTGAAGGCGAGTGAAGGGGACAGTGGCGATGTGAGATTGATGGAGGGGCGCTTGGTTGAGTGGCAGTTTTTATACATTTTGGCTGGTGCCCCTCGCCCTTCAAGTACCCACCCGTAGCGGGCACTTACAATTGGACCGCTCACTGTTAAAACGTACGAGGTGCGTCTGCTCGACTCTTTCTCCTCCATCATCAGGGCGTGTCATGTCACGAAGCAGAGCCATGTTTTTGCATGCGTCTTGGAATCAGACAAGCCTCAAGACGGCATCTAAGGCAGACGTGTCTAGTGAGACTAGACAGTCGCCTCTATCGAGTTGGGTACTTTCTCACTTCACTTCCCTCGACCTCTTCCTCAAACCCTTTACCGCAGACTTGATCAATTTACCTACCGGTGCGAATGTTGGACACTCTCTAGTGAGAATTGAAGAGACATGGATTTGTCTTGTTAACCTTGTAACTTCTATTGTTCTCTGTTGTTGTCAGATTTATCTAGGATGTCAAGCCAGCCAATGCCCCAATCTATATACAAGTCATATTAAGAACTGCCATTCTTCCCACGCTTTTTGTTAGGGCTGTGGTCACAATTTGACCGGATACTTCTTCCGAATCTTCTCTCCATATCGGAAGAAGATCCAGCTCATTGGCGCCATAGCAAGCGCAATAAATGCGAGCAGAGAATTGCCCCAACCCAGGCCTAGAGCCGCGTACATACCAGGCCCTGCCAATGGAAGGAAAGCACCCATCAAACTCCTCAAAACCGTGTTGGCAGCAATTGCCGAGGCCGCATGAATGTGATAGGCATCGACGAGATACGTTTGCACAGGCATGAACGTGGCAAGCAAGCCCAGTCCCACGAAGAGAGTGCCAATGATGGGCATGATCCAATGAATGGCTTTGTCCGCGGACCATCCGTACCAGAACAAGCCAATTGGAATGACTAAACTGCCAGGAATGAGCGGCGGCAGCCTGTATTCTGGCTTCATTTCTCCCTTGGCGGACATCTTCTTCACCACTTTGTCTGACAGCGCTCCAAAGATGACTAGGCCAGTCATGGAACCAATTCCGATCCCGAGAAAGCTCAAGCCCACTGTGCCTTGACTGAAATGGTATTGTCCTTCGAAGACTATGGTGAGCGTGGTGAACAGGAGGTAGAGGTAGCCGTAGATGACTGCCATGTAGACAGACAGCAGCAGTACGATCGGGGAGAAGATAAGCATTTTGGTGGGTCGAACGAGGGCGCGGATGAAGAAGTCGCGCGTGGGAATACCCTGGTCGAGCTTGGAGCGAAGGTTGGGATTGCCCGTTTCCTTTCGAAACCGTTTTGTCCGCCACTGAAGGAGAACTGGCTCGAAAGTCTCGCGCATGAAGATGACTGAGAAGCACAAGGCGACACCACCAGCAATCGTGATGACCCAAAAGATCCAGCGCCAGCCTGCGCCTTCTCCCAGATAGCCACCTGCCACCGGGCCGATGACCGGGCCCATCAGTGGTCCCAACGCAAACAAGGCCATGGCTCCACCTCTCTTCTCTTGGACGATGAGGTCTGCGATCGAACCGCCACCAATGGTGAGCGGGCAACTTCCAGCAATACCCGCCAGAAGACGGAAAACCAACAAGGAGCCCATCCCTGGAGCCAAAGCGCAAGCCATCGTCCAGATAACGAACATAAAGTTGCAAATGTGGTAAATAGGCAGTCTGCCCCATATTTCGCTACAAGGAGCGAGAAATAGAGGGCCGAGGGCATAACCCAGGATATAAATGGAGACAATGAAACTGGCAATCGTCTCGTTGGAAGAATGGAACTCTTTCATGATTAAGGGTGTGGCCGGCGCAACCATCGACGAAGCTAGAGGTGTCAGGAAGGTGACGGTGGAGATGATGGCCACGTTTGACCATTTCTTCCTGTTGGGCCAGTTGATGGCCTTCTCAGGGTCATTTGGCCCATCCCAATCGACGACATTTGGGTCGTGGTCGACGGTTGTGACGGGCGGCGTCTTCTCGTCCGCATCCTGACTGGTGTCGATAACCGGAATGCCATGTTCTACATCTGGATCGAGCGGTCTTTGGCTGCGTTCTTGCTCTTTCTCAAAGAGGGAAGTTGAATGACTGGAGGCGATTACCTCGTCGCATTCTAGGTCCTTGTCGTGAAAATCAACAGAATTTGGTGACTTGGACTCGGCCGCCATGCGATCTGGAACGCCATTTTGCCCTCGTCAGTATATGCACATAATGTATACATGTTGCAACGCGAGCGCCTGGGGTATTGGAAAGTGGTTTGTTATTCGCAAAACGTACCGTCTGTCGCTGGACGTTGCGTGGTATATGTACCTTGTGGGGCCCAGCCCCCGGGTCAGCAAGTAAGCTCGCGTAAATGAGCGTCCCGTGCCACGCGGGAGGATGGATCGTTACAAGAACGTATGTAAATGGAAGGATGAAGCTTAAAAGAACGATTCAATGGTGGTCGGTTGAAATAAATATACAGTGGGAAAGAAGGCGGATATCAAACAAAGGCAGGCAGATTGACTTGTTCACCAGAGACGGGTCTTCTGCGATCTCGGCGGACGTCCTCACCTACTTAGTTATTTATTTAGCGGTTCATAAACTCTCTTCTGATGGCCTGCCGGACCCTTTCAACGGGCTCGTCAAGCCATATCAAAGGCAACTGGCTGTTGCGCTGTTGATTTCTCTCCACCTTTCGGCAAAGAGGATATCCGTGTGGATTGGCCGGCCATAGTGCGATCGTTCGTCCTTAAGTCCGCCGCCCGCCATAAGCAGCAGTCTCAGTTGTATACAGTCCAGTTCGTGTGTGACGAAGGGTTATCGGGCTGTCAGGGTAGACATGCTCTTTGACAGCCCAGGGGATCTGCCGTTTTACTCGGAGGATGGGCGGGAGATGAAAAGTCTCGGCGGTATACTTACAGCACAAATCCCAAGCCAAATGCGGGAGGGTCCCTTGTGCAGCCGGCACAAAAACGTTATGCCGACTAGTTGTGTGCTCAAGCACCAATGCGGCAAATCACTCTGGAGACACCCTCCACTTCTCCAAATTGCTGGGACTAAATCAACAGTAGTGGAACGTCCACGGAGGGACCGTGTCGTCACTGATGGGAAGGGCTCTTCAAAGTGGAGTCGATCGCTGCAAAAGGACCTCAGTGGTCCGGTTCACATTGACAACAGGACAGTTTATTTATGATGATGACTAGACATCGCGGCGACATGGCTCTCTATCGATGCGCAGCAAGCTTTCGTCCGCAAGACTATATGCAGGGCCCACGGCCATGCTATGGGACACCTCAAACCACATCCTTCACGAAGTTGATTATATCGCTAACCCTGCACTGTTTTTCTGCCGGGGCTCTGTATGGTGTCAGTAATAAAACGCTGCATTGGTTAGGACGGAGAATGTGCACGAGCAAGAAAGCTCCTTCATCCCCTGGTACAAGCTGCTGGGGACACTTACCGCCTGCCGATTCAAACGTCCCATTTGGTAAACGGCGGATACTCTTCGACAATGTTAGCAGGGAGCTGTTTTATGGGGACAGCCAAATCATTGCTTGACAGGGAACCTACTTGGGCTGAGCTCTGACCAGGCGCGATCTACAACAAGAATCACTGTTAGCCTACATCTAGATCAACCTCCTCGCCCTCGCCTGAGGAAGGTACAGTCTTTCTGAGCCGGGTGGGGAACTCACAAAGGTAATATTATGGCCTCTCGACCTCATGAACTCCACTGTCTCGTTGTTATACGCGTACTCGAACGACACCTGGTTGGGAATGAGCTGATCGTGAAGACGCGGCTGTGCCAGCGCTTGTGGCGCTGTCATATTCTGGTCAAGTACATGGACCAGACTCTGAATTGTCGCGGTGATGATCCGCGATCCACCTGCAGCACCAGTCACATAGTACAGCGTTCCGTTCTCGTACTCAACTATGGTGGGGGCGATGGATGATAGTGGTCTCTTCCCTGGTCGTACGTAGTTGGCCGGACTCGGGAGGTATCCAAACGCATTCGATGATCCGGGGATGGAGAAGTCGTTCATCTCGTTGTTCATGATGACGCCCGTTTCTGGAACCAGAACTTGCGATCCGAACAACAAATTGATCGTCGTGGTCAAGGAGACGGCCATCCCCGAGCCATCTGCCGTAACAATGTGCGATGTACCCGGCGTTTCCAAGGACTCGATACCTGCCGGGTCGTACGCCGAGACGTTAAGGGTTCTCAGGTCAGAAATCTTGCTCCGGATATAACGCGCCGACGTGTCTGAGAGCATTTCATCTTGATACGCCGACAGGTTGTGCACAAACGACGGGTCACCGAGACTGGTTCTCTCCCCATATCCAAACCTGATCGCTTCGTCTAATCGGTGAGTGCTCAGATTGACAGTCCCTGATTGAAAGAAATCGGGATATAATTCCAGGGTCTTCAGCACGGAGAGAGCGACCTCACCCGAGCTCGGGGCGCTACAACTGAATAGACGGTAGCCTCGATAGGTGATGTTTGCTGTTGGTCGAATGGCGACAGTGTAATTGTGCAGATCTTCGAGTGTCATGGTTCCATTGGCCGCTTGCACCGCTGCAATTGTAGCCTCTGCAATCGGCCCATTATAGAACGCATCAGGTCCTTCCTCGGCGATGGTTTCGAGCGTGTCGGCATACCTCTTCCGTGTTATTGTGTCTCCCGCTCCTAGCAAGGTTCCATTTGGCGCGAAATCGATTGCCCAGTTTGGGTCGTTCACGAGGAACTTTGGCACTACGGATGAAGCCATGCCAGATTGCATATAACGCACCAAGTCCTCAGTCACTGTCCAGCCATATTTCGCAGTCCTGATGGCGCCTTGCATCACCTGCTTCCAAGAGAGTTTGCCATAATTCTGGTGCAAATGAGCCAGGCCTCGGACTTCTCCTGGAACTCCACTGTCGAGCATGAGCTTGTGAATATGTCCTGTAACTCAATCACGTACCTCGCCAACCCCCCAAAAATGCTCGCGTTAGTGTTATTGTTGTACATGTCTTGAAAGGCAGCCGCAGGGGCTGTTTCTCGAAAATCTATAACTTCGTATCTCCCATTTGAAGTACGGACAATCATGAAACCTCCACCGCCAATGCCACTGTGATACATGCCAATAACTCCGGTGCAGAAAACGGTGCCGACGAGCTTTAAGACCGTCACTTTTGGGCTATTTCCATGGACTCTAGGGAGGCTGACTTACCGCATCTGCAGCATTCCCACCCTGCCGGAGGAGATCGATGCCAATCTCGCTGCAAACACTGCTCTCGCTTGCTACAGCGCCCATCGAATCCGGCGCATACTGTTGTCGAATCTGGGGGAGGGGATTTGCGCCAGCCTGTTGCACCAACGGCGGGACGACCAAAGCACACGCCAGCTGCAATAACCATAACATGATGGCCAGGTGTCTCGAAACCTTAAATGACCCCGGCGAGTGCGAAGGATTGAGAGCACCGATAAAGAGTGACGAGGCCATGTTTTTGGGACAGCAGCCCCGCTGCAGCTGGGAGCCCAAGCTGGCAGGCTTACACGTTGATCCAGGAAGAGGTAAATGTAACTTGAATTGCGGCTTCTGTGCCGGTCAGAAGACGATGGAGGCACGCGAGCCCTCACAAGACCAGTGACTCCAATAGCAACGAGCAGGACAGTCGCAGTCCCTTGAATGACGCAAGGAAACTGGTACCCCTCCACTCACCAGCTTCAGTTACCGTTGCACTGCATGACAGGTCGAGGGATCGACGGACAAGCTCGTCAAACTAGGATGAAAATGTGACTAATGCCGCCGAAGACGAAAAGCTGCGCAAGAATGAGAAAGGATGGGTGTATTTGACGCAAGATTGAAGCAGAGAATGGCACCGAAATGGGGGCCTGTTTAAAAGCAGAAGACACAATAGCGAAGAGCACAGGTGGGCCAGTGCCGACCGACCATCCACGACGGAGAGTAACTGTCCAGTCCTATTTCCTGCGATATGGAGTACGTACATATTAATCATCCGTATTCACCAAAGAGAAGAGTTTGTTGAGCAAGATAAACGATATCGCTAACATGGACCGAGGGCCGATCCCGATTCCCGGCGGATTTATCCGTCTTATCCTGAAGCAATGACTTGTACGATATTGGCTGGTGTACAGAGTAATGGAACTCTCTCCTTTGACCTCCCTTGCCTTTGACAAGACAACCCTCTATGTCTGATTTTGAAAGATTATAAGAGGCCGGTCATGCCAAGCATCCCATGTCGGTGCTGATAAAAACACCGGCTTCGAGACAGTTGCTCTGCGTTTCGTGCAGCCTCGTCTGATGTCTCCCAGTGTCGCTACAATTTGGAAGATCTGGCTTCACCTTCACACGAGGATACCCCTGTCTTATGCACTCCCAACTGCTTCCTCAGCAGCTTGAAGGTCGCATTTCTCGGCAAAGATGTCACCTCCCAGACATTTCCCCTCAATTTCTTGTATCCAGCCACTTGCTCGTCGACGGTGGTCTGGATGTCCTTCAGCGCTTGAACCTTTTGTCTTCGCTCCTTTACGTGGTCCTTGAGCACCACGTATGCCGTGGGCAATTCGGTCATCTTGGTGGCGTCCCAGACCCCTCCAACTGCTGCATCCAGAACCGCAGGGTGGGAGATGATGTATGCTTCTAGTTCAGTCGGCGAGACCTGGAAGCCATTGTATTTGATCAGCTCCTTCGTCCTGCCTACGACCTGCAGATGACCTTCGGGAGAAATGGTACATACGTCACCCCTGAAAATTGCCATTAGCCCCTAATACAACTGATGGAGTCTCACCAAAGTAACTCTCTCAAAATGAAATATTGAGTTCAGGGGGAAAGTAACGTACGTATTGTACCACCCGTCTCGGTCAAAGGCAGTGCGGTTCGCAGCAGGGTTGTCCACATAGCCTGCTGTCATGTTGGGGCCTTTCAACCACAACTCACCGGGTCCGCCTTCCGGGGCATCAGTGCCATCTTCAAGCCTCAATGATCCAAGGATATTTGGCAGTAAAGTCCCACTCTTGCCTAATGGCATGGGCTCTCGGATCTTCTGCCATGTCACGTATGGAGCGGCCTCCGTCATCCCGTAAAGAGTCACTGTCTTCCATTTCCCGCGCCGCAGAAACTCGTGGTAATCATCCTGCTTAAGGGGCAAAGGGCCGCAAGTCATGTGCCTGATGGTCGAAAAGTCGTACGTTGAGACCAGATCTGTGGTTGCTATGGTTAACGCGGTCATTGGCGATACTTGTGCCGCCGTCGCTCTCGTCCGATGAATGGTTTTCGCGTATGTCTCGAGGTCAAATGCTCCCATGATGATGTGAACCATGCCAGTCCACGGTCCAAGGAAAAGGGGTATCGTGGCTGGGATATCGTCGTCAGCATCGGTCCGAGTTGCCAAAGGTCAAAAACAGAGGGGCACGTGTTCAGTGAAAGGCAAACTCACTATTGGCGATGTGCACAAAGGGCGTATAGGAAACAATCTTCTCCTCTGGTGACCAATGATCCGGATCATGCGCCCACATTTGTAATACATTTGCGACATAGTTGTATTGAGAGAGCCCGACCCCTTTAGGATTACCGGTGGTGCCTGATGAGAGATGGATCGATGCCAGCCTCTTCCTGGTGTCTCGATAGTGAGGTATGGGTAGTTGCTCGGGGGAAATGAAATCTGCATAGAGGTTTCGGAGTCCTTTAGTGGTCGAGCCGAGGGCAGTCAAAACTTCTGGATCCTTCAAGTCTGGACAGTTTTGCTTCGCAAGTTCGATCGCCTCTATCACCTTCTCCAAAACTTTCGAGTACACTATCACGAATGCCGGCTTTGACACTGTCAGGGCGTGAGCAATCTCCCCCGCCTTCAGCTGGTGATTGATGGGACAAAATACGCCACCCAGCCAGAGAACTGCGTGGATAGCTTCGATGTAGGCAACGCTGTTCGGGAGGATAACGGCCCATCGGCTTTGGTCCTTGGGGCTGTACTGCTGCGTCAGGCCTGTTGCAAGTTTCCCGGCATTCGAGCGAAGCTGACCTATAGTTAGGGTGCGGTCTTCGACATCATCCTGAGCGATGACATGGCCGGATTGCAGAGCTGGGGAGCGTGCGCTGCTATGGAGGAGCTCTGTAAGATTGAGGTCATCTGGAATAGCAATGTCTGGATCTTCGGATCTATATATCTTCATTTTTCTGTATCGCTAATTTTGTTTCTTATTTGTGGCAGAAGTTTAGTGTCAGGAAGGTGTTTGGCTCCAAACCCTCTGTAACTCATCTATGAAGATGGGTGAATCGATTGAGTTGACGTGTAGGGAGGAGTTGATGGTTGCTTCGCAAGTTTGCCCACTCGGTGCCTCGGAAAGGCTGTTCGTACTCATTGACCATCAAAAGCCGGGGCCCCGCAAGATTGAACCCCTCATAAAGCCTCGGTTCTTACAACCGCTAGCTGTGTAGCTGCTCTCAATACCAGCGTTCGGAGACAATAATAGTTCATGAGCTGAGATGCTCACACAAGTACGAACTTTCGGGAAATCGGCTCTGCAAGGCCGAAGATCGGTGAACCATGTCGTGGTTCGAGGTGTAAAATCTTGGCTCCCACCACATCGTCTGCCAGACAGATCTCAGAAGGGTCAAAGCAGATGACAGACACGTGTTTTCTGTCTTGCAGTTCCGGTTCAGTTTTCTGCCTGCACCTTTCCACTCCGGCGATTTTCCGAGCATTGCGCTCCAGTGCAGAGTGCATATTGTAACTTGGCTGGTGAGTGTTTGGTAGTAACACACGCGTTCGGAGTCAGATTATGGGCGGTTCGGCATACCAATTTGTTGTGCAAAGCACTCCCCAGACCAGCGAGCCTAGTGAGCGCATTAATTTGTCTCAGACATTCCTGAGAGGAAGACTAGAGCATTGATCAACAATTCCAACACCCTGAAACAGCGGTCTCCTGGATGTCATTTGCGCATCGCCTGTTACCACATGTCAGACTGGATTTTTCCCTCGTGCTGAGCACCAGATCTGACGCGCGAGACTAGTCATCGCTCCACAAGGACTGTACTCCCGGCATCGTGAAGCACTGCAGCGTCGAAGCTTGCCGCTTGAATCTGTTCGATCTTTTGCAGCCTTGTCCTCATTAGGTATTGTGACCTAGCCTCACCAGCTTCATGATTATTCCGAGTATGTAATACCTATGTACAGTACCCAGTAGGCTGGAAGCTGCAAACTGCATTTGCTCATTTATTGACAACGGGAGAGCAAAAAGGGCCCAGTCAGGGTCTGGGTGGATTTCTCCCTGATCTGCCGGAGAATTTGTTGATGTCGCCATGGCTCTATGATTGGCGGCTATCCATGATGGCCAGTTGGAGAAGCGAACCAGTGTGATGGCTGCCGACTTAGCCGGAGCGAAAAGCCCCGATGATGTCAATCGACGCAGGATCGAAGGTCGGTGGGCAGCCTAGAACTTTTGATGGACATGAGATATACCGCATTCACAAAAGGTGGCACCTTTAAGCATCTCACCGTTCACCCTCCCCTTCGGACTTTCCCAGATCTGATTTGGTCAAGGGGGCTCTGGGTCCGTGATCTCATTCTGCACGCTCGAATCAGAGTCGGTGGAGAGAGGGAATCTGTCCCTCACCCCTTGCGTTGAGCAGATTGTTTTTCTCTCTGCTACAAAATCCCTGATGTGACGCGTGGGTTGAGATACGGCAAGAATAGTTGCGAGTACGGGAGTACAGAGGACCTGTACGTAACCAGCACCGATTGCGAGAGGGTCCAATGAGATAGGAGTGACGGGCCATCTGCAGGGTAGTGGGTAGCTGGAGTAGAGTCCATCAAGGTCTAGACCCGGCCATGGCTGCGGTCGTCCAACGACATGTCTCCATCTCTTTTCTTTTCTGTTGCTCACACCCTGACAAAAACGCGCACTCAGGGCCTCTGCTGACGGCCTCAAAAGGGTCTTACCGAGGGATCGATGCCACTGGCGTCATGCCACATGCAGCCTGCAGTATTAGACTTTGGCTTGTATTATTAAAACTAACTTCCACATTTCGAACAATTGCGGCAAGATGGCTCGACCGGTCCTAGCAAGGCAAAACGGTGGCCTGTGCGAATAAGTGCTATGCGCTTCCATTCGGCTCTTGGACATGAGGATACGGGGTATATATCTGTTGACACGTCGCCTCTATCACTGCGTCTGTCTCTGTCGGTGCCGCCTGTGAGCTGAAAGCCCAGCTTCGGGCACTGCTGGGAGCGGCCGTTAAGTTTGCCCAAGTCCGCCTCAGCCAGCTGGATGTACGAGGTACAATGTGGGTTTCGGGGCGGCGTGCAACAAACTCAGTAGGTCCATAAAGTTGAAAGGGGGGAAAGTCAAAAAAAGATTTTGTACGATTCTCCGAGACGAAGACTGGTGGCACGTAGTTGGGCCGTAGAAACTGTTCAGAACTCTGCCTGCTCTGTGCAGACAATGCGAGCAGTCAGGGCTTGTACTCCGTGCTCGCTGTTAGCTTCTCCAGACCCCCCAAATGCCACTCTGCCTTAAGCAATAGCTAATCCCGCCACACGGGTCTCACCTTGTGCCCGCACGCACCTACCTACCTAGGTGCTCCGTACTCTGGAGCCCTTGCCCTGGCTTCGTTTTATGGTCCTTCACTGGTACTCCGGTACCACTTCGAGCTCTCTTCTACGAGCACCCTTCACCATATTCACTCAGCCACCTCTCACGCTCTGCTCGCCCTCCTACATAGACATAAACCTATCTTAGCTTGCGACTGTCTACTCCCTCCGACCCATTTCCTGTGGCCTAGCCAGTTCGCACCTAGTTCTGGGCCTCATATTTCGACAGGAAATCCCCTCCTGACAAATCCACATCCCCGAGCTTGACTTGCATCACACTTCGGGCCTACGACAAATGAAGGCCTTTGCGGCCTCAATTTGGATTCGCCATAGAACGTCTGCGGCCGGACCCTACGAATGTCTATGAGAACAGATACTTCCCCAATCCGTCAGAGCCTGGTGTTTGAGGGTGGGAGGTAACACCAAATGGCAGTGATGGCTGAACCACTGGATACCAGGCCGTCCCTGCCGCTCATCGAACGACAATCATTATGTCTTCCCAGCATCGAGCCCGGCGTGCCCGCACAATACGGAGAGGATGGTTTCCTTCAGAACCTTGTGAGGCATTTCCCTTCCCGGGAGAACAATGCTCTCGAGAAGCTGGTGCAGCTGAAACGGGAACTCAGGATGGCGGACACTGAATCGTTTTGGAAAAAGCTCATGGAGGGCATGACGGAGATTTGTCATGCACAATACGGCTTCGTCGCGAAGAGGATATTGTCCGACGACCACCATTCAGCGGTAGAAATGCCTCCGTTTGGCGAGTCAGGTTCATGTCTCCTGGGCGTCGCTTTCTATTATAACGATGGCGACAAGCAGAAAGCCATGCACCGTGACTACAAATATCTTGCTTGGGGTTCGCCCTGCGCCTACATGAAGCACGACAAAGTCTTCCTGATCCCTCAGCACATGAGTTCATTCATCACTCACAACCCTAATGCTCTTCCCTTCCCAGCAGAAGGCTATATCGGGATTCCCTTATTTGCAGACGGCAAGTGTTTTGCCCATTTTGGCATGATGTGGACTCAGGAAGGCTTGGACCGGCGGGAGACTACTTGGAGTTACACCGAACTCTTATTACATTCGTTGGAAGACATGATTGTTGAGCGTCTCCTAAGCGGCCAAGGATTCGTAAAGCCTAGCAGCCGAAACGCCAGTACAGCTCGACTGACTCATGTTATCCCGCGTGAAGCAATTACACCTGGAACCCAATCTCTGAAGCCATACGCCAAAAGTCTGTCGCATGAACTAAGAACACCAATGCAGGGTGTGGTAGGAATGTTGGATGTCATGCATGCGACGGTGCAAGAACAGATTGAGGCTGTCTCAGATGCCTCTCTTCGTCTGGTCTTTCGCAGCCTCAGAGACAACATCGAGATCATCCAAGACAGCGCCAAAAGGGCTGTCGAAGCTGCCGATAACGTCGTCCATGCCTACGACATGAACATGCAAATCCCAGACACCCCCTCAAACGAAAACGAATCACCAGCAACAACGTCCACTGGCTACTTCGACCACAAGCCTGCCAGATTGATTGAAGGGAGTGATATCCATTTCAATTCATACAAGCGCCGCCGAAGTAGTCCAACAACCTGGAACTTCGGTAACGCCACCAAGATGCGACAGGTTGGACCATCGACTCGTGTCAATGTCTCTCCTAAGAGCAGCACAAGCAAAATTCTAGCTCCGCAAGCCTCATCATTGCAAACGAACCCATCTGACGACCGCGTTCCTACGATCGTCACTCCAATGCAAGATTGTGTCACACCTAGCAATCTAAAACCTCCTTCGACCAAGCTGTCTTCAACAGAAAGTGACGCATTCCCAACACCAGGATTGAAGCACTGCCGGATTCGAGAGTTGATACCCATGATGATCTACGAGTCTCTACGTGTCGGAGGTAGACCTGATTCCGCCATTGGGGAACCCACCGACTTGGGTGAGAGAATCGTGGTCAGATCACGCTCTTCGAATGGGCACATTTCGCAGAAGATCATTGAATGGTCGGTGGCTGATAATGTCCCTGAGACTCTTTTCGCAGATGAACGAGACCTGACTAAATTGGTGTCAGCTGTGTTGTTGAACGCCATTAAGTTCACAGAAGAGGGCAGCATTACTTTAAATGCCCGCCTCTCAAAGAGCCAAAGATTTCTGGTCATCAACTGCAGAGACACTGGCGATGGAATCCCGGTAGATTTTCAGCCCGAGTTGTTCAAACCATTCTCTCGGGAGGATGACTCGTTGACCCGGTCAAAGGAAGGTCTCGGTCTGGGTCTCCTGGTTGCCAAAGGACTGGCGCGTCGTCTTGGGGGAGATATCATCCTCGTAGCCTCAGATGTTTCTGGCCCGAACAAGGGTTCTGAATTCGAGATCAAGGTGCCTTTTGAACCTAACGATAGTGCAACAAGTCGTTCTGGCACTCCTCATAGTAGAACCCCGGAGATTTCGAAAAGCGCGTCCCAGCCGGCTGCTGCGTTAGCGCTTCCAGAGGTATCACCAAACGGCCACAAGCATCCGAGACCATCGAAGATATCCATGCCATCTATGGGAGAGCATCGCACTCGTGGACCGCATACTCCGGCTCAGCCAACCCCGCTGAAGAAGGATACGTACGATCGACACCTAGCGCAGAAGCATCCTCTTACCTTCTTGGTTGCGGAAGATAACAAAATCAACCGAAAATTGCTCGTGAGCATGCTCGGAAAGCTAGGATACAAGGACGTGCACGAGGCTTTCGATGGGAAGGAAGCAGTCAGAATCATGCGGGAAATCCACAGCAGGGGAAAAAATTGCGGCAAATTAAACGGGAAACGATCCGGGAAAAGGGTAGACGTTGTCTTGATGGACCTCTGGATGCCCGAAATGGATGGTTATCAGGCAACCGAGCATATATTGGAGATGTTCCAACATCCTCAAGACGATGATGGAGCCGACTGTGGCCGCATGACGCCTCCCATTGTCCTGGCTGTCAGCGCTGATGTCACAGACGAGGCCATCGACCGAGCGACAAAGACGGGAATGGAAGGATTCATGACAAAACCTTACAAACTGGCAGACTTACAGAAATTGATTGTTGAATTTTGCGTCCGAAGCGATGGCGTGGTTGCCGTCCCAGGTTGATACGGCAGGATTTCAAAAGAGAGAAAACTGGATCCTCCCCAGCTATTGGGGGATTCGTTCCTTCGATTATCTTGTATATATGTATAAGATGCTTTGTATGTCACGATACACATGACGAGATGGTTAGAAACAATATGATACCCATTCATAACGAATGCAGAACTTTTAAGTTCGAAACAATGTAGGATGTACTCGGTGTGTACCGAGGATGAAGCCTCGGAAGGTCCCTGTGTATGTCAGCCTGGCAAGCCGAATATCTTGCCAAGCGAAACTTCAGCACTAAAGGATCTAGATGAAAATGGCTTCCTTGATATGTCCGTCCTGGTCATAGATTTGCCCAAAACAAGTCGATCTCTGGTACTTGAGGTCCCTCGACAAGAATTCCCATATTTGCCCACCACCAACGGACTGAATATTTCCTTTTCAGTTGTATTTTGCAGCTCGATGGCTTGTTTCGCCTTCAATCCATGATCGCAAACTATGTGTTGGCCTCAGAGGAACAAGATCAGCCGGTTTGCCCTAATGATTGGCTGAGCCGCCAGCGGCAAGAGTGGACTATGGTCGGGTTCCTAACGATCTACAGCTGGGAGGTACTGGCTGGCAAAAAATACGGTTTCTGAGAGAAAATTGCTTCCGGTCCAGGGTATACCTGCGCGAAACCACTACGTTGGACTAGGTCTTTTGCCTATTCTCGCTATTTAAGAGAAAAGTGTCTCGACTTCGACAGTCCAACTCGAAAATGCCAACATTCAGTAGCGTTCCCGCACGACGGCCCCCAAAGGCATCAGTTCTACCAATCACCCGCACCAGCTGGGTGTAATATCGGTGATACAAATTCGAAGCCTCGACCAGCAAAAGAACTAAACAGGGAAGACCCACATATTCAACAAATATGGAATGTCACAGTGAGGACCTCCCAGAAGTATATTACACCCGCCGGTGACCCCAACGGTTTCGCTACATGTTTATCAGCTTCAGTACTGGCTAATGGAATTCTCTCAGCAATGCGGCTTCACATGCCTACACGCTGTCTCCTAGTTCATGAAGGACATGACAGAGATGAAATATCTCGAGCCTCCCTGGGGTCTACGCAGATCGGGCAGCCCCTTGCGCCGAGCACATGGGCTCTTGTGCGTACCTCGAGCTCGTGTACCAATGACACTCACTTGGAATTCTGTATTGCGGGATCTTGTGGGTTAGAGTCGGAGGCGTGATCTGTATTTGGGGGTCTCGAAGATATTTGTTTGTCTCAGTCAGATCGATTCGACGTCTTCCCACGAGTACAGAGAGCCAGACTTCACGCCCGACCAGTGCCACCCACCGCCTCAAGCACTTGATCGCATCATATGGCCGTCGATATCTCCTCCCGGAGGCCTTCCGATCCATCTTTGGACGGGCCACCCGATATCAGATTTTGATCTTGGCGGCATTAGCCGCCTATCTTGTCATCTTTCATTTACGGGCATTCAATTTTCTGATTGCATGGCATCTGAGGAGGGAAGACCCGCAGGTTACAGCAATCGCGCGAGTTTTGCTCTCTGGCTGAGCCGAAGCGGTGTTTTTGCCTTCGCGCTGGCTCCTTTATCAGTCATGCTCTCAACTCGAAAATCGCCTGTCTCAGCAATCACTAGTGTGCCCCAGCAACACTTCAGTTTCTTGCGTGGGTGGCTGAGGTAAATAATTTTCATACAGGCAGCAATGCACGCAATCAGCTGGTGTGTGGTTTAATCGAGACTGTATCAACTCCAGCCGATTGTTGGATTGAAGTGGGTTCAACACATTTATATCGTTTGGGACGTTCTCGCAATGAGTTCCCTTGCGATTTCGGTGGTACTCAGCACGCCAACGGCAAGTCGCAGGACAGGGTATGAATCGTTCCGAAAGTGTCATCATGTGATAGCCATGCTCTTCATCGGAGCCTGCGGGGTCACTTGTCGAAGCTCGATTGCTATGTGACCCCATCGTTAGCCATCTGGTTCATCGATTGGGATGCATGTCTTGCTAGAACAGTGCCGGACCAGCAACTGCCACCATCACCCGCTTTCCTGACCCTCTCAATGGAGATGTTATCCGCTTGGATTTCATGCATCCGAAGAAGAGATGGAATATTGGACAGCAAATTTCTACCTCTGCCTGCCGGAGATCACCATTTGGCAATCGCATCCGTTCACTCCCTTAAGCCTTCCCAGGGACTATGGGAATGGCTCGGTGGGTTCGTATATCGTGCGGGCTAGGATGGGAGATATGACTCTTCTCGCAGAGTTGGCCCCTGAGGAGTGTTTCACTGGTCTGGATATTGCGAAAAGACCCGACGGCCGTCTCTCGACAACCCCAGTCATCCTGACATGACCAAATGGCCAATCGATCATGAACCAGTTGACTTCAGACACTACTGTGCTCTGCATTGCTGGTGGGCCAGGGGTGACATTTGTTCTTCCCGTACTGCTGAATCTCGTCAATCCGTCGCCTATCCCGGATCGGAAAGTCGACTTCATTTGGGTCATTCTGAGGCGATCCCATATCTCTTGGATCAAGAGGAGCTTGACCAACTGCATTGAGCTGCAGGCCTTCCACCACCCACAGATCCTCATCTCCGTTACGCGGAGGCATGTGCTGGAGCTCTGTGGATATGATTTCAGTCTGGGCAGTATCTCGGCTGATCGATCGGTGGACGACATTGTTGAGGAGTTCTCTACACTAGAATCGACGAGAGCGGATGAGCTTAACAAGGAAAAGGGCTCTAGGATTTGCAATGCATGCTTCTCGATGCATACAAGCACCTCTATTGGCTCAGCGTCATACCCAAGCCGTCCTGACTTAGGCGTTCTCGTCAGCGATTTCGTAGACACGACCGCCCAGGGACCTAAGACCATCTTCGCCAGCGGACCAGCCGGAACAATCATAGACTTGCGCCGTATCGTCTTATTGCTCAACTCGGGGGGAGGAAGATATGGAAGGGAAATGAGAAATTCGATGTCAAACTCGTTTGCGACGTCCGCATGGAATGGTAGATAATGTAGGAGTTAGAAGAAGTTGGTAACGGTGTCCCTTTTTTCTGTATCTGGCCAATCACGAGACTTCTACTACTTCCTCGCCTCCTCTATTTCTCCGCCTCGCAGGGCGCCGTCTATTACATTTATTCGTTCCACATCCATTCAATCTGTTCTCTTGAGTCTCGCTGCTTTGCTTTTCTCTGCTATGCACATGCGCTTCCAACTACTCGTGGATATATCTTTTCAGCCAAACTCTGAAGCCTATATCCTCAATATCGCATCTGAACAATCTCCATTGCACGAACCATAAGCCACCTTTTCGGCACCTGCTGCACCCCCTCAAGGCATTGAAAATGCCTACGCCGTTAGATAAGGCGATGCAATCTCGTGTAGGCGTCATCTTCTTATCCTACGCCTGTCCACAGCTCATTGGCTCTATACTTTATTTCATCACTTCAGCCTTAGAGGCACTATATTGCTCAAACTGACATGGCCACTAGAATCTTCTCTTTGGTTTGTCTTTCTCGAATCTACTTTCTGTACTTTTGTCTCGGACGATCTTTGTGCATTCTGTATCCTCGGATGAGCACCCACATACCTGACGGCACCGCTATCAACTTTTGGTGGGCGCTTTGCAATCTCTAAGCGAATAGGGCACCCGATCAAGTCCAAACCTAAGCATGGCACCTGATTTTTTCTATCTCTTCTTAGGTTTTGCAGGGTTGGTGACTATCGCGTCGCTGTGGAATATGTGGGGAGGAGATATGTTCCCTGCTGAGAGTGATCCCACCGGCGGTATGATTTATCCTGATACCCAACAGCGTCCTCAGTGGCTCTGGACACCGCAGCAAACACGAAGCTAATATCTACAGATCCGGAATACTGGACGGAAACAGAATTGAAGCGGTGGCTGAAGCTGGTGAGTCTGTGGTTGTGTTGCGTAATTTCCCGCTGGTCAGGTGGGGGAACCAAGCGATGCAAAATTGACGCAGGTTATAGAGAAATCTAGCACCCGACACCAGAATGACCAGAGCTGAGCTCTTGGAACGAGTCAAGGCGAACATGAGAGACGCAACGACTTCTTGAATCTATGCGCGGAGCTCTAGATGTATCAGGACGAAATCAGCCTTGATATCTTCGCTCTATCGACAAGTGGAAGCGTACTATTGCAGGAACAACGAAGCTTGGGCGAGTTGCGAATATACACATGGACTATAGTAACAAAATGGATTAGCTAGTATTCCAAAGCCACTGTACTGGCGCGGTTTGGGGATACCCCAGCTGTCTTTGCGCGGGCAATCCTGGTCTGCCATGGTAACGTACAGGAACGTACGTCTCTGGGGCTAGATATTGGTTTGAATTTTCAAGCGAGCGGCATTGTGTGCTTGCTCTTGTAGCTAGAGGCGGTTCTTGCCACCTCACAAGCTCAGCCTCGTAGCCTCGCCGCAAATCGGAGAACCCAAACCTATGCGGAAAAACCTATGCGGAGAAACCTGCTGTACGTACCAAGGTAGCTTTGAAAATAATTGGATCAAGTGAGCATGTTAACTCTACTCTCGTGCGCTCTTGCTGCTCTCGAAGTCTCCTCCTACCAGCATGCGCACTCTCGAGCGTCATGCTCGTAGCTTCTTCCTCCAGTGTCGAGCTTCGGCACGATGCCGTTCTTCGCGCCCAATCCTGCCTCGTGGAAATTCCCAGCGACGCGGCCTGGCAACAGCGATTGAGCCAGAACGACTTCCAAAGGCCGCTGGGGGAAAGCCTTACTACGTGACAACTCCCATCTTCTATGTCAACTCAGGCATGTGTGCTCATCCCTCATTCTGTCTAGCGACTGACTGACCATCCATGCTGCAGCACCCCATGTCGGCCACCTCTATACATTAGTCCTTGCGGATGTTCTCAAGCGATGGGCAAAGCTTCGCGGCAATGAGAGAGCGACCCTACTTACAGGGACCGATGAACATGGAATGAAAGTGCAAAAAGCTGCTCAAAAAGCGAATACCGATATAAAATTGTTCTGCGATCACCACGCTGAGCAGTTCAAGGCCTTGTGTGACGCTGCCAATATTGACTATGACCGTTTCATCCGTACCACCGACGAAGACCATAAGGAGGTTGTCCAATATGTCTGGGAAGAGTTAAATCGCAGCGGATACATCTACGAAGCCAAACACGAGGGGTGGTACTCGGTCAGCGACGAGACCTTCTATCCCTCGACCCAAGTCCACAAAGTTCTCGATCCGTCGACAGGTCTAACGAAGATCGTCTCTATCGAGACTGGGAAAGATGTGGAATGGACTTCGGAAACGAATTATCATTTCAGGTTGTCCGCCTTTCAGGCTCCGCTGCTGAAGCACTACGGGGAACAGGCGGGCGCCATTGTGCCAAAGCAACGCATGGTCTTCATAATTGACGAGATTCGAAGTGGACTCAAGGATCTCTCTATTTCTAGACCTTCATCACGGTTGACATGGGGCATTCGGGTTCCAGGCGATGACAGCCAGACTATCTACGTCTGGCTCGATGCCTTATTCAATTATCTGACGATGACGGGGTATCCATTCGTCAACAGAAATGATCCCAACATGGTCTGGCCTCCGAATTGCCAAGTTATCGGGAAAGACATTATTCGCTTTCACACCATTTACTGGCCTGCGTTCCTCATGGCTCTGAAGCTTCCTGTGACTGAACGATTTCTGACCCATGCTCACTGGACTATGAACAACGAGAAAATGTCAAAATCGGCTGGAAATGGGGTCAATCCGTTCTATGCCATGGACCGATTCGGGGTGGATTGCATTCGGTTCTACATGGCACATAATGGGGGCATTGTCGACGATGCTACGTACGACAACTCCTTCATTGAAGAAACGTATAACCACCTGCTGAGGGGTGGCCTCGGAAATCTGATCCATCGTGTTTTCAAGAGTAAGCATTTCGATGTCCGCGAAGCGGTCGAGCTGGCCAATGAAGACGATAATTTTTGGAAATTCATCACTCAAGATCAATGGAACGCCGGTAATCCGGAGCTGAAAGCTATCCGTGAGAGTCTCAGAGCCCATTATTCCAAATTATGCTCTGTAAGAGAAATTGCAGACAACCACATGAAAGAACCAGACCCGCGGAAGGCTGTCCAGTCAATTTGTGAGCTGATCGGAGATGTATGAAGTGTTGAGCATTTTGTTGAAGTTGCACAGCTGACTAATTTACAGACAAACAAGTTCTTCCATAACACTGGAGTCTGGAAAATTATTAAAAGTGGAGACGCCGAAACAAGCCGTATGGCGAAATATGTCCTCTTCACAAGTGCAGAATCTATCCGAATCATGGCCATTTTGCTACAGCCTTTCATGCCTGAAAGAATGAAAGCCGCCCTGGATTTGATGGAAGTCCACGAATCCAGGAGGACGTTTGATGATGCTCTGTTTGGTGCAGATTTCGCCTATGGTCCTCCGGCTCTAGAAGCTGATGCAAAGGCGTCGGCTGAAGTCGTCTTTCCTTTGCTGTTATCATCTCATTGAAAGCGACGTTGGGCGCCACAGGATCAAGTGCAGTGACAAGTTTGCTTATCGCCCGACTCGATCATGAGAGCCCGGATCAATTCTTGGCTCTCGGAATTCGACCCTTCTTCTTAACTTCATTCAACCGGAGTTCACATCGGCGGGGCACCAAGAGAACGAGCCTTCTCATGAGCGGATAATTTCGGCAATTTCCGATTGATGACGCGGAAAACTTGAAAAAGATCTCAACCAAATCTCATGATCCGGGGTATCAATGCTCTTTCGCCTGGAGTCCCGTCAGACATGGGTGCGGATCCCTAACTACATTTGATTGTGTACCTGCATTAGCGCCGTCAATCCTACGAAAAGAATTCGAGATGAGTTGCGTCAGTGTTTTATTTATCTGTCCAAGATACCCATGTATTTTCTGAAATTTGACAGCCACAGCGCTTATAAGGCGCTTCTTGGATACCTGCTTCTCATCATTCGACCTTCCAAACTGCAAAGATAAGTTCCTTGTGCAAGTCAAACAGCATGAAGCCGTGGATCGGAGACACCACCTTCGTGAATCCCCAACTCTTTCACGTGCTGCTGGCTGGTACAAGATAAATTGCCTCCCACGCCAAATTATCTCAATCCAACGTCTACAGCCGGATCTTCCTGGAACTTGAGAATCTCCAGCCATCGGCATCACTCAAGTCACGACGCATTGGCAAGCCCTTTTGACGGAGGAAGCATACCACAAAGCGTTTGGCACCACATGCTCTCTGCATTTCTTTGCGCCCTTTGGCGGCAATTCAGGCCTCGCGGCAGTCTCTGCGACTAGCGCGCTCAGTTATCTGTCGACAGTGGGTGTTCCCGAAAGCACAGGAAACTCCATCACCAAGAAGCTAAAGCTCAACGGCTCTAGCGAAGCCATTGTCCACGACGCGGCCCTTTTCGAGACAGACAGCTAGTTCGGGGAAGTGGTTATGCCTTTAGCCGAGACGAGAGGCGAGATCGCTGTCTATATCCCACCGCTCGACAACGAAAATATCTGGGAAGGTCGTTTGACTATGATCGAACAGATCCACCGCCAAAGGCCCAACGGCGAATGGTCCGGCGCAATCATCTGCACTATAAGCGGCGGCGGCCTCCCAGCTGGCATCGTACAGGTTATGGCACGCGTGGTCTGGGGCTCCGAGGTCCAGATATTACCCGTCGAAACAAAGGAGGTGGACTTACTGTACCAGTTGTCACAGGTTAGAGAGCCACATCATCATACCTGGCATCACTTCGATCGCAATATTCCCCGGAGTAGTCCGGGTATCCAAACGAGCGGTCGAGCTCTTATCACGCAACAACGTGCCCCAAATGTGCCCAGTCTTGCGCTCGAGGATACAGGAGCTGCAGTGTGAAGTTGGCGCTTAGTGGATGATGAGCTAATAACCGTTGAGCCAGCCTGCGGCGTGAGCGTTGCACTTACGTACGACGGAAGACTTCGAAGCTTTTCGCGTATAGTAGTAGACAGCTCCAGAAAATCTGGGTATAGCAACAAACATGTGATTGGGTTTGATAATGATAGGTACCTGTAGACATTCGGGAAATTAAACGGAAAGCTAGACGGAGTAGAAAACACAGAGTATATGGTAACTGCAAACTTTTCGGCGTCGAGGACATGGGCATCACTAGCCCATCTAGTTGACTACATACTGAGACGAGCTAAGGTGTTTTCCCGGGCACTCCTATGTAGGCCTACATCTTGTTGATTGCAGGCTACACCTGCTCGAAGGGTACTCTCATCATCTTGACAATGTCAAAGACGGGACTCCCGTAGCCGGTCAAATGAGGGTCTAAATGGCTATAAACAGCCAAGATATCGCGCCATCACGCCCATATATCTGGGAAGTTGGGCTCAGGGTTTCTTATTGAAAGCCAAAGAGCGTTGGGCTCGCAATATCTAACCACGTCGCCTTCCATCGTTCCATTGACAGCCCTCTGCTCAGATTGCACACATTCCTCCCCTTCACTCATGCCCTAACCATATGGCGGCTCCCAATCCTTGGACGAGCTTCGACCTCCATCAACACTTCAAGAGTCGCAATACCCAGGGGATTTGCCACCACTGCTTCCCGCCCACTGCTGAATCGTTAAGACGGTTGTATACACACAACTTGCCAATCCAAAGGCAAACATCAAATAATCCAACCATCTCTGCAGATTGGTCTTTGCCACAGCCCTAAGGTGCAACAAAGGAGGGTAGCAGTATACCAATGGTATGCATGCGAAGCTACCAACCAGGGCGACAAACTTGTCCAAGTCGCCGGCACCACCCCATGCAATAAGCGCACACACACAGACGAGGAAGAAGCGAAACACATTCTTCTGCCACTTGATATAAGGATTGTATTTGCCAGAGCGACTGAATAGTTCGTTTTCCATGATACGGATCGCAGGGAATAGTTGGAGCGGGGTGCTGAGGAGAATAGCCAGGGAGTACAGAAACTGCACAGCGTTGACTATCTTGCTGTCCTGAGGGAGATTGAGGATCACGACGGTTTTGGTTTTCGATCCATACGCGGCATAGGAGAGAGCGCCGATCGAGGTGAACAGAATGGTGATGATGACCATGACAGTAGCCAGGACGCCGGGAAAATCTTTCGGTCTCTTCATTGATTCTTGGATTGGGATGATCAACCCCACGCCTTCAAAGGTGAAGATAGCCGTGCCGATGAAAAGCGTCCAGGTTGAAGGGTCGAACAAGGTGATATCTGAAGGACCTCTGTTTTCCACGATAGTGGCGATGTCGTAATAGTACAGGTAAATGAGGCCAACGAGGATGAAGGCGTCAGCGATAAGAGCTGTGAATCCGAGTTTTCCGATATCCCTGATCAAGCTCAGTGGCAAAAATATGACAAGTTGCATCAGGACCATGAACTTGATGTCGATGAAAGTTCTGCACTTGGAAACCGCCAGAACAAATGCCTGTAGATTCTCCGATGTGAAGACAGTGTAGGCCGAAACAAAGCCAATCTGGCTGAGAACGATGGAGAACAGGATCATTGCTCTCATCCACTTCCCGTAGAGAATGCCACCAATATCACCAAATGAAGCCTCGACCCTGTTCCTTGTGCTGATGAGCAAGATAAAGCAATAGTAGCTGAGGAGAGCCACACCGAGTAAGACAAGGGATGAGAAGAGCATGCCGCCATTTAAAAAAGCTCGAGGCAAGAAGAGGACTCCCGTACCAACGAAAGATTTCAGGAGCAATAAGGCTGCGTTGAAACTGGTTCCCGTTCCAGTCGGCCCGCGCTCCCTGTGTCGTCTCCTTCGGAGTCCGCCTGGTGTAAGTAGGGCACTGTCCTCCAGAGGTTCTCGGTCGCTGGCCTCGTCGTAGGCGTCAGACGAGAAATATTCATCTGGTTCAAGAACCTCGTCATCCTCCTCTAGGTCTTCACCCGCAAAGTGTCCGTAGAGCGTAAGGAATTCTAGAAAATTGTTGGTAAAGAGCCGAGGTCGAACATCGCTTCCAGAGGTCATTCCGTCCTGTCCATCTGCTGCAGAATAGCTTTTCCAGGTTCGACCGGTAGGGGTGGGACTCTCAGCGGCTCTACGCAAAAAGTTTCTGCGAAATCCGCCTGGCACCCGGATGTTTTGTATGTCCAAGGTGTCACTTTCAGGCTCTGGTCTCGGCATAGAAAAACTTTTGCTTCTTTGAGCCTTGCCAGGCTGATTTCCTTCCTGCTCTTCTGCCCACCGATAGACAGCACGGGTCATATCCCCACCTTGTAACCGGAGGCTGGAAAACTCGTCTGACTCCAAACAGGGTCCCGGCTCGTTCAAATCTAAGCGAAGCGTTCTCCCTCTCGACGAGCCTTGGTCTGGCTGCACCAAATGTCTTTTCACCACTTCCGGATCCTCTGTTGGTGCTGGACTTCCTGCCATCTCGCGAGGGTTGAAAGAGCCATAATCAGTTCTCGGTAATCTGTCGTGAGCCCCCACGCCTCCGGTGGCGCTTAATAATGGTTGTCTCGGGGAAGGGTCGTTTGCAGGAACAGGGGGTGTACGAATTCGAGGAGGAGTTCGATTCATTGTATCAGCCAGAGCTGTAGACAGTGCAGATCGACCTGGACCCGGCAGTGACCCTGATTGATCAAGCTTGGGCAGAGTGGAATCATTGTTGTCAGCTGCAATCCGCTGAGGCGTCGGGACTTGCTGCACAGGAGGTGTACTCAGGCGCTGCGAGGGCACAGGGGAGCATAACCTTGCTATTGACGCATTTCGGGAGTGCGGACTGCCCCCCGAGGGACTACTTGAGCGTATGTCCACAGGACGGGTTCGAGATGCTGTTGACGACATTGAGATGTTACTGAGTTTGGGGCAGTGTCATGCATGAAGGGGTAGACCCGACGACATATGTAGGATGAATCGGCGAGACGGAGTTGTCCAAAACAAAGATAGCAAAGGATATGTAGCATGTGATCGGTACGAATGATCAAGGAACAAAGTCCCTGCGGTACTCGTGTGGTGCGCTTGTGGCAAGGAAATATTGGTAATGGACTGGGAATGATTTTGGCTGTTTTTGCCCAGCATGATGCAAGCGGCAAATTCCCTTTGGCTTGTACTTGTTACAGCGGTTGGACGGAGTTGGTACCGTGTATACCTCGGCGTGGTTGCTTCTGCGGTAAGGGCCCAGAAATAGGCGCTGGACCAACAATCCGCGGTGACCGCTCAGGACTGCTTTAACTAAACATGTACAGTACTTGATACTGTACCAATTTTACCGCCTAACCCACGGGTATGGTGGAGGAAATTCTCTGCACATATTATTCCGTACAAGTACGCCACTGACGCTTCACGTGTGACCCCCACCTTTGTCCGGTAGCGAACCTTCTCTCGTATGTGGAAAATCCCTTTCGAGGACCTTCATCCGTCCATAGGCACAAATGTTCGGCTTCGTCTCCTGTATCTCCTCTCGTTCTTTTGCCTAATGTATTTGCGCCACGCTCGAACCAACGCTCTCCCCTTCCACTACATCAAACTTGATCCCCTCTCCTCTCCTTCGTTCTTGTCAAGCTCGATTGATTTGGTGAGCTAGTTTTAGTCTATGTGATTCCAAGTCCACGCAAGTTACAGGGCAAAGAAACACAGTTCACTAAGGCTCTCTACTCTATGGTTGAAGTTTGATCAAAATCGTAGAGGTTTCGGCAGACATCTGACGATCTTCAGTTCAGTCCCTCTCAAGGTCACTGCTTCGATCGCCTGTTCCCATCAGCCTGGGCGGGAAGATGCGTTGATTATGGATCGACATCCAGAGGCAACTTTGAATGAACATGGCCAGCACAGGAGGAAAAAAAGGCTGGCCGGAATTTGGACTAGGGCGAGGCTCTGTTACTCGACGCGGTCCCACCTTCTTGACACGAACAGCTACTGATGAGGCTGCTCAATTGCTGCGGCGGTCATCATTCCCAGGCACTCCAGAAGAACACCGTCCTGCGTCAGCCCACGATGGCTCGGCCCACAATCCTTCAAGACCTGCTACCGCCCAGTCTTCTGCGTCTGTTCCACCGCTTGATCCGTTAGACAAATCGACTTCTTCAAAAGCCTATGGGACTTTTGATGGCCCTCAAGATTCAGCGGAAGTCCCTCAGCCGGCAGAGCGGATAACCGCAAATCAGAGTGCTCAAGAACATTCGTTAGCATCGTATGTCAGTGCGGCAACGGGCAAGGTTGAGAAATCGGTTGTGCACAAAAATGGCACGTCTCTACGCCCGGTTGGAGGCTCAGAAAAACTGGGCACATTCTCTGGGGTTTTTGTCCCTACGAGTCTGAATGTCTTGAGCATCCTTATGTTCATCCGCTTTGGGTTTATACTTGGCCAGAGCGGTGTAATAGGCATGCTTGCCATGTTGGTCGCAGCCTACGCCATCAACCTGGTCACCACTATGTCTCTTTCTGCCGTGGCTTCCAACGGCACGGTCAGAGGAGGTGGAGCTTATTACTTGATCTCCAGATCATTGGGTCCTGAATTCGGTGGAGCTATCGGGTTGGTGTCGTATCTCGGCTTCGTTTTCAACACTGGCATGAATGCTGTTGCTCTGGTCGACTGCCTGGCTTACAACTTCGGCGCTGAGTCCGGAAACTGGGCCAATGCTATCCCTGAAGGTCGGTGGTGGGAGTACCTCTGGAGCACCTTGGTCGTGATCCTGTGCGTCACTATTTGTATGGCTGGAAGTGCCATTTTTGCGCGTGCAAGCAATGGCCTCCTTTTGATCCTGCTTCTGGCAACATTTAGCGTCCCATTTTCAGCCATTATTCGATCACCCTTTCAGACCACGAAGCAGTTTCTCCAATTCACAGGACTTCGTCTTGACACTTTGAAGCAGAATCTGCTACCTCACTTCACCCGAGGAGCTGCTGGCAGCGAACTAAGGGGCAAAGAGAACTATCAAGATCTTTTTGGTATTTTGTTTCCAGCAACTGGGGGAATCCTCGCGGGTGCGAGCATGTCAGGCGATCTGAAGAATCCTAGCGTGTCTATCCCCCGGGGTACACTCGGCGGACTGGCTTTGACCTTTGTCGCATACACTCTAGTGATTCTAGCTATGGGTGCAAGTATTACCAGGGAATCTTTCTACAGAAACGTCAATGTCGTCCAGGACGCCAGCATATCGGGAACATTGATTCTAGCCGGAGAGTTGGCATCGACATTCTTCTCCGTTTTGATGGGTATTATTGGACCAGCCAAACAACTGCAAGCTATTGCTAGAGACAGGGTGGTTCCAGGTCTCTCAATATTTGGACAGGGGACAAAGAAAAAGGACGAACCCATTTATGCCATCCTCTGCACTTTCGCTGTCACTCAGCTGGTGCTTCTTCTCGATATAAATCAGATTGCTTCGCTAATCACAATGACCTATCTAATGTGAGTGTTGCTGCAGACTGTTTGCGGAATGGCACTGATGGCATTTGCAGGACCTTTGTTGCGCTGAATGTGGCCACCTTCCTTTTGAAGATCGGTTCTGCCCCGAACTTTCGGCCTTCATTCTCGTACTTCAACTGGTGGACGGCGGCCTCTGGGGCACTCCTCAGCATCGGCAGCATGTTCTTTGTCGATGGTATTTCGGCGTCTGGTTCCGTTTGCCTTCTCCTCATTCTTATCATGATGATTCACTACACCACACCGCCAAAACCCTGGGGCTCGATTTCAGAGGTACTCATTTATCACCAAGTTCGAAAGTATCTCCTGAGACTCAAGACTGAGCATGTCAAATTTTGGCGGCCGCAAATCCTTCTCTTTGTTAATGACCCTAGAAGGAGTTACAAACTCATCCACTTCTGCAACTCGCTCAAGAAAGGTGCCTTGTTCATCATTGGCCACGTCATTGTTACGCAAAATTTTGGCGCCTCTGTGCCTGAAGCACGGCGTCAGCAAGCAGCATGGAACAAATTTATCGACATCTCCAAAATCAAAGCTTTTGTGAATGTGGCAATTTCGCCTTCAATTGAATGGGGAGCCAGAAATGTCTTCCTCTCCGCTGGGTTGGGGGGCATGCGCCCGAACATTGTTGTCCTCGGCTTCTACAACTTACAACAGTTCAGATCAGAGCAACCGCTAGTCGACGTGCCCAGCCCACCTCCGGAACGAAAAGCCGGATCGATTAAACGGCGTCGTACCAGCATGAGCCAAGTGCGAGGCGCATTACCTACCGACGTGTGCTATGTGGAAAAACGGACGGACATCCAGAGTTATGTTATGGTATTGGAAGATATGATCCTCAAACTGCGGACCAATGTTGCAGTTGCGATAGGTTTTGCCCATCTGGAGCTTCCTAAGGCCAAAGCAAGTGTCACAAAGAAATATATAGATCTCTGGCCTATCCAAATGTCCGCCGAGCTCACATCTGAAACAGACGGTCAACCCCAGAATGTCACAACCACCAACTTCGACACTTATACCCTCATCCTGCAGCTTGGGTGCATTCTCAACACTGTACCATCGTGGAAGCGATCTTATAACCTCCGAGTCGCAGTCTTTGTCGAGTATGAGGCTGATGTGGAAGAGGAAAGAGCTCGAGTCACGTCACTCTTGGCAAATCTTCGAATCAGGGCCCAAGTTCTTGTGTTCTGGCTGGCTTGCGGTACCGTCAAAACATACAACTGTGTTGTAAACGGGCAAGATGTGGACGAGGAGACACAAGATCAAGTCAATAAAGTCCTGGAAGACGAGGTGTGGTGGCAAGAACTTCTTAAGCTCCGGGGCAAGTCTAGATCTGGTGATGTTAGTGCTATGGATGCCCTTTCAATGACAGATGACTTTGCTTGGCCAAGCTCGTCTCTTCCAGGCAGAAGAGACAGTGTCTTCATTCGGATGGATGGTCTGCGCAGGATCTTGACACATCCAAGAAAGAGATCGTCGTTTGGCAATTTGTCCAGCCTTGGGGTGAGTCTTTCTATGAGAACTTCACGCATAGATGACGACATGCTTAGCCGACACGCATCTCATCCGAGCGACTCTGAGCGCTCCGATTCCGATTCCGATTCCCAGGACGAGGATGAGGAAGAGTCCGATGCAAGCTTATCAGAAGATGATGGAGAGCAGGTCCAGGAGTCGTCGGCAAGTCTGAGGTCCGCACTCAAAACCAAATCATCGTCGTCCAAAAAGAGTAGTCAAGCAAGTTCCAAAAGGTCGAGCCGCAAGAGGCAGAAGGAAGAAACTTCAGGGATGGGATGCTCTGCGTCGGTCGAGCCAGAATTGCAATTTGATGAAGAGGTTCCGCGTTCAGCTGACGAGGATGTCGACCGAGGCCGCAGTCCGGCCGCGTCGGACTCTGGTGTACCATCGTTGAGGGGAAGCCTTGAGGTTACCGGCTCGTCGCAAAAGTCTTGTCCAGCTTCGCCTAATTTCACATCCGAACCTGTACCTCTGGTCAGAGTGGCCAGCGACGAAGCCGCTGGTCCCTCAATCATGTTCGCCGACCACCCGCACCCGCGGCGACAGAATGCTGAAGTAAATGTCCCCATTGCAGGACGATCAATCTACCAACGGACAAAAGATGACCGCGCTGCTCCTCAACCGCCCGCTCCTGGCTTTCCAATGGCTGCCTCGATTCCATTGTCCTTCAACGACTTACCGAGTCGAGCACAGCATCTGATCTTGAACGAACTCATATCGCAGAATAGCGACGATACGGCCGTCATCTTCACCACGCTACCGGCACCGGTAGAAGGAACATATCGCAGCGAGACGGATAGCCTTGGATATATCAGTGATTTGGAGGTGTTGGCTGGTGGACTGCCGCCGACTTTGCTGGTGCATAGTAACAGCATGACTGTTACTACGAATTTATGAGACGGTCCAGCGCTCTATTTCTAGGCCCAAAGAAGACCTTTTAGACTCCCTAGCTTTTGTCTGAAGACTAACAGAGAAAATGAGGACTTTGATTTTTAGGCTTCTGAGATGTTTTCTATCGCCTTATTTGGCTCCATCCGTAATCTAACGTTCCATGCAATAATATCCCAGGGCTGTTTACACTGCTTCCTGGGTTCTGCTCATCTGACGCAAGAGCCAAGGTAGACCAAACAGGTCTTCAGTCTCCCATGCAGACATATATTCAAGCTTTAAAGCTAAGCAGACCCCCAAGCGTTAGACATCACAGTTTTTCGTGTTGTCCCTGGTATATCTGGTCTTCGGTGCCTTCAAAGCGACGTGGTGCGTGAGCATTTTCGCCCATGTGTATTCTTCGCTCGGACAGACTAATGCAAAACAAAAAGAGCCCATCTAATACCGCTCCGCCTTGTTAAGTTTCCTAGCCGTTTTGATCTGGCTCCTCGTATTCTGTCCCCTGACTGGCAAATTCATAGCATGTCTGCGTCCTCTATATGTCCCCGTATCTCTCAGTCTTGTGATATCTTGCTGCACTTGCCGTCTCAGGTGGTTTTCAATCTTCATGGAATCCAATTGAGCAGTCAGGTCGAGGACTTGGTTCTGGGTGAGTTCGCCGACTTTGACGGTGTTGTGTAGGTGGAAACGCGACATGATACGGGCTCGAGTGGCAGGGCCGATGCCAAAAAATGTTTCGAGCGACCTCTAGAGAGATGATTAGGCCCATTAAACAGCGGGCGCAAGACTTCCGAATGGCGAGATGTAGTTACATACCCATACGAAACGGTGTTCGGGGAAGTTGACCCCCAAAATGAAGACCTGATGAATGCGTCGTCAATACGGCTGGCAGGTAAAGCGACGTTCAAAGATACTTACCATTTTGCTCCACCTCTCTCTCCGTTCGCTTCTGGTGTTGGTGGTGCCAGCGACTCGATCTACCTAGGCCCCGTCAATGAAACAGATTTGTCTACAAAAGTTGCGATAGGAACCGACTAATTCAGCCTTGCCGCCGCTTTAAACTTGGGGTGCCGCACCTCAGCCCTCCGAAACCCCCCTCCCAAATTGAAAGGGTTGCTGAAACATCCTTGGAACATCCAATCTGTCATCTGCCAGCCGCAAACTTTCAATCTGTTCTTTTTTCCTTCTCAGTAATCTTATCAGTCAACTCTTACTGTTCAATGTGGTTCGAGATGGCTAATATCCAGCGGGTCGTCATCTCGCTGATGGTCATCTTGACCGCTACCTTCTTGTTCATGGGACAGACAGCGCAGGCGGCGAAGGGTCCCAAGATCACACACAAGGTCTACTTTGATATTGAGCACGACGGCCAACCGCTAGGCCGGATTGTAATGGGTCTCTACGGTAGGACCGTGCCAAAGGTAAGATACCTTTAACGCAGCTGCTTTTGTTCGAGTGCTCCCAGCTAACAGCTCTCTCCCCAGACCACAGAGAATTTTCGAGCACTGGCCACAGGCGAGAAGGGTTTCGGCTACGAAGGATCAACCTTCCACCGCGTCATCAAACAGTTCATGATTCAGGGTGGCGACTTCACAAAAGGCGACGGCACTGGCGGCAAGTCGATCTACGGTGACAGGTTTGAAGATGAGAACTTCAAGTTGAAGCACACAAAGAAGGGCCTATTAAGCATGGCCAATGCGGGAAAGGACACAAACGGGTCACAGTTCTTCATTACCACCACTGTTACAAAGTACGCAACCCAACCCCCCCCCCGGGGGGGAGCTACATCTTCTGCGGCGGATATTCTTGGCTAACAATACATGCATAGCTGGCTTGATGGGCGTCATGTTGTCTATGGCGAAGTGCTGGAGGGCTATGATGTTGTCGAGAAGATCGAAAACGTGGCCAAGGGATCGGGTGACCGTCCAGCCAAACCTGTCAAGATAGTCAAGAGCGGAGAGCTGCCTGTGCCACCCGAAGGTATTCACAACGAACTTTAGGATTTGAGGGCAGGTACTGCTCTCGGATTACTACACATATTTGAAGAAGGGCTAAGACGCGTTTGACAGAACGACCGATCTATTCGACCGTACATCCCGAATATGTGGGTGACGACGATAAAGGGGATGATTCTGGGACAAAATTGCCTATAGCAGCGGACGAGACGGAGGCACCACCCGATGGATTACCTGCAATTGGAGAAGTCTCTAGCCCTGCTGAAGGTCTAGTTACTCAAGCATACATGCAGAAGGCAGTGCTCTTTCTTCTGATCATGGCGGTCGTTTTGTTCGTAGTTCGCAGGCGCAGATCGCCGCCCCAAAAGCTGGATGATAAAAGCATGGCGTAAGCGGATGTCATGAAGAGGGATTGGGACCTCGGTCTCATTAATATGAGTTGGCCTGCGAGGAGCCCTTTTTCCCACATTAACAAGTACCTTGTACAGAGTGCCTATTGCTGCAATCTTGGCCAAGTCTTTTGCCCCTTGGTGGCAACGTACTACACTAATAGGGCATAGGCTTGCTCTTGGCAAACTGCGCTTTTATTTAATTATCCAGTAGCTTCTAGCCTGGCCGATCGGCCCATGTAATGATCACCTGCTCGCCACTCCCTAAAAATTTTAGGCTGCGCTTTCAAGACTTTTTCATCTTCTCAAACTTCATCCATCAACCTCCTCCTATCCACACAACAGCCACAACCGACAATTCTACAGTCCTTCTTGTTTCTGTCTTTTGTTTTCACTTTCGGATAGACTTGGAGAGGCGTTCTGTGTCTCTCATTCTATCTGCCGGACACGAAAGACCAAGCAATCGTCAGCGATTGATTCATTAGACGCCACAACAGCCTCACTTCACCTTTCAAGCAGCGACTATCACGACTGCCTCTTTTCTTCATCTAGTCAAAATATCCCAGACGACGGCTGTCTGTTTGATCCCATTCAATCCGTGAGTTCTCCCACCAGCTCGTCGGCTCCTGCGTCCAGTTCTTTGCCACTCTCTCTGCAATTCCTACTCACTGTCCGAGTGCGAAGTTTTTCTGGAATTTTCCCTCGAAGATCGTCCTTCGACTACCATCATAAATTTGTGCCATTTTCAGTCTCAACTGATCGTTCCAATCCCAGAAACAGATTTCATATCCGCCCAAAAAATGGCCGATTCTTTGAACATGAACGGTCTCTCTCTGAACGAATCCAAGCACGCTCCAGGCAACCCGATGCCCGCTCGTGCGTACATCCCTCCTCATCTTCGTGGCCAGAGTGCTCGTGGTCCTCCGGTGATGGGCATGGATGGAGCAGGTGCTGCACCTGCACCTGCACCTGCACCTGCACCTGCCCCTGCGCCTGCGCCTAATGCCGGAAACCAAGGTTTGAACGGAAGTGCCTGGGCCACTAACACGTATGTGAGACAAAATCCTGAAAACCTCAGAGTCTTACTCACAAACCACAGTCAAAGCAACGGCAGCTGGGCAGCAGCCCCTGATTTCAAACCTGGCCCTGGCGCTCCTGGTCCCCAAGCCAATGGCTGGGGTGCTGGTCATAGTCCTCGCCCCTTCAACCCGAACGCATACGGTGCTCCCAGTGGCGGCCATGGCGGCGGTCATGGGAGCGGATACGGTGGGGGTTATGGTGGCAACACTGCTCGTGGTTCAGGAGACGGTCAATGGAGAGACGGTCAACACATTGCGGGACCGCCGAACCCAAAACTCGAGCGTGAACTGTTCGGCACTCCAAACGACCCGACCAAGGCTCACACTGGAATCAACTTCGCCAACTATGACGACATCCCTGTAGAGGCTAGTGGCCACGATGTCCCGGAACCTGTCAATGCATTCACAAACCCCCCTCTTGATGACCACCTTCTAAGCAATATCAAACTTGCACGATACGCTACGCCGACGCCTGTACAGAAGTACTCTATCCCGATCGTCATGGGAGGGCGAGACCTCATGGCTTGTGCCCAGACTGGTTCTGGCAAGACCGGCGGTTTCTTGTTCCCCATCCTCTCACAGGCCTTTCAGAACGGTCCATCTGCCGCACCTGCAAGTGGAGGTGGTTTCCGTCAACGCAAGGCTTTTCCAACATCCTTGATATTGGCTCCGACACGTGAATTGGTTTCCCAAATCTATGATGAAGCACGAAAATTCTCTTACCGTTCCTGGGTCCGACCCTGTGTGGTTTACGGTGGTGCCGACATTGGTACTCAACTTCGCTCTATTGAGCGAGGTTGTGACTTGCTTGTTGCTACCCCAGGCCGTCTCGTCGACCTCATAGAGCGAGGCCGCATCTCCCTGGCGAACATCAAGTACTTGGTTCTGGACGAGGCCGATCGTATGCTCGACATGGGTTTCGAACCGCAGATTCGTCGTATTGTCGAGGGTGAAGATATGCCTTCAGTCCAGAACCGCCAAACCCTCATGTTCTCCGCTACTTTCCCGCGCGACATTCAGATGTTGGCAAGGGATTTCCTCAAGGACTACGTCTTCTTGTCAGTTGGTCGAGTCGGTTCTACATCCGAGAACATTACCCAGAAAGTTGAATACGTGGAAGATCACGATAAGCGCTCTGTCTTGCTCGACATCCTCCATACCCACCGCAACGGTCTCACTCTCATCTTTGTAGAGACCAAACGCATGGCAGATACCTTGTCCGACTTCTTGATCAACCAAGGCTTCCCAGCTACTGCAATCCACGGTGACCGCACTCAACGCGAGCGTGAGCGAGCTCTGGAGTTCTTCCGCAATGGCAGATGCCCAATCATGGTTGCTACAGCTGTTGCTGCACGTAAGTAATCCCCGCTTCCTTACATTCTCTTTCCCTCCTTCCCTCCTTTCCTTCCTTCCCAAACTGGACTCCTGGATACCGCAGGAGCTACACGGCATGCCTCACCATCATCATGGATCGTCATCTTCTTCCAACCTGGATTCCTGGCCTCAGCACACCACTTCTGTTTGGATCTTCCTGGAAGGGCTTCTGGCACTTTTCACTGCTTAACCTCTCATCACTTTCGCCGACATCATGGGGCCAGACACAGAAGACACTTCAGAGTACATGAAGTGGTACACGTGCGCTCTCCTCTCTCAGACTGATAGAGCCCTCAAGCACCTCACTCTCGACCGTGAATATGCTACTCAAGATGACCTGCAGTCTTTCATGGATACTACTGCTTTCGACTGGGCGCCCGGTTTGTTGATGACCATCAAGTCTGACGAATCTCGCACAAACCCCTTCAGGGGTCTACCTATGCACTCTGCTACATGGGCTGTCTACGTTATTGTGTTGGAAAAGGATGGCATAAGAGCAAGAGTGTATGTTAGGAGTGGCACCTGTTCAGATCGCGGCGTCAAAAAGCGGATGGGTCAGTATGACCAAAGGTCTAAGGATCCAGCAGCTGCAAGTGGCATTCCTCACTATGTTGAGGAGAGCTTGAAAGAAGGATTCGAGATTACTTCAAAAGGCCTTCTGGCATGGCCGTCGATTACCCTACCTTGCGATGTCTTCAGACTGCGCTGTCTTGTCCGTGTGATGGAAGCAACATTCAGCATGTGTTTCTGGATTATGAAGTCTCGGGGACAAGGACTACTACATGCCTGGTCTCTGTCCATGGGCTCGCGAAGATTTCACCTACGATGGTTTATGCACCCATTTCTCAATCAACGAATCTATTCCAGGAGCCCCTGCCAGCGGCACGACGGAGGAGATCAACGCGCTTGCTGAGGAAAGAAGAAAGGAAAAGCAAGCACTGTACATCGCCAACAAAGGTCCTGGAGTCCCTGCTACCAACACAAAAGCATATGGAGAAGCAGCCCTTGCGGAACAGAGGTATCGATGCGATGTGTGTGCGACTTCACATTTCGCTCCAATGCAAAGCTTCTCGCCCATCTGGACACTCAGTTCCACAAGAATAAAGCTGCTGGAATTTTGCCTCGTACAGCAGGTCGTGGCGGCTCACAGCTCGCTATAGTCAACAAGCCGCACTGGTGCCAGGTCTGCCAGTATGCCGCTCCTTCAGCTGCCAGGCTCAGAACCCATCTGAATGGTCCTCGCCATGCAAAGAAACTTCGAGACATCGCCGCGAAGCAGAAGCTCGCACAGTCCTGACTACATTTGGATGCCATACATTTCGTTTCTCTTTGAACATTTACTAACCACAATCTTTCATTTCACAGGAGGCCTCGATATTCCCAACGTCACCCACGTCATCAACTACGACCTGCCCACCGATATCGACGACTATGTTCACCGAATTGGTCGTACCGGTCGTGCTGGCAACACCGGTCTATCGACCGCTTTCTTCAATCGCGGCAACCGTGGCATTGTTCGTGATCTCATTGAGCTTCTCAAGGAAGCAAACCAGGAAGTTCCCAGCTTCCTGGAGAACATCGCTCGTGAAAGTTCTGGTTTTGGAGGTGGTCGCGGCGGGCGTGGTCGCGGTGGTGCTGGCCGTGGTGCTTCTGCCACTCGTGATATGCGTCGTGTGGGCGGCGGCACGGGCGGTGGTGGTCCCCCTTCCTACAGCGGCGGATACGGCGGTAGTAGCTACGGCGGCAGTGGTGGTAAGTCCCGATCAAGTTCCATTTTCCCAAATCATGCACTGACACAATCAGGCTACGGCAGTGGGGCCTCTTATAGCGGTGGGGCCTATGGCGGAGGATACAGTGGTGGAAGTGGCGGAGGATATGGCAATCCCGGGGGTGCCACAGGCCCTTCATCCTGGTGGTAAACGGTCAACGGCGTTTTCTGGTGGATCGACATTTCCGCCTCTTGTTGACATGGGGTTTTCTTTTCTACTTCAATATTTGCACTCTCGAACAGTGACCGGGTGTTGCCTTCGAAGCCAATGGGCAGGCTCCTTCAGCATGGACTTGCTGCTTCGGCGACGACGACGACGCCAACGGCATATTTTTCGAGACGACTGTTTATTATCGGGCACAGCATGATACACTGATAGATAGCGTTGGCTTTTTTTCCGGATCGATTCCCAGATACCCCTCAGCATGTCGAACTGCCTCATGTGAACAGAGGGAACGGACGATACGTGCAGACGAACATCAGACTCACACCACGGCGTCGGTTTGGAACGAAAGAGAGTGACGGCGCAAACTCGAACCTTGAAACAATGGAATGATGAGACTCATCAGAAGGCTCTAAAATGAATGGGGGCCGCGAGGCTGGAAGGTCAGATTCTTCCGGCTTTTGACGAGATTCGTTTTTCACCAAAAGAACAAAAAGTTATTTGCGGGTTTCTCTCTTTCGACATCCTGTGGGACATGATGAATTCAATAGACTTTTTCGACATGGACATGACACCAAAATCAATCACGAGCTTTTATGGGAGGCCAACGGCAGAAGACTGGGAATCAACGGGAAATAAATGGATGGGGATATTCTACCACGGAAAATGGGGAAGGAGAATAATATTGCGAAAGACCATCTGTGCATCTTCCCGGAGTTTTGCTGCCCAGGACTTGATCCACACTCGAGAGCTTGTGCTTTGATGATGACTGAGCTTTCTTCATACGAGACCCAGAGGGAAAAGGTCTTCGCTGGCTGTTCTTAGATCAGGCTCGCCAGGCCACCATTGCACTTTGCTAGCAAAAATGAGATTAAGGTTTGAAAAGGAACCATAATTGATCGACGTGTTTCGTGTTTCTCTTTGTCCTTCAGGCCGACATATTGTCACCACATTCGTCCGTAGACGCACGCCTTCCTCGGTCGACTATGCCGCATGATCCAAATGCTGGTGTCAGGAGTTTGATATTGGCATCATGGTGCATGTACATACTTGGCCTTATCTCCATTAATTCCACCGTTTCATCAATTTTGGCATGTTTCCACACCCCTGATGCCAAAAACTAGAGGCTACCCATTGACTACTTGACCGCGTTCGGCCGACGGCGAAGCAAACCTAGATCAAAAGCTAAGCCCACACCCACACCCACAAAGCGGACTTCGGGATGGACCCTGGACGGGTCTAGCGAAGAACGCAGTGCCGGATGAGGATATGGGCACCCGCCAGTGACTCGGCAGAGAGAGTCCTACAACCACCCAGCAACCCCTCCCTCACACAAGAGCCGAGCACAACTCTAGCATTCACTAATGCACCATACCTGCTCGGGCAGCATGGAGATAAGTCCAGGAAGGTCAATTCCTTGCATGTTTCTATTGCCTTGAGGAGAGCTTCCGTCTCCACCCTCAAAGGAGCAAAACGTCTAGGAAGATGGTGCACAGACGTCTCGTATGGTCATCCCCTTTAATTGGACATGTCTTGTTTCTCACTTTGTCATTCTGAGAAAGGAGAGAACGCTGGTCGGTGGTATAAGAACAACCCTGTGCCCTCTTGTCTGTGACTTCTCAATCAACCCCAAATCACAAAACCTCTCGCTCGCAACAGTCAAGACAAACAGCTCCAGCAACCATGGGTGATCGCTTCACTCCCGCTCCGGAACCGCCCACCGAGCTGGGTCGGTATCGAGTCCTCTCTCCCAATGCTGGCGTCAGAGTCTCGCCCTTATGTTTAGGTGCTATGTCCATTGGCGACGCTTGGAGTGAGGTGAGTTTGCGACGATGGTTGTATTCCCTCCACGGCTAACCATCCATCTTGCTGTCTTCTAGTTCATGGGCAGCATGAGCAAAGAACAATCCTTCAAGCTCCTAGATGCCTTTGTTGAGGCCGGTGGGAACTTCATCGATACCGCTGTACGTCGCGCCCACTTTCTCAATGGGACTAAAAATGCCCAAGTTTGTGTTTGGGGACTATGACTGCTTGACTGACTCAATGTTTGCGCTCCCTCAGAGCAATTATCAAGATGAACAATCGGAAAAGTGGATTGGTGAGTGGATGAAGGCAAGGAAGAACCGAGATCTGATGGTCATTGCCACCAAGTCTGTCACTTTTGCCCGTGCCATCCCCAAAGATCAGGTTGCTGACACGGTGCCATGCAGGTACACCACACCCTACCGAAGCTGGGAGCTCGGCAAAGGCAAGACGGTCAACTACGCCGGCAATTCCAAGAAATGTCTGCACCTCTCAGTCAGAGATTCCCTTGAAAAACTCCAGACCGACTACATCGACATACTATATGTCCATTGGTGGGTAAGTCTCTCGGAACATTTATCTAGTTCTGTTCGACCTCTCCTTCGTGCCTCTTTTCCTTCCTAGAATACGATGATGCTAAAATGGCTAGGATTGGACAACTTCCATTGAAGAAGTGATGGATAGCCTGCATCTCCTTGTTCAATCCGGCAAAGTCCTCTACCTGGGAATCTCCGACACGCCAGCATGGATCGTCTCGGCGGCAAACACCTACGCTCGCGCTCACGGCAGAACTCCATTCTGCGTGTATCAAGGTCAGTGGAACGTGATGCAACGAGATTTTGAGCGCGAAATCATCCCCATGGCTCGTCACTTCGGGATGGCGTTGGCACCGTGGGACGTGCTTGCCGGCGGCAAATTCCAAAGCAAGAAAGAAATCGAAGAGCGCAAGAAACGGGGTGAAGGGCTGCGCAGCATGTTCGGCTCGGGCGAGCAGACGCCTCAACAAGAAAAGATGTCGGCAGCGCTGGAGAAAGTGGCTCAGGAGCACGGGGTCGAATCCCTCAGCGCCATTGCCCTCGCCTACGTTCTGCAAAAGACACCAAACGTGTTCCCTATCGTTGGTGGCCGGAAAGTCGAGCATCTACAGGCCAACATCAAAGCGCTCTCGATCAGATTGACAGACGAGCAGATCCGATTTCTGGAAAGCCAGTCAGACTTCTCCCCAGAGTTTCCTTCCTCGTTTGTAGGAGAGTCACCGAGGGCGACGGGAAAGAATACATGGATTTTGTCGATAAGTGCGCAAATGGCGTGGCCGACGCCAGAGAAACCTGTAGGGAATTAGGAAGGGGAAAGCAAAGGTTGAAGACTAGTAGAGGGTGGAAGTAGAGGTGTTAGATAGGAGAAATAGATGAAGATGCAAGAGAAGCGACGAGGAAAAAGTTACTGCTTTGGTCCATTCTGGGGCAAAAAGGCGAGATCCTTCGAGAGAGGTTCCTGGAAGAGGCCGCAAGAGCACTGGAAATAGCAATTCAACAAGTCATCCAAATATGTGCACGTCCCTTTTCAATGTTTTTTGTCGCAGATTATCGTGTTCTCGGGCAGATCGTTCATTCAATCAAGGGCGCATTGATAGCTTTGCACTCCCGCTCTGCTCTCTGAGTGCAGTGTAGGGTTCTGGCAAGGGCTGCATTTAACAAAATGTCCTTCAACCAAGGCTAGATTTCATAGTTGGCCTCGAATCGGCGCTGGTCGCGATGCAGGAATTCCGGGGTGAGTGCCATGGACGAGAGGAGGATCAAGGAAAAATCGCAAACATATATCCTTTCTTCTCTGAACACATGTAGTTCTGGCACTACTGCGTCCTTCCTAGCACAGCCGTGGCTGATGCCTCCTTCTGCCCTTCATTCCATTACAACCTCCAACACGCGCAGGTCTGAATTTTTACCGGAGTGTCCACTCTCTCAATCCTCCATCTCCCATCGGCCTCCTTGAACAAAGTCTCCCATTCACCCAAACTTCGTTCCTTGCCGCCCACCATGTTGTACATAAGAAGGGCCAAACTTCGCATCAGCGCCTCTTGATACAAAAAAATCTCCCCGGGTTTGTCTGGCAGCACCTGGTCGACAATGAACAGTTTCGACTTCCCATTGTCCAAGACTAGGATCAAGGCCTTGAGGATTTTCATGCAATCTCTGTCCGGCAAGTCGTGCTGGACTCTGCTGACGAGTAAGCTGTTGGTGACGGCCGGACCAAACCCGTAGGCTGTGGCCTTGGGCAGGAAAAAGTTTTTGGTTTGGAATGTCACCCTGTTTCGCCGCTCATCTGGTGCTGCCGCTTTTGCTGGCTCTGCATTAGTCTCCAAGACCTGAACAAAAGCTTCCAGGTGCGGATGCGCCCGGGCAATGGGGACGCTGATGTGGCCGTTACCGCCGCCGAGATCAACAACGACGGCCTTGCCCAGGCCTCCCGGGTCAAAGCCTCGGATGTGCAGCATGTACTTGGACCCATGATGGCGTGCCCAATGACTCACATTGCGGCGCTGAACTTGGCGATACCGTCTGGCTGCTCTTGAACTATATGCCGATAGTTCTTGTACTTTGGGAGAGCCAGATGAACCGGGACAGGAGGCTTATTGGCCTCGCTCTCTCCTGGACCAACTCTAAGACTCTCTCCTACTTTCATACCATCTAATATCAGGGCCCGAGAAAGGATCTTTTGGGTGTATGGAGAGAAAGACGGAATGGGAGCAGATAGCGTCGTATGGGCAAGAACCCCTAGTTTCGGCTCGTAGAATATGTGCATGGTGTAGGCATACCTCAGGATTCGTTGCAAAAACGCTGTATGGAGCTAAAGGTCTGACGCCAACGTCTTCACAGTGATAGGCCCATCGAAGGGTACTGCTTCAGCAAGTTTCAGTTGATCGATTGCTCCTAGCATTACGAGATATTGGTTCGGTCAGTGCTGATCACTTCTCGAAGCGTCTTGGTCGGTCCACAAGCGAGAGTGAAAGTTGACTAGCTTGCGTCAATGAGCCGAGCTCGAGACTCGAGAATCTCTGGGTAATCTGGCAGCACCATGGTAATCTCGTGGACCAATGACTTCAACCGATGGCTGAGGTAGGGAGTTTTCTTCCAGTCGCTGTTGGAGTGTTTTCGGAGCTTTCAAGATTTGAGCGGCGATGTTGACAAGTGAGGGTGGTGCCATCTTTGAGCATCATTAACAATAGTCGAGAGAGAGTGAGAGAGACAAAAGAGAGCACAGGTTTCAAGTAATAAGGGCGGCTTTTTTTTTGGTGAGGCTGGGTCCCTCCTAGTTGAACACCCTCTTCATAGCTCTAAAGCACCGACACCGATTGGGGAGCTTCTTGACATATGGCTGGAGGACCCCTTTCTTCAACCTCAGCTGCCATGAGCGATTGGGATGGTGTCGGACACCTGTACGTTGAAAATAGTCGTACTCAGCCCAGAGCACGAGCCTTTGGTATTGCACAACGCAGAATCTATAGAGCTAGTCTTCATTCAGTCGAAGGCGTCGGAGAACGCAACAGTCGATGATCTGTTTCGGCTTAAGCATATACTGAGTTGGAACGCTCCCTCCGCTCCCTAAATCAATGATTGAGACCAAGGTATTAATTCCATGAAGGTTTTGTGAATCTTGGCTGGATGAAGAAGCAGCACCCAGCTCTTGACAATAGTGGCTCCGCCATCTTCAAGCGGGTACAACCCGAGCGTTCTTCCAACACCCCCCTATGGTACAAACACGAGATGTTGTCTGGCCTCAATTCACGGAACCAGTCTTTGTTCCCTGCCGCCTTTCTTTGTTTCAGTGGTTTGATGGTTGCTTTGGTCAGGCGCTCCTTCGAGAACCTCGCAGAGTATGTATAGGATAGCCGTGCGTCAAACAAAAAAATGGACAAGGCCAGTGTCAAACGTTGCTGCTAATTTCGAATCCACGCTCTTGCTTCTTTCTTCGTCACGTCGACATGACACCTGATCCAAACAAGCCACACACACCCTTATGAATGTGCTGCGCAACTTCGGCGCTGAGACAACGGCACAGTTCAGTGCTTTCTCGCCGTCAGGGTCTCACTGATCGTGCTGGAGAGCCCACGCAAGGTTTGCTGGGAGTCCGGTACAAATAATCGAGAGAGGTCCGAACGGACTAGACTTTCCATCGAGCCCACGGTCTTCCCAAGCTTTCCCACTCAGCAAAAATGTGTACGACGAAAAGGTACCTATTCCTCTGTTCCCATCCCGCCACACATCGGTTTCGTGATACCATATGCAACTCACCCAGCATTCGTGGCTGTCAAGTCCGAGATTACAATGTCTTCCTCCGATACCCGTGCAAAAAATGCAGTAACAGCGGCAAAGCCTCAGTCCATACGGGCTTCTGCCGAGACCATGACTTTGCGTCTGATGACTTTTGGCACATCCCCAGCAGATGCTTTATCGACGTCGGATTTCGAACACTGGACCCCTTCATCAAGGGACACATGTCAGAGCCGCCGACCCCAACTACACCGTTCACCAGGTATTCGGTCGATGAAGATCCCTTGACGCCACCGCTGACTCCAACCAAAATCAAGACCTGCGACCCAAAAATTTGTAGGAGGCTGCTTCGTCGATTGACAATGCGGGAACCCAGTCCATGTTGTGCTCGGGAAAGTCAGCACGGAGCATATGCAGCCACAAGGATTGAAGGGAGAGATCATCGCGTTGACGGGGTCATCAGGGATAGTCGCTGCGAGGCGCTGCATTGACATCGACCGCAGGAATGCAGGATGAGAGGGCAGATTTTCCACCTTGATTGTGTAGTGATGTACCCAGAAAATAAGGTGTCCATGGTTTGGTCCGCCCAATGTACAAAGCAATGTTTTCAACCGCCCCTTGTTTCTCCCTCAACCTCAATCTCCACGGGTTCTTGCTTTGCGCTATTCCCATGGGCAGCAATAACCTCACTCTTCGCTCCAGCCTTGGCCATCTCTTCCTTTTCATCATCTGCACAGCCGCAGTCATAGAAATCTCCGATGTTGGCGCAGTCAAAAATCGGTTTGCCTTTACGTTCATTCACCACGTTATGCACGAAACAAGCCCAGGCTGCCGCGCTCGAACGCGAAGACGTCTGTGGAGGATACTTTTTGAGGATCTGTTGGAAATGCTCTGCACATTCGCCGCACGGGTACAGGCGGGCGAAGAGGTAAATGTAGCTCTTGAGGGCATCGCTCTCGTCTTGCGTCGGCTTGTCCGGAAACCGCGCCATGGTAGTGTGCAGGACTTTCCACGCTGCGCGGCCGAGTTCTGCCTTGAGGGTTTCATTTCCGAGCTTGCCCATGACGTGGTCACCGTGTAAGGTCTCGGGAGTGGCTATTACGTTTGGAATTTCTGCGACGTCTGTTGGCGGAAACGAGTGTTGAAAGCGGTTGGCGTGGGACAGAGCGGTCATGGACCGCTCGTGATCGCGTGTCCAGACGACATACCATACGAAGAGAGCAATGGCAGACAGGAGCACCATGAAGGGAGGCGGGCCTCGAGGCATGTTAGAAAATGCTGAGTGGAAATATCAGAGAGAACTGTTGCTCAAAAAGCCACGATAAAGCACACGAGAGACCAAAAAACGGAGCAATGCCGATGTGTGACGATGGCGGCAGACGAGACACTCGTATTAGCAGTTGCTCCAGGGACTCAGGTGATGTCTCATACGGGTCTGTGCCAGTAAGCCAACGAGCCAGATTGGGAAGCCCAGTGTACGGAGGAGCAACGCACACTTGGTCCCGATAATTTGTCCTCATTCTTCGAGAAACTCGGAAAATCCGGGGTTCAGGGTTCAGCCACCTTGCGCCGCAGTTTAAAGCAGCAGCATCGACTGTTATGCACGAGGTACAGTATTATTGCCAGACGTGCTCCGATCTCGCTCGCCAGACAGTAGTGGAACAGAATTCAGAAGAGTGCAACACTCGTCTCACTGGTCCTCCTCCTGCTTGAGCTGGCACAATACAATAGCCCTCCGCTATTCAATTGCCACACCACCGGACAGAAAGATTTACGGACATCTGCTTACGGTCTTGGAATTTGTGACCTCAAGTTCGGGATCCTACCGGGTGGGAGAAGATTTTTTTAATTTTTAATTTTTTTATTTTTTACTTTTATCCAAGAGAGCCTTGTGCCGACTCATATTTGTGACTCTGCCCACCAATATCTACCCACTTCCCACCTCCAATACAGGGTTCTAGTATTTGTGCACATTCTAGAACCGATACAGTGAGTTCTAGTTGACTCAGATTGCAATTGAGCGAGCCGCAAGCGCAAAAGGGACAAAAGAGCAGCCAGAGCACCAAATGGCTCCCTTCCCTCCTCCACCCGTGAGCACAATTGGTACGCCTCTTTCCCTCCCTCCTTTCCTGGGCACGAATCAATTCAAGAACTTCTATGTAGAGACTCTGCTAACCATATGGTCCAGACTGGAGCAACGTCGGCTTCAAAGTCCGCGAAGTCAACGGACATGTTGAATCCACCTTCCGCTATTCCTCTCCCACACCACAATGGAGTAAACCACGTTTCGTCACTTCTCCTCATCTTTCAATCCATGGCATGGCCCCCGGCCTTAACTACGGTGTCCAGTGCTATGAGGGCATGAAGGCCTTCCGACAACCAGACGGTTCCATTACCATCTTCCGTCCAGATCAGAATGCTCTACGCATGCAACGTTCTGCCGAGTTCATCTCTATCCCCCCTGTGCCCGAGGAACATTTCCTGGAATGTGTGAATTTGGCTGTGGGCATGAACGCCGAATTTGTCCCTCCTCATGAGACCGGTGCTGCCATGTATATTCGTCCATTATTGTTCGGCTCTAGTGCGCAACTGGGGCTGAATCCACCAGACGAGTATACTTTTGTCGTATTTGTGATGCCGACAGGCGTCTACCACGGCGTGCATGCCGTGGACGCCTTGATCTTGGAAGACTTTGACCGTGCGGCGCCGGAGGGAACGGGCAGTGCAAAAGTGGGCGGTAACTACGCGCCCGTGTTGCGGCACAGCGAAAAGGCACGATCTCAAGGGTACGGCATCACCTTGCACTTGGACAGCAAGACACGCTCCGAGATCGACGAGTTCTCCACCTCGGGATTCTTGGGCGTGCGGAAAGACGGCGACAAGACGGCGATTGTGGTGCCCGACTCCAAAAATGTCATCAAGTCCGTAACGTCGGAATCTGCCTGCCAAATTGCCAAAGACATCTTCGGCTACGGCGTCGAGAAACGTCGGATTGACTATAGTGAACTCTCTCAGTTTACCGAAATCATGGCCGCCGGTACCGCGGCCAGTCTGGTGCCCATTAAAAGCATCACAATGAAATCCAAGGGAGATAGATTCGAATATCCGGTCAACGAGAAGCTGGATCCGGGGCTGGTCTGCGCGCAGCTGTTGAGCACGTTGAAGGGTATCCAAATGGGCAAGGTAAAGGATCAGTTCGGGTGGAATATGAAAGTTACGGAGCCGTCCAAGGAGTTTGCTCAGGCAGCCACTAATGGCGGCGTTCATGGCGGTGTGGATGAGTTGCCGTGAGGCGAGACACGGTGACAGCGTCTCTGGCTGGTGCTCAAGGGTGATTATGAACGACAATGTCAAGGGAAGTCGAGAGATTCAGACAGATAGAGGAGTGAGGTGCAGTAGAACTGCGTTTGCCCAAGCAACAAAAGCCCGCCTCAAACATTAAATAGCTCTAAAGCGCTCCCTGTACAGAATGGGTCTCATACAGTCTTCATCCATAATGCCAAAGGGTTGTTCCATGCTGCTTGGCTGGCGCTGTCCACAAGTAGACTCTTGCACGCTGACCCTTCCAACGCCTTGAAAATGTCTATCCCAGGGTGGGTATCAATATCATGAATCGTCGAGTATCATAAAACATTCTGATCAAAGGAAACCCTACTCCCTCAACAGGGACCGACAGAGCATCTAATTCATTCAGGCGTAGGTAATTGAAAATCTTCATCGTCCAGCTTTGCGTTTCCAAAAGGGAAGAAGTCGGTTTCGAACAGGTCATGCGCGAGATCATCGCCCCTCTCCTTCGCCATGTCCTGCTCTAGCAACTCGTATTGCTTGAGTCTGAACCACATATCACTGTCTTCGGGCGGTGAGCCATACAAGTCACGAAAGTCGCGTGGGTGGATCGACGCTTGGGCGATCTTGATGGGCTTGGAAGCTGTGGCAATTCGGCTTCTCTCGGTTTCAGCACTTCTGGGGATGATGGAAGGAGCCTTCTTTGCTTTGGGAAACCCAATTGTGTTTCTAGACACAGCCGCATGAGCAGTACGGGATGATGGCGAGCGCCGCCGGAGAGTCGACGGTTTGGCTTTCGTGACAAGAAGAATTCCTTTCTTCTTCTGCTCCGACGCTTGAGTAGTTTTTCTTGTAGCTGCAGGCAGATGCGCCTGTGAGGCGGAGAGAGCAGCAGCAGCAGACTTCGCTTGCATGGTGTCGACCCTTGAGAGCTCAGGCCGTTTCTTCTTTGGTCCTGCTGCGATCATCTTGTCGACCTGTGCGTTGAGTTTAGTGAGTGTTGGAAATACAAGCTCGCCCATGCTCTCGAGACTTTTTTTAACACGTTCGGTATCGAAACGCAGCCACTCTTCCTCTTCCTTTTTGAGGCGCAGTGACATTCCGATCTCGTCTTTGGGCGAGTTACACGGATATCCAACTCCGTAGCCGGCTCGCAGCTCCTCAGTAAGTAGTGGATCTTCGTCGAACTCAATCGGAGGATCTGGTAGCTCAGTTGGTGGTGGAGGTGCATATCCAAAATCTGGTTCTTGTTCCTCCGAGGCCCTCTTTACCGGAAAGTTGCCATCGACTGGTTCAGAAGAAGCAATTGCGATCTTAGATCTGCCCGAACGACGAGCTGTGGAGTGCTTTTGGACTGTTCCAAGCCTCTTTGTTGTCAGAGGAAGGGGGGCAGGTGTCTGGAAAGCCTTCGCGTTGGTTGTTTTTATTCCAAGAGGTGCTCGATTGCGCGGAACCAAGGGTGTAACAAAGGTACTCCTGTCTAATTTGCTCGGTCCCTCTTTGCCCACAGCCTTCTGTCCGTTGAAGTTGACGGGTAGATTCTCATCGTTTTTAGCTGGTCGAAAAGGAGTCTTCAAGTTTCCTGGTGTCTTTGGATGCAGGGACCACGCGCTTTGGTTCATTGACTTTCCTGCAGCTGTGGTCTGCTGGGCGTGGATGAGGTTTTCTTGATCTTGTGCGGCTAATATGTTTGCCATTGCTGATACGGAGTGTTTATCGAATAGTCCAGGTAGTCTTGATTATCATTTGTGCCGCACTCTAGCGCTGTCGAGTTTGTTGGTGATTGATTCAGTTGCCAGAAGCGCAGACATAGGGGTCGAATTGTTGACGCGGTTGCCCCCAGCAACGTGTTCCGGGAGGCTCCTGGTGGTGCCAACAGTGCTCAATTGAACCGTTAGAACCTGAAACCGGCCTAGAACGCAAACAGCGATGCCCCAAGCTCACGAAGCCTCACCCTTAGGCGCCGAATGCCATTGGCTTGATCACCGATGACTTCCCCCTCTATCCCGCAGCTGACTCTTAGCGAATGCAGCAGTGACCGCCAGTTGAGCCTTTCCTATGAACAAGTATCATTTATCTATAACATCAGCCAACTCGCAATTGCTCGCTCCTATCTAATTTTCTGCCAAACCTCGACTTCGGCAACCCCTAGCCTTTGGAAGATTCACCATGGATCGAATCAAGGAGGTACGTCCCTATCACGACTGCACCTGCAACCTTCCCCTCGTGCTCCTGCCAGGCACCACGCAATTCACTGGGGACTGCCTTCTGCCAGAACACAGTCGATGAATCACACTTCTACTTGACTACTGCAGCCGTGTTCCCAATAAGGCGGATCCTTCTTCATCCCTCACTCCCGATACCCAATTAATCCCGCATCCTCCTCACTCGTCAATCACCATCCTCAACCCGCCCACCATGGCGGCTGTTTTCGCTAATTTCCAACAGAAAATGAACTCTCTCCGCATCGAGGCGGATGAGAACGCGGCCAAAGCAGAGGAGCTCAAGCAGAAAGTCAAGGCTCTCGAACAAGACAACCTCCAGAAAGAACAAGAGATCACGTCCCTCAACCACCGCAATCAACTTCTCGAGGCCGAAGTTGAGAAACTCGAGCAAGGCATCAAAGAGGCAAAGGCTCTTGCCGGCGAGTCGGCACAACATAGCAGCGAGACTGAGTCTCTTCAGCGAAAACTCCAAGTTCTCGAGGAGGAAGCTGAGCAGGCTGACAAGACCCTGAGAGAGACCAACGAGAAGTATGCGTGGCCTAGTTTGACGGATGATTCCTGCTAACAACCCCGTGCTAGGCTTCGTCAAACTGATGTCAAAGCTGGTCACTTCGAGCGCAAAGTTCAAGCGCTGGAGCAGGCGCGCGATGAGTGGGAGAACAAGTACGAGGAAATGGCCAAGAAGCATGCAGATCTGCAGAAGGAACTGCAGGAGTTGGAGCAAAGCATGGGCAATATCTAAATTGGACGAGACACCTGGTGTTGGCCATTGTGTTTGGCAAGTGCACGGTTAAGCACACTGCATAGACCACGACCATACCTACGATACCATGGGCATTTGATAAAGGGCACACCCAAAGGCGAGCTTGAAAGTCTTGAATGAGAATCCAGAATAGCATTATCGTTGATCACCCCGTCGTTCTCGAGCCTGTTTTCGGTTTTTGGCTTTCTCTTTTGTGCGTGCCTCTTTCCTTTCTGCTTTGCTCTCGTATCTGAAATTCCTCTTCTTGCGCTTTTTTGTGTCCTTTGGACGGTCTCTTGACCATTGGCGCTTTTGCTTCTCCGACTGACCACCTTCTAACCTTGTGGTGGTCTCTCCCCTCTCTTCCCCGCCATCCTTGTTCGGCCGCTGCTCTGCCTTGAACAGACCTTCTCTCGTAACATTCATCGCCTCGACTGTCACTGTTGTGTACTTCTCTTCGTCGATATATTCTGTCTCGTGATTGAGGGAAGGGGGCTCCGAGTCCAAGATACCGCTCCATTCTTCTTCTGAGTTCTTTTCACTCCCCTCCTTAACCTCCTCCTCATCTGGATCAGACGGCGGCCTCAATATGGCGTTAACTTCCTGGACGTGTCTTTCGAGCTCTGCCTTTCTCTGTTCTCGCAGCTGGTAGGCTTGTCAGCGCAGCAAATTTGTAAAGCTTGATCAGGGGACCGTTACTCTCTTCCGCTCTTCAACTCTTTCCACTCTTGCTCTCCGTTCAGCAGCCTCTCGTGCCTGCTTCGCCTTCTGCAACTTGCGTTTGTGGAATCCGGTCAGAAATTCACGACGCGCAGTCGGATCAAAGGTAATTTCTTCAACAACAGTGGGCTCTGTTCGCCGGCGCTTCATTGGGGGAGGCATTCCGCGTGTAAGACGAGGAAGTCGCTCAATACGGAGTACGTTTCGCCCTCTCCTATCTGCACAAAGTAGCAGCCTCGCGGTGTCGAGGAGAAATAGTTTGCGGTCCGTCAAACTTGCCAAGCGTGAGTAGTACGGCAACGCATGCAGATCGAAAAGTGCATTTCTGGCTTCGACTTCGACTTCCAAGCTCCAAGTTCCTGCCATACGAGGACTCAAGCATCTGCGGCTGCAACAGGAGTGGGAAACCTTTTCGACCGCGAACATCTGAATGGGTATTTGTTACGAGGTACTCCCGTGGCCGTTGCTTAGACCCTCTACTAGATGCCGAAGTCAATATTGACGCCTCGCACCCCTCCTGGCTGCATGATTTGAGAGTCTCTCGTTAGCTCGATAAAGATGCGAGGGCCGGCCTACGCCGTTGCGCTCATCAGTCGAGTCTACCTCGATCCGCAAATGGGATGTAATGCCAAATATACCGAATGCAGCCCTTTCAGAATAACACTCTTTGAACCAGCCCCGTCGTGGAGAGGCTGTGCAGCTCCCCACGCCACTTCCCCCTTTCCTCTTCTGCATGCAGGTGGTTATGGAGGCTTTCCTCGTTCAAGAACACAGCCAACTAGGCTGAGACCGGCATGAGGCGGACAAGAGGAACATCCATGAAAGTCTAACATGATTCTCACTGGTAGTCCCTCGGCTGACGGAGAGCACGCTCGAGAACCGGTTTTGATGCTCTGCCGTCTGTTTACTCGCTTCTCTCCCCCCGAGTTCAATTCTGACACACAATTCTATCGTTGCCCTGTGACAAATGGCAACAACTTAGTCATGGATCGAGTCTCTCCGACCGTTTCGATCTTTGCCTCGGGTATGTGCAGCTTTTCAGCCTCATGACATCTCTGCTGATTCTGCTATAGCAAAGACTGGGGCTGTAATAACACGTGCAATCTCGTCTATTTCCTCTTCGGACGTCCCTGCGGGCATTGAGAATTTATTAACGGAGTTCAGATATACATTCGATGCCGTCGAGCGGCTGAAGGCGCTCGCCTCTCAGCCGGACCGGTTTGAAGGAAGGAACACCTATGCCAGCGGGTACTTGATGTTGTTGCAGATACGCATAAAACATTGACAGAATTACATGAAAGAATCGAGGGATTCCAACCTCCAGGGGATGAAGGGGATACAGGGGGGATGGCGTATACCCTGTGTCTTCACACACGCTGTCAGTGGAACGAGAAATCCACGCAAGTCCTCTTGCTCCGTCTGCAGGATCGACGCGATGCATTGTCCTCGGTATTTGATTTATTCACTGGGTCCGTTATGTTTCACAGTTCTGTATAATATGATTACGTCGTAATCAGCGCCGAAGACACTGCAATCAGGTCATAGACTGCAAATATAAGGACTGCTACCGATGAGATCAGAGCAGAGACTGCAGAAATCAAAGCACAGATATGCAATCTCAATTCTCAGCTCGAAGCCTTGACCAAGCTGTGGGAGGCCAGCTTACCTCCAGTCACAGATACAATCAACATAACAGATGAATCTATATGGCGTGGAAAGCAGTAAATTGCTCCAGACGCTGATGCTTTGTCTGTTGCGGATTCCGCCATCGAAGTGCAGACCAACCCAATTCATTCAAGAAATGGATCTATAGCGACAAACCCTTCCCCAGTTCTACCTCCTCCTCTGCTGCAAGAAAGAGGATTCCTTCGCTCCTAAAAGCATCTTCCGGATAAAACATTCAACTGGCACATAAACCATACGCTTCGTCAAAGACAGCTCAAATTGCCCAAGGCCTTACACAAGCACAAGATCAGAATCTAAAGTTTTTCGTAGCGTCATTGTCGACAGCAGAGACTGTGGCTAGGGGTCTTACCAGTCTTGAAACAGCCGCAGCAGCTCTTGCTTTGGGCAATGCTTATCGTGATGCTGGTCTCTTTGAAGAGGCTCCTCGGCATTTCCACGAGGCGCTAACAACACGAGAAACAGATTTAGGCCTTACCCACCCAACCTCACTCAATATTTTGGAGGTCACTGCCTAGGTGCACGAGATCTAATTCAAATGGTCAGAGGCGCTGGCTTGCTATCAGACTTCCCTTGAAGGTCGAATGGGGAATTCCACTTTCGGTAATTGCCATCCGTACACTCTCGCAGCCGCAACCAAGGTGGCAAGAATGCAACATTAGTTGGGTCAACATGAAGGAGCTGCAAAACAATATTACGCTGGCCGCTCAGCGTATGGATCTCTAAACAGAGCTTAGTCAATCCTGCTCTTTTTGTTCACCTGCACATTGCAGAGGTGAAATGGTCTCAGAGAAGCATCGATGACGCTTTGTCCGAATATAATGCTGTCATAGATCAGGCAGAACAGGTAAGAGGAGGTCATGGCCTCGTGAAACAAGTATATGCCGCAGTTCAAGCGATTCATAGAGAGCAACAGGGTCTAATTGTCGCTGAAGCGGAAACTCTGGACAACGAACTGGAGTTTGAAGATGAGGATGGTTTTCTTCTGGGTAAGAGCGATGTCGAGTTGACCAGGAGATGTCGCAAACAGCTGGAAGACTTGAGTGCAGCACTGGGAAGGACACACCCAGACGGACTCGCAAAGATGTGCGAGCTTGCCGTGGCATATGGGAGCAATGACCGGCAAAAATGCTATAGGCTAGTTTCAAGATGTGGTCGCCGGACATACTAAAGTGTTTGGCCCACATCATCCTCAGACTTTGAACGCAACCCATAGGATGGCTCCTTCATATGAGGAGATGGAAGACCTTGGCAATGCTTTGGACCACTGCCACGCAGCCTTGATGGGTCGTGAGATGCAACTTGATGGTGACCATCCGCAAACTCTTTCATCCGTAGTGGCGATTTCATCCGTCTACAAGGCTCAAGGAGACAAAATAACCGCTTGCGATTTGCTTCTCAGGGCCGTCAATGGTTATAAGAGGCGATACGGGGAAGACCATAGCAATACCCTTTCGACAAAGTACAACTTCCAGCAGTTCATCAGGCAAAATCAATGCTTCAGGTGTGGCTGGAGCTTCATCAGGAGGTCCTGGACCGAAGACTTGCAACGTTCGGTCCTAACTATGGTCCGACTCTGAACTCAGAACAAGGAGTTGGCAAGATATACCAACACGTGAAGAAATATGATAAAGCCATTCCATACCTCCGGCGTGCGTTGGAAGGAAGAGAGAAGGGTCTCGGCCGCACTCATTCTTTGACAAAATCCGTCGCTCTTGATCTGGCTTCTGCTTACGGGGATTCAGACTGACTAACAGAGACATTTACGTGTTACAGTTAAGCATTTGAGCGAATCTAACATCAAAAACCTGAATCTGGGACTGCTGGGCTTGTAACGATGTCCAACATGGCATCGTGTTATTTCGTGCTTGAAGACTATCCTCAAGGCCTTACCTGGCACAGAAAGATTCTAACCATTCGGGAAGAAGAATATGGCATTAATGACAAAGCAACTCTCCACGCTGCCGAGCAGGTGGCAAGATGTTGTATGAAGACCGAAGACTGGGTTACTTCAATCCAGCTGTTTCATAAGGGTGATAGCCTTTCAGCAGGAATCTTCCGCGGACACTCCTGGGGATTGCAGCTTCAATCTCTTTCAACTGTCCCTGGCATGCTTTAATAAGGGAATGTATGAAGAATCGTTGGCCTGGAGTCGACGAATCCTTGCCATGGAGGATAAGGCCGCTCCCGAAGCACGCCTTGCGACGATGAGAAGGATGGCACTGATTTATTCTCGACAAGCTAAGCTGAATGAGTCCTTGGAACTGTATCAGAAGACGATGGACGAATGTAAAGCCAATCTGGGAGACGACCATTGGCTCATGGAGAGGGTACTCGACAAAATGAGCGACTTGCACTTGCAGAGTAATCGTCACCCAGACTCCGCTCGAGAGTATCAGAAAACCCTTGACTTGCTACAGCGACGTCTCAACAAGGACAACCTGAAGTCGTTGTCAATTCTGTGCAAATTTGCCGACGTGCATCTAGAACAGCACCGGTACCAGGAAGCACTCAACCTCTACATGGCCGACCTTCGAAGCTATTGAAAACACATCTCACAAAGAAGAGGGGGACTTTTGGAACCTGCGACGCTTCTGCATCACTGAGGTTGCAGCCTGTCACATGAAACTCTGCAATACCGAAATGGCCCTCTCTTTCCTTGAGGAGCTGCTCCACTCTGGCGATGATGAACAGTACCTCGGTGCCTTGATGTGTATCGGCAACACGCGAGAGGTGCAAGACAGGTTGTTCCCCGCCATTGAAACCTATAAGCGGGTTCTGGAAATGCAGACAGCAAATCTCGGCTCCAATCACCTTGATCCGCTCATGAGTGTCCGGAGGTTTGCTTCACTATTTTATCGCGCAAGCCGCTATCAGGACGCGTTAACATGGGAGAATAAAGCCGTTTCAGGGTTTGGAAAATTGGGCATTGACGGGGAAGTCGAGGGCTGCAAATCACTAGATTATCTATCTTGTGTATACCTCCCCCTTGGGCGTTTCCAGGACGCCACTAAAGTGCAAAAGAAAGCCGTTGAGGGGTTTGAGAAGGTGCTTGGAACACAGCATCCTTCCACTTGGAAAGCGACATTGGACCTGGCGGACATATATCGAGCCATGGAGAGGAAAGAAGATGCCGTGAGGTTGTATGAAAAGACTTTGAAAGGCTACGAAGCATAGGTGAAAGACGTCGGGAATCAAGATACGACAGAGATAGCGGACGACGAGCAAAAGGTCGTTAGATAGTTGAAGGGGAAAATTCAAGGGGTCGATGTGAGCCGAACTTGAAGAAAGCAAGGGCCTGGGAATTCAACCGCTAGCTAGACGGTGCAATATGCGCGTGTCATTGGATATGGAAGAGGAGGCCAGGGCTACAATGATCATGTCTCTCAAGGTATGATTCGTCTGTTTGGTTAAGGATACAGATTAGACATCCCTATAATAGTCAGAACTGAAGAAGTTTTTGTTTTTGCTTTTGTCATTTCACTGCTTCTTCTGTGAAGCGTCCGACTTCCCTTTCTTTGGAGCTACAATGGAACATTTGCCCTTCTCCCCTTCATTGCGGCCTGTTTGCTGCTGTAGAGCTCGAGGCATAGTTGTGATTGCAGATCAAGTGTTTTGGCACGGGATTCGCCTCTTCTCCTTCCCGGTCGCCGGAGGTTACTGTCAACTGCCTTTTGTTAACAGTTGTCTTTGACCTTTTAGTTTCAAGTTCGGTCGCCATGTCAAGGGTCCAATCACTTAGTCCCAACAACAGCCTACCCGAACGTTCTGCCAAAAGCAACTTGTGTGGTAAACGAAACCGGGCAGCCACCGATAATTCTGAATTTGCCGGCTTTGTTGTAGATTACGCCCGAGCAGATGTAATCTTGACCGCTGTTCATATTTTCTGTCCTTATTTCTTGAGCCTGCATTGTGATCATATTTTCCCTTTTCGGTCTGCCCATGCGCAGATACGGAATTGAAGTGGGTCGCCTCCTACGCTCAGTTGCATACACACCTTTACCTCCCTCCAAACCCAGGAGGTGGGAAACCTCGTCCCTGGCCCGGTGGTCCGCCTTGAAATCCTGGGGGCATACCTGCTGGGGGTCCTCCAGGTGGCCCTCCAAATCCAGGAGGTGGTCCTCCAAAACCCGGGGGTGGCCCTCCAGGTGGTCCAGGTGGCCCTCCTCTTCCAGCCCCAGCGAACCCAGGTGGTGGCGCTCCGCCTGGGAATCCTCCTGGCGGTTGGGGTGGGAATCCGAAACCTCCTGGTGGCCCTCCCAGGGGAGGCGGTCCACCCATACCAACGCCTGCAACAGGACCGCCTAGGCCGACGGGAAGACCTCTGCCAGCTGGTCTGGAGATACCTGTACCAGCCTGTAGAGTTGTAGGTGCCCCTCCTGGAATAGATTGTCCTAACCTGGCGCTCGGATCGGATGGGGGAGGCCCTTCAACCGAACAGCTCACAATATTCGTTCCCCTCAGAATCACAAGGCCCAAGGTTCTTTTCTCTTCGGTCTCGACGGAGGTAGCTGCAGCTGCAGAGCCTGGGGCTGCTGGCGCAGAAGATTTGGTCTGCTTGCGTTTGACCTTGCGGAATTCTTCGGTGTCGGCGAGTACGAGGTTCATGTGCTGTCACAAAAGAAGGGAGGTTAGCGAACGGATCAGTTTTGGTAGGGGATTCAAAGAAGGCTAATGGAGGGATCCTGGTAGAACTGACTTTGTCGAATGCAAGCATTTGGCCAGTCATTTGACGGCCATCGTTCATAGTTACACGCATACGGTAGTTGATCTGGTTCACTCTAGTTAGAAAGTGTTTTCATTGAGCGTCGCAGTCGGAAGGGTCCATGTATACCAGGTTTTGCTAGAGACGAGTTAGCCAATATAGCCGAAAGCAGAAACAATATTCTCAAGATTTACCATCTTCCCCTGCTTGTTCGCCATCTTGCTCGACTTTGCGCACGAATGCGACTTAATCTTCTACCCCCCCGCCGATGTAAAATGCTGGTTTACTTGTGCCCAAAAAAAATAGATTCGTGCGAAGTTTAGAGCCGCAGCTCAACTACGCCTGCCAGACGATGGCTGCAGCGCTTATTCAAAGGAGGAAGCGAAGCAGGCCCGAACTGGTAGTGTCTCTGGTGTGGTTCCGTGTGATTGACCTAGTTGCAAGACTTTAGCATACTTGTAGGAAAAGTGGTTGCCGAAGCTCCGAATCTGGTCTAGTAGGATTTTCCGCTTCTTGGCGGCGCCAAGCGACATCCCCGGACGCACCACCAGAATTTCGAACAGTCCGTCAATTGGCTTTTTCTCATTTCTAGCACCACAAATCTCTCCAAACTTGTACTCTGTCGCAATCGTTAACACCTCCATTTTCTGACGAAATGGCGGAAGGCAACGACAAGAGCTCAAACCCCATGCGGGAGCTGCGCATCGACAAGCTGGTGCTGAACATTTCGGTCGGCGAGTCTGGTGATCGTCTCACTCGTGCTGCAAAGGTGTTGGAACAACTGTCGGGTCAAACTCCCGTCTACAGTACGCCCCAGAGCCTCGCTTGAACTGTTCCTCTCGTTCTGATAAGTTTGTACAGGCAAAGCTCGTTACACTGTCCGCTCTTTTGGCATCCGTCGCAACGAAAAGATTGCAGTCCATGTCACCGTCCGTGGCCCCAAAGCCGAAGAAATCCTCGAACGCGGCCTGAAAGTCAAGGAATACGAACTACGGAAGAAGAACTTCAGCGAGACCGGACACTTCGGGTTCGGTATCTCTGAGCACATCGATTTGGGGATCAAGTATGATCCGGCGATTGGGATTTACGGGATGGATTTTTACTGCTGCATGGGTAGGCCCGGAGCGAGAGTTGCCAGAAGAAGACGCTGCAAGAGCAAGGTGGGACGAAGCCATCAAGTCTCTAAGGATGACGCGATCAAGTGGTTCAAGACGAGATTTGAGGGCATTGTGCGATAGACGAAGCCGGAGGAATGGATGTTGGACGCCGACAAAAGACCGGAAGAACTGTCAGACGAGGCGGAGCTGTTGCCTTCGACGGCGAGGATAGCATTGTCTGTGTCGTCGACACTTTCCCACAGGAGAGCACCGGGTTGGGGGCGGCTCTTCCTGTCGTCTAGCTTCGAGAAACTGATTCGAACAAAAAGTTGAATCAGTAAAATCCAAAACAGGTCAAGTCGGTGGCAGAGACGAGACTCCGAACCACTTTTTACACTATGGTGGTTCATTTGACCTCCCCCATAGCATCACCGGAATGGAAAAAGAATTCATCAATTCCATCTTCGCCTTAGCTGTACTTCAACACTGTTGATACTACCTCCGTACACTTCGAATCGCGCCTCCAGTGGTGTGCGTAACCTCTCACGATGATGCCGTTTCCTTTGGCAAGCACGAGGCACTCATCAACTTAGCGCTGCATATGATCAACCGGCTGTAGTGCATGGTTGCTGATATGAACGAGCCGAGATATAAGCCTGTTGGGCACGTCTTAGGTGAAGGAGGAAAAGAGATTTAGTGCTATATCAAGTCACAAGATTGTCATTTCTTCCATTACAGGAGTAATATTGTTCAAAACCGATGACAGCGGCTGAATTGTTTGCTCTCCGACGTTCCCGACTCAAATGGCCAAGACATACCCCAGCGCCGTGCTTTGATGCATTGCGTTACATATTCCGACTGAGACATCTCCGTCATAAATTTCATGCTCACATTTTCCATGACAGATCTTTGTTGCCAGACTTTTTTCCGAACACGGGCCCGCTCTATCCCCAGATCCGTCCGAGGACACCAAACCAGAAATCACCTTCAGTGTCGTTGTATAGAAAACTCAATTTGCATGAGTTGCAGGGTTGGAGTTGGTTTCCGTCGTCATGTTTTCGGCCGCTGTATTAATGCTCGTCATTGCCACAGGCGAGACTGGCATGTCCCCAGTATTGGATGCAGAAGCCGGCTGCACTACTGGCGACACAGGCGTATTAGGCTCTGTAGCCCCAGAAACACTAATCCTAGGAAGATTGAGCTGTGGCAATTGAGGAGGAACGCTCGCGTCCGTGGGAGCTCTGGTCGGGATACCCGCAGCACGACTGGCATTGCTTGCTGCGCGACGAGCGATCGCCGCCTCATACGAAGGAGCGTCGCCCCAGTCCAAGAACTCGTAGTCGGGCGGCCGACTGGTATCATCAATGTCCGAAGGTTGTGGCATCCGTGATTCCCCAATGTCTTCTGACCCTGTACTTTCATCAGGCGTAAATCTGTTAGCAGTCGGAGAAGAATTGGATGTGCCACCGCTTTGGGGCTCGTCACTTTGCCGTCGATTGCTGTCGTCAGGAATGGTTGAGTCTGGGGTCGGTTGAGGTTCCACATCGGAGCCCATAGTTGATACACTCACTGCGCTGATTGAACGCCCGCGGCTGTGCGTCGATGTAGCATCCGATAGGAGACGAGGCCGTCCATCATTCTCGCCCATGGGGGCTGCACCACTCAAGAGGCCGCCTCGCTCCGAGTCATTGCTATTTGCTCGAATTCTCGTACCGTCATGTCGGACCTCCCCCAGTGAAGCATATGCAACACTCGATACCCTTCGTTCTCGTCCGCGAGACTGATGCTCGGCAATCAAGGTAGCTGCAGATACACTCACACCGCCGTTGAGGGAAGTAGTACTCTCGTTTGCACGTTGGTGTGATTCCCGCCTCAGCTGCTCTAATCGAGCCGTATCTCCTCTCTCACGAGCTTCCCTTCGCTCCCGCCGCCGTTCTTCTCGTTCTGCAATCTCACGGCGGCGTGCCAACCGAATCTGATATAAGGACTCCATTTGGTCTTCGCGACGGGTTTCTTCCTCTTCCACTGTCTCCGGGAACTCCACAACAGTGTCCATACCACCTCTTTCGCCTTCTCGTCCAATTACTTGTTCTGTGTCCTTTGGTGTTCTTGAGTACGCCGGAAGTGTGATAACACTGCGCACACTGGTGTTGCGGTCGACTCCTGCACCAGTTCCCGCTCCAGCATCAATCTCGTTCCCATTATACGCTGTGTTCGTGGACGAAAGGTCTCGGTTCCGGACGGCCTTGTATTTTCCGCCAGGTTGCCAGGTCTGCCATTTGCTCTTCAAAAATTTTGTGGGAATATATTTGGGCTTCTTGCCTTGAACCCTCCATCTCCGTAGCATTGTGTAAAAGACCACGCATGCGGTGATGAAGAGTACGACGCCGGCAATGATCTGAAGCCATCAGAAAGTGTTCCTGCGGCAAGAACTTGTAGAATACTTACACCAATTATCACAGCACTACCGCCCATTCCCCCTCCTCCTCCGGCATTGCCGCCGTCGCCATCTTTCGGCGGCCCTTGCCTCGAAGATAATCGATTTACATGTATGCTGCGTTTCTCTAGCGGCTGTATAGGTGAACTGACCGCCATGGCCCTGATTGTCGATGGGAAAAAAGTTGGATCTCGCGGAGGTAAGCGTTGAGGCTTCGCTACCGGAACATTTGATCAAGTTGGGAAAGTTGGAATGCGAAAGAGATGAACAGGTTCGGGAGATACAATAGCTTCGTACAAGCTGTCAAACGGAGAATTTTCTCAATAGACAGGTTCCTGAGGAGTGATACACGGGAGGTAACGATGCACTGCAAGTACTTTAGAACAGAGACAGTGGTCTTGAGCATACGTATGCACCATACAAAGTGTGGTAAGCTGGATTGGCGTTTCTCAGCAGTGGCGGTGGGCGGCCTTGAGGAACCTTTGGAGTTGGCAGAAACAGGTGCTACAGTGCAGGGGAGTGCATGCCGTCAGCCGCCAACGGCGGACACAAAGTGGCAGGGCACACTCGGTAGGGAGCGGCGGATTGGTTAGGCTTCCAAGCAGGGTCTGTGGAAGGTTGTGGTAGGTGGCATAGGCGGTTGGCGGTGGCTGGCCAGGGCCTCTGAGGGCTAAAAGATGTTGAGACACACAGCCAGGATCCGCCCTGGTGCGCCCGCATCTTCTGTTCGCGTAATCCCCCGTCCATTTGGGTTTGGCTCGCGTGCAAAAGAAATTTATACATAGAACGCCTGCACATACAGTAGTCCTGCATGATGAGAGACCAGAGTTGTTGTTCCCGGGAACCTTCTTCAAGGCGTCCGAGGCTGCTTCGTGGATCTAAGGCCAGTCTCGTACCGAGTCTCGCTTAAATGATTCGAGATTGAATCAGCCTGAACGGATCCTCTCACTCTGAGGCCACCTTCCCCGCAATCACAGACTGCGTACCTCATATGAGTATAGAAAGGGCGCGATTTTTAGATCCACCACGGGGAGCGCCTGGGGAATGTCTACTCAGGAGCACACGTCCACAGAGAAGGAGGGCGAGTTATCAGAGTGCATTCAACCCCGTAGCAATAGTGGCAACCCGAAGCCGCGAGCTAGCCTTGCCAATGCCAAGCACTACTGTACCGGATATGTTGCCTGTTTTGGCTGCTCCGCTCTTTCCATTTCCAGAAATCCCATAACAAACACAATCCTCGAGGCACATGGCTTGTTCGCTCTCAATGACTTGATCTTTCCAACACCATCTTCTATGCCCCCCCCCCCCCCCCCAATATCATACCATCAACCATCCTACAGACCCGTTCATGGCTCCTTCGAGGTTCGACCACGTCACAATGAATACAAATTACAGTAGCATCCACTCTCACGAGGCTTTCATTGGGGACTACCAGGTAGATGATCTCCACGACATTTCCTCAGCACAAACTGATCATTGTTCAGGTTATGTACACTCCCGGCTCAACCTCTCCACAGTTCGACCGTGCGAAGAAGTCGACTCGCTTTAGCAGAGCTGTGTCGTCCAAGTCTCAGAACCCCAGCCAGTCGTTCATGCTGCCCCCCAATATCCCCAATACTTCTCAGATCGTGGCAGACCACGGTTCTCTACCAAATGTCCAAATTCACTACACCGTCCCCGCCGACGAGAAACAGATTGTCGCGTCCTTGCGCACTCTCCAACGCGATCTCAACGAAGCTATGCAGACCATCAACTCCCTTACTCGCGAGCGCGACGAAGCGCTGTTTGAGCTTAGATTGCTCCGTGCTGCTTCCAAGAAGCAAAACACCCCGCCAAGGAAGAGTAGGGCGGCGTCACGCGTCGAGGAAGAGTTGTTCGACATCAGCAGATCCATGTCATCTCCCCAAAAATCTCCTATCCGAAGGACTTCCAAGAAAGAAACGTCGGCGGACACGAAAGAAGCCCCAAAGACCACAAACTCCGACGACGCCCGAGTCCTCTCCGGGGTTATCAACAGACCAATGTCCCCAGCGTCCGAAATGCGGCCGACCAGGTCGGACGCCACTGCTAAGAGCAAGACCCAATCCTATCAACGGCCCACTGTCAATGACACCGAAAACAGCGTCATTGAAGACCCTACCGCTGCGTCAAACACCTCACGCCGTCGGCGCCGCCCATCTCTTGATGAAAATATGACCTCAGCATACATCCTGCCCGATATTACGGTGAGCCAGCCCCCGAGATCAGCAAGAATCCAAGTGTCACAAGAGGCTCAGAGTGTTCTGCATCGTCACGGCGACCCCGAGCACATTGAAAATTGTACCGTCTGTCGGCGTCTCACAGCAAGAAAACCCAGACAAATTAACCACGCCACACGCTCTGCCTCCGCCCTTGCCGCTGAGAAGACTGATTTCACAGCTCAAATCACCCAGCTCATGAAGGACGCAATGCTAGAGGAACCCACCTTACGCCCCAAGATCAACCCCTGGCATGCCCTTGCTAATGTCAAGAAACTTTTGATGGACCAATTCGAGGAGGCTAAACGCAAGCATGCCCAGGCCTGGGAGAAGTACGATGCCATTGAGGCGCCCTCGAACAGCAAGAAACACTCCGCGGCGAGCCAGGACTTGTTCAACTGGTCCAAGAAGATGGAAGAGTGTCGGGTCAATCTGGATCAGCTGAGAGATGTAGAAGAGGGAATGAAGGAGCAAGAGAGTGGGGTATGAGCGTCGTGCTCCCGAGATTGACGGTGGTACAGAGGGGAGTTGCGGATGTGTTGCACAAGAGACTGATGATGAGAAAGCCATGTCTTGCAAGGCTATGCTGTGCGAATATGTTTACGGATTGTTGTTCTGTTTCCGTCGTTACTTGCTGGGATTGGAAAAGCCTAGACTGCAAATCTTGTTTTCGATAAATAGAAGTTCTCAAAGCCCTGTACCCGAAGATTCGCTTGACAAATTGACCGGGGAAACGGTGATGCGCTGCGAGACCCTGACGCAGAGGACATCGGATTTGCTTTGGAGATATGTCAAGTGGAAATTCTGTTTGCCGTACACTAGGTCCTTCTTTCGCGAACTCTCGCGCCATAGTTTGCAACAGTATGTATCCCTCGTGGACATTCTCACTAAGAATCTATTGGTCACGCATTGCTATTCTTGTCCACGATCACTGAAACCAATGCCTTCCAACGCAGGTAATCTCTGTGCTTCGGTTTTGATATGAAGTCAGTTCCACAGGATGCCCACCATCATCGTCATGACCCGACAAGCATTTCTTCTACTGCACAACCTCCTCTGTCTCTTCAATGACCTCCTCAACGACTTCCTCCACGACCTTCTCCCCCTCCTCTTCTACACTTCTGGTCCTCTGGAGCGCCAACTCCTCATCGGGATCTTTCAACCCAAGCTCTTCTCTCTCTTGTCTCAATAGTTCCTTCTCCCTCGCTACCCAGCTGTACCACTCCATGTACAGCCTCCTTCTCGCGTCAATCACAGCCTGGTTAGCGCCTTCTTCCATCTCCTTGTCCAACTCATCGAATTCCTTGGAGTATTCCCGCAGGTTGCGACGAATGGTGCGCTGTTCTTCTTTACTGAGGAGTGTAGGCGGCCGGGGTCGCCAGATGAGTTGCTTGAATTTTTCAGTGGGGTGCTCGGAGAGGAGGGCTCCGTAGAAGGTCCAAAGACGCCAGCCATTTTCCATCTAGGCATCGTCACATTAGCGTCCAAAACATGATTTTTTGGAACTTGCCCCGAAGACGGGAGGTGGCACAGATCTCTTACCTGGTGAGTCCACACACTCGCACTGGTCGTAACATATCTCCCTGTTGGGTCCCAATCTACATCCGTCATTCCATAGTGATCCTCACTATTCATCAACATCAGGTTGGCATTCAGATTGGCGGCAACATCGTGCTCCGGCTTTTCGCCCTCGTAGTCGAGATCATAGAAGTCAATGTCTGAATGTTGTTGCACACTGACTGTAGCAACGACCACAAATCGACCTTTCGGAGACCAGTAAATTCCGTTGGAGTTTTTCTTATCGTACGTGCGCACAAGTTTGAACGCTCCCGTTCCAGGGCCCTTGATTTTCTCAGGAGCGAAGAATGAGACGGCTGTCTTAGGAAGGACGTTGCTTCCGGCCACCGCTTCCCCTGCTGTGATCAGCACGAACCGATCACCCTTTGGTTCCCACGCGAAATTAATGACAGTGTCCTTGAGAGAGTCGACGACTTCAACGGGAACCCCCTTTTCCCGGATACGGAATATTTCAAGGTTCGTGGCATTTGATTTCTTGGATTTTGAGTGGCGGTCCACTTTGACGCATATGAACTTCCCTTCGGACTGCCAGTGAAGTTTTGCGTCGGTGACATTGAAGAGATTTCGGGTACGCACAATCTCCTTGGAAGGAACGGACATCAAGGCAACCTTCGCAGGGTTAGAGCCGATCTCGGGGGTCCAAAAGCAGAGAAGGGATTCGTAGGTCTTGATCCCTTCGCGCTGGGTCGTTGAGGGTGCCCATTCAAAATCCATGATTCCTTCGACTTTGACAGATGTTTTGTCCAGCAAACTCATTCTAGGTAGTTCGTAGATGGAGATACTCTCATGGGGTTTCATTCTGGCAACATACTTTTCGTCAGCGGACCATTTGAACGCTGGCCACTGGACTTTGGCTTTTGGCGGGATGGCTGCCGCTTCGGCGCCTGGGGGAGGCGTAAGATCGTGGGCGACGAACGATCGTAGTGGTTTGCCCGTGGTAATGTCCCACACGACGATGTGCTTGCCTTCTTCGTCGATGGAGAGAGGGCCTTTGCCTTCTTCCACGGTGATGGGTTGGTTGGACCAAGTGGTCAGGTATGACTCTCCGGGTGAGAACTCGATCAGGCTGACAAAGGGATGCGGGAATTGTCTGATTCTTTTGAAAGAGACCCCCCCCCACAATTGGACACCTTGCTGATGAATCGAAGCAAGATATGTTCCGTGCGGTGACCATGAAACGAAAAGTTGTGTCCAGTGTTTGCGATCGACAATTGGCTCAGGCGGTTCTTTCTTGTTGTTCCAGAAGACCCCCACGTTGTCTCCTCGAAACATGACGAATTGGTCTCGGGCCTGGGGGTCAAAGAGCCATGACTTGAGGTGTTCGCGATCGGCAAAGGGTTCAATCTCGGGCGGAACATATTCTTCATCGATCCTTCCTTCTCTGCCATACTTTTCAATGTCTGTAAGCTTATTAACTGCTAGAGTGTGTTTTTTGTCTAGAGCTGTTCCGTGGAGCTGTTTAGTGGCTGCGACGGCCTGTTCTGGAGTTTGATATTCGACAAAGGCAAAACTGTGGGAGCATTAGGAGGCGATGAAAAAAGGGGAAAGCTTAGACGCACCCTTCGGAAAATCCCTGCTCGTTCATGGGCATAAAGACTGACTCCTCGCCATCTTTTATGCGCCCGACAGAGTTTAGCCTCTTGAGCAAGAATTTGATGAGTTTTGACTTTTGGTCTTGGTTGACGATTGGGAGGCCATCGATGACCTAGGCAGTCAGCACACTGTTCGAAACTCCTTTTTGATCCATACATACGACGAAGGTATCGAGACCCTCTTCCATGCGCACATCATATCGTTCTTTGAGGTCACTGAAGTCGATATTGACTGCTTCATCTTCGAAGTCGTGGTCAGAGAGTTGGTCGAATCCTGGAGCCATGATTGCTGTAGCGCTTAATGGCTACTGATATATCGTCGACGTACAGCAATGTCAAGACGCAGGCGAACGACTGGCATGAAACTTTAAGTGGGAGTTGTCGAATTGTGGATAATGCCAAGATTTCACGGTCACGTGAATGGAAAAGAGCTTAGTCATGCGCCCATGCGCAAGCAGTCCCGCATCTTCATTCTGCACCTTTACCTACAAGCCACCAACATTGCCCACACCCAAACACATCTTTTATGTTTCGCTCGGCGCATCACCGTGCTTGATCTTCTTTGCTCAATTAATTGATGCTGCTCACCTAATACTTGGTCTAGAGTCACATTCTCTCTCTTTCGGCCACTTTGCGGTTGCTCGGTCCAACTCTGGCAGCATTGATGCGCTTTGGTCGAGGTGGAGGGAGCGGATGGCGCATGACTTTACTCTGACCGTGGCCTGACCGCAAACGACCGCTCTGCATTCGCTAACTTGATTTTGCCTGTTCTGTCTAATTTGATCCCGGTTCGTGGTCCGTTCAGTCACGATGTCGTGTGAGTCGCTCTGCAATCGCATATCTTGACCTTGGCTTTACTAACCCTCGCCAGTGCCGCCAGAGGTCCGCGCGCGGTATATCGCTATCATTGATTCGATCCTCGAGAGTGCTGATCTCACAACTATCACGACCAAGAAAATTCGTCAAGGCATACAGGATCAAGTCGAATATGACATCACGCCCCAGAAGGTGGGTGCAGCACTGAGTTTTCGGGGAGCACTAGGGACTGACTGAGTGTAGAATGCCATTAGAGAATTGATCGGTGAGAGGTTCGATCTCATGAATGCGAAGAGAAATGGCGAGACTACTGTGGTTCCTTCGGTAGAAACAGCCGAGCTGATCGAACCCCCTCCTCTGACTAATGGCGTTCATCATTCTTCCGCACCGTCCTCAAGCTCACCCGCCAAACGCGAGGCAGAAAGTGAAGATGTCTCTGATGTTATAGATACAGCGCCTCCGAAGAAAAAACAGAAGGCTGCCATCGACGCAGACGCTGCATACGCTGCTCGTTTACAAGCTGAAGAAGACAAGTTGGCTCGGCCCACCCGCGGTGGAGCGAGCCGAAAGGCAGCTCCTGTCAAGAAGAAGAAGAGGGCAAAAAAAGAGCGCGTCACTGGGTCGGATGACTCGGAGGTCGAGGGAGAGGAGCGCAAGCAGAAACCCAAGCGAGAAACCGGATTTCATGTAGGTGGAGGTGACATATTGCAATTACCGGTACTAACAAGATACAGAAACCACTTAATCTATCGCATGCATTGTCAAATCTCTTCGATGGGGCAGCACAGGTGCGGGACTAATTCCATTTCGATTATTGTCTTGCTAAAGCGCGAAATAGCTGTCGCGGCCGGAAACTACCAAACGCATATGGGCGTACATCAAAGCGAATGATCTCCAAGATCCCAGTGACAAGAGGTACATCATTTGCGATGCGAAGATGCGAGACGTCTTTAAGCAAGACAAGGTGCACATGTTCACCATGACGAAGTTGATCTCGCAGCAAATGTATAACCCTGATGAATGAAGACTTGATGGCACGCTTGGAAAACAATGTTTGGGCTAGGTTGACGGCATCAAAAATTTCCCCATTTTGCGTTATTCGACAGTGACTTGATGAGCCAGTTTGAGCGGCACGGCATCCGAAGCCAAGTTGGGCGTTTAGTCCGGAAAGGACAAATGGCGCTGGGATTCGGTCAAAATCTTACGACAAGCTTCGCTTTGGCTAGCATGCATTAAGACATGGCTTTGAATGTCCACGGCAGACAGATCAAAGCAGACAGGGAAATACCAAATAGAATCATTTCGCTGGGTGCGGACCAGTCTGGCTCTCCGGTCCATGAGCCGACAGTCAGGGTGCCCAGCCTCGCTGACTAAGACACTCCAGAAACAACTGGCTGCTTTTACTGTACTGGGTGATATCATGGTCGTATCTCGACTCGAGCGTTGCATCATGAGTCACTGTGACTCAACCGTGAGCCAGAAAGTGCGCGACGAGGGGATTGGCCTTCAATTTCCAAGCAAGCTTCCAACGGCGCCCCCAATCCCCAGGAGCCGCTGTGGGGAACTGACAAGTCCACTGGAAGCGGCCAGGAGCTTTGCTGGGAGGCCACTAGGGCTTTATTTGTTGGGTTCCTGAATAATATTACCGCTCTATTAATATTACCCCACTATTCCTTCTATTATTTGGGCAGCTTCAAGTTGGAGTTCGTCACTGAAGACATCGTTGAACGCAACTTGAACACCACTGCTGCCGGAATCCAGACAGCGACGCATTACAAACTCCTCGACCGTCGCACACGGGAAGATGTCGGATCCGGCGACCGCCACTGAAGCAACATCTTCGCCACGGGAAGCACACAGAGGCCGAGGCAGTCGGTCAAATCAACACAACCGCGCTGGATCCTACGATCGAGACTTGCCTGACAATCGAAGCAGAGGCGCTGGAAATAGAGGGACACAAGGCTCAAGAGGGGGGAGAGCGAGAGCTACGAGACATGGGAGAGACGCCACGTCTTCAACACCATTGTCTCCGCAATCTGCAGCAGAAACCACCTCTGCACGACCACCCGGGGGCGGCTTCGGTGCCCGCCTGACCGGAGCTGCCTCAAAATCTGAAGGCGACCCAAGTGGTCCTCAACCTCGGGAGAATGGCAACGAGCCTGCACCTGCAGAAGAAGTGGAATTGTGCTTCATCTGTGCCAGTCCCATCGAGCACGTTTCCATTGCACCTTGCAATCATCAAAACTGCCATATTTGCTCCTTGAGGCTGAGGGCGCTTTATAAGACACGGGCTTGTGCACACTGCAGGGTAAGTCTTTTATCTGCATTCCCTACGAGCAGCAGGTTAATCAAAGCACAGACGGAAACACCTTTCGTGATCTTTACCGACAATGCAGAGAAACGGTACGAAGACTTCAAGGACGATGAATTTGTTAAGATCGACGAGAGCCTGGGAATCAAGTACGAAAAAGACATCATCTTAGAAGATACCATCCTCCTACTTCGATACAACTGTCCAGACAAAGATTGTGATGTGGCATGTCTAGGTTGGCCAGATCTACACCGTCATGTCAAAACCAGGCATGGGAAAGTGATGTGCGACCTATGCACGAGAAACAAGAAGGTCTTCACACATGAACATGACTTATTCACATTTGGCGAGTTACGGAAGCACGAGAAATTTGGCGACGACAACCCAGGGGCGGTCGACCAGTCCGGCTTCAAAGGTCATCCTGAATGTGGCTTTTGCAAACAAAGATTTTATGGAGACGATGAGCTCTATGCTCACTGTCGAGACAAACATGAGAGATGTCATATTTGCGATAGACAAAACGACGGCAGGAATCCACAGTACTACCTCAACTATCAGGAACTAGAGAAACATTTCGCGGCGGAGCATTTTGTCTGCTTGGACGTCGAATGCCAAGCAAACAAGACGAATGTCTTCGAATCAGAAATGGATCTCAAAGCGCATCAGCTTTCCGAGCATCCGAATGGACTCTCCAAAGATGCCCGAAGAGATGCTCGTCTTGTCGACTTGTCCGGTTTTGCTATTCGAGAGCCCTACCAACCGCCTCGGAGAGGAGATCGAGCAAACCGGGGCACTGGAAGGGGCCGAGATCCAAACGCTGAACCGTTGCCCATTTCAAGTGCCCAATCCCTTGGACGGGCAGAACTGGCTTATCAACGTCAACTTGCAATCCAAAGTTCTCAATCAGTGTCGAGCAGGAATTTTGGCGGACAATTAACCCAATCCACCCCTGTCGCTCGTCTTCAGCCCTCGTCTCCGCAACCACCTTCATCATTACCCACTATTGAAAGCCTCACGGTTGAAGACAGAGCCACCCCAGCTGCAGGCATGACTCCTCAAGAGCAAGCCCGAGCACTACGCCACCAAGCGGTTACTGATCGCGCCACGTTGCTCCTAAAGAACGACAAGACTAAACTTTCCCAGTTTCGCACCCATGTCTCCGCTTACCGCAGCGGAACTAGCTCTGCAAATGACTTGATTGATTCCTTCTTTTCTCTTTTCGACTGTCAGAGTTCTGAACTGGGCAAGCTCGTCCGTGAACTGGCAGACCTGTACGAAGATGAGACGAAGCAGCAGGCATTGCTGCAGGCGTGGAACAACTGGCGCAGTATTAACGAGGATTATCCCAGCCTCCCTGGTCCCAGTGGCACCCTCCCAGGTGTTTCCACTGGTCCAGCACGTTCTGGCCGGCGGGTGTTGACGCTCAAGAAGAGCACGGCGCAGTCATCTCGCTCAGCGGTGTCCAGACAGGGCTCCTGGGGCAACGCAATTGCCAGTGGAACAAGTCAAGAACCATTTCCTGCATTGTCAGTTGGGAATAAGAGTTCTTCGCGCCCATTTACAAACGTAGCAATCTCGCCTGCGTGGGGCAAAACATCCGCGCCCACGATCACCAATACTACTCTCAGCGCCATACGCCCTGCGCCCACGACTGCATCCACTATACGCCAGAAAACTAACTCCCGTAACACTGCTCCCCCTCGCCGGACAGAAGACGCCTTCCCCTCGTTGCCAGCTGCGCCGAAGCCAAATACCATGATGACTGGCTTCAACACGCGGGGCTCAGTGAAATGGCTCAGCTCACCTTCCGGCTCGGGGACCGCTACGCCGGTAAATCCATGGGGAAACGGGGGGCTGGCGCCCACACCGGCGCAGGCACAGACAACTGGGGCTGCCAGTGCGAGTCGCGCGGGAGGAGCTGGTGACAACCCTGATGATGGTGAGGTGATTTCAGCAGGGAGAAGGAAAGGGAAGAAAGGAAAGAAGGGAGAGACATTGTTCCACTTTGGGTAGATTGACTATCCGCTACTATGGCATAAATGATGTCAAGGCAAACTGATCAGCATCAACCCAGCCCGCAGCCGAACTTGCATGGCTATTGGATATGTGCAGAGATAAAGATATCTTGCCCTGGCTATTGCCGCGGACACGAATGAGAAATAAACCAGATATTTAAAGGGCAAACAATAAATAGACATGCAGCGTTCGAGGAAACGATACTGGGTCAAGCCTGAGCGGGGCTCGATCTCAATAGCAGTTTAAATTTTGTTCATTGATTTTATTTTCTCTTCAACCTTGAAGGCCAGAACCGTTGGCGCCGGGATGAGATGCAGTATGACCCAGGATGCTCAAATGCCTAGATACCTAGGTATTGATCCTCAACCTGGTGAGGAGAGCATCCTCCGGTAAAAACCGCCAACCCGTCTATTTGAGCAGCACAGACGTAACATGAGCCAAACGAAACCAGCGGACAGAGGTAAGGCGACCTTTTTGCAGCCAATGGTCCTAAGTGGAGGCATCAATGGTGCAAAACGTCGAAAGCTATGAGAAGACCTCACGCTAGGCTCTAGTCTGCCTCGTTGCGATTGATATCCCCGCGGACGTTGGCCTGGGCAACATGGTACAAGATTGACAGAGGTCTCGATTCGTGCTATCAAAGAGACTGCAAACCCGTGCCAGGCTGGATAGAAGCAAACAAATAGAATGTCACCAGACAACAGATTCAAGGCTACACATTGTTCGACTTTGCCTCTTCTCCTATCTCTGGTGGTAAGCCATGTATGGCTACTGGCGTGGCTCATTTTCTAGCTGCTGCACAATTTCGATACTTGATTGGAAGCGGATTTATACCAATATCTCTTTCCTCCGCCCACTCCACGCCATTTCAGTTGCCCATCACCTCTCCTTTGACGTACGGAGTACAGGTGTAATCAGTGTCGTACTGGAGATTACCATTCCAGAGTTCCCCATCTCTCTCCAACAGATCCATTACCTTGATGGCAGTCTTAACGTCGGTGAATACGATCGATGCGCACCCATCGGGTGTGTAGCTGTACTCAATGACGTGGTGAGCATAAGGGTTTTTGATCTTGTAGGGGATCATGTTGTAAATGTATTCGTCTATGTTGCTGATGAGGATGATTCTGGAGGCCTGGGACTTGCCCAAAACTTTGCGCTCAAGCTCGTCATTTCGGGGATAGGTCGGATCCGTGGGCATCCAGCAACGAACAGCAACACCCATGATCTTGAATCGGTTCGCATCACTGGCTTCCCCATCTTTGATCTCTTGATGTTTGATCATGTTGTGCGCAGATTCTTCGTAGTTGAACACGACTCGAGCGGTCATGAAGGAGGTCGCTCCGCCGATTGGTGGAAAGAGCTGGATGGACTCTAAAGAACCACCCTTGACAATGCTGAGAACATCCGCCAAAGTACTTCCGACTGGAATGGTGTCGATCATAACAGTCCGATACGCGTCGGCGGTGCCAGCTGCGTCCTCAGGGAGGTAGCGCACTGGATGGTCAATGAATGGGCTGTTTTGACGCCAGGCAATCCCATTCTCTCCGAGGGCCTGCCACTTTTCTTGCTCACTCTCAAAAACTGGGTTGTCTTTGTTGATCAACCATTTCGGCTCCCCATGGAGATTGTCACCGATCTGAACAGTGATGCGAGACTTTGGCTGAGCAGCAGAAGACACCACAGTGGTAGGTGATTGGTCGTCACCCCCATCGGTGAGGGATGAAGGCGGGGTGAGTCTGCCATGGTGTTCGTCGTTTGGAGGCTTGCCTGGCCTGTCTCTAAGCAACAATACCTCAACATTTGACAGATGCAGGTTCACTCCGTTTGACTATCCAACCACGTCAGTAACTCTTGACCGTGGCAGAAATAAACCGACCTTTTCCTGCAAGGCTTGCTCGTGTGAAGCGGCAGGTTGTTGCCCGTATTTAGCGACAATTGCTGCGGGCTATGTGACGGTTAGTGCAATCTTGGGGATAAAGACAAACAGAGGGCATTCACCAGCTCAAGGACAGTATTTTGCGTAGTCTAGTCTTGTCAGAGGCTGATCACCGAGAGGCATTCCACTTACTTACCGGAAGACGAACTTGACTTGGGATCTTTGCCGAAGCCTTCAGTCGCTGTTGGCTATCATTTAAGGGGTTGTTGGACCGGGCTTGGTCCTTCGAGACACGCATGTCGTTCTCGCGTTCGGCTGCCTCCTTCTCTTTTGCTCCACCGAGTGACTCTGGAGAGATCTCGATAAGCCTGTTGATGCTTGGACGGCTTTTAGCAGGAGTTGCAGGGAATTTGCCGTCGTCGGCAGTCTCGTCGATAGAAAAGTGCTTGCGGAGAGTCCGCCGCAAGATAGAATCGGCAGAATTATCAAACGTAGGTTTCTTCAGCAGGTCAAGATTGTAGAGCTGGGCATCATCGACGACATCACTCGCCGCCGCGGCTGCCACACCAGCGACATCCTTCTTGGCCGATATACCAGTTCCGGAATATTCTTTTGATGTAGACTGTTCCTTTTCCTTGGGCTGAGCCTTCTCCTTGGCGGCGTCTTTGACTTTCTGGTGCTCACGATAAAATTCTTTCAAAGCTGCCTCTTCATCCGCTTTCGATAGGTTAGTCTTTTTATGCCCACCAGTAGTATCAGCGTCGCTCTTGTTGGCATTGTATTTGATGATAGCACCCAGGTTGTTGATTGTGGTTGTCATGCTCGCAATCTGTTGTCTGCTCTTTCTGAGTTGGTCTTCCACCTCGGCGCGCCGCGTGATTTGTTGAGCCAATACTGCTCTGGTGGCATTGTGGGCCCGTTGTTCATTCGCCAAAGCCACACACAGCGTTTCACTGAAAGAAGTTGAGTCAGATAGATTTTGACCGGCGAGGCCTCCTTCTGATATGAATGTGCTGGGTGTTGCATCCATGATTGGGATTTGAGCATGGGATGAAACGAGTTCTGGTGCCTACGCATCTGATTAATAAGACAGACAGAGTGACGGGCAGGTGAGAAGTGAAACTCTGAATTCACACTTACAATGAAAGTGTCATTTCTTCCGTGTTGGCTCACAGCGGCGCCTCCAGATTCCCGTTGAACATGAATCGCAGGCGTCTTTTTGGTTGGGCTTGCGGCCCCTTCAACGGCTGAACGGAGAGCTGCTGGACCCAGTCGCAGTCGAGAGTCTCCAAGATCAGGCTTGATGTGTTTGTTGAAGAAGTCCGCATCAGTCGAGGAAGGGTTTGGATACAGTGCAAGGTTTTCATATGGCATATCACTGAGAGGAAGGAGCTTGTTCTGTGAAGGTGCGGCCAAGGGGAGTGCTGCTCCTTGAGGGAGTCTCTGAGAAAGCTGCTGTTCAAGATAGAGCTTCGCTGATTGGGTGAGGGACTGAATGTTGATGACAGGATCAACGGGAGTAAACTTGAAGCTGCCAAGCTGCGACTGATTGAGATCCTGGCGCTCCATGGGAGGGTATTTGAACAGCCGCTCAGTCACCTTGTTCGAAGTCATGGCAAGCCGCTGATGAGGGAGAGGAGATGATGCACATAGGAAGAGATCAAGAGAATCAACGGATAAAGTTCGACTCGATGATGTGAGAAACGGAATGGAGAAGATATAGACACAGAACGGCGAGAGTTGAAGAGAGGAAGTGCCTCAGGACGTGTGAGAACGAGCAAAGAGAGGAAGGAAAGGACCAGCCTCATCCTCACAGCCTCGCAATCGCAACCGCACCTGCACCTGCCCCATCGATGTCGACAGTGAGGATTCACTCACCAGGACTTACCTAGGTACCCAGGTGATCGATACTCTCAATATTGACCGCTCATCACAGAACCATCTTCTTTCTGATTGCTCCGTCATGGCCATAGCTTTCACGTTTATTCAAGGCTCCTAATCAGCGACACACAAACGAGGGTATCTTCAAAGAGCTTCAACAAAGCGCCAAAGTATCCCTTCCAGGGCATTCAGAAATGTACTGATCTTGGTTGCTTAGGTTGCTGTTTACCCGAATATTCGGACTTGACGAAAATCAAGCCTCGGCCGACGTGGCCCTTGTTGCCTGAGCCGAGCCCTTTTTTCACCACTACACATCCTCACCAAGGGTACCAGAGGTGTAAGAAGCCTATGCCCCAATACTCCCACCGAGCACTTTATGAGCCGGCCTTGGACGCGAGGGCGTAAAAATGGAATGAGCTGCGGACAAGGAGAATCGGAGTGTTTCCCCAGAATGGCCGACGCCCAGATGTTAGGCCTGCGACTTACGGTAAATGGCACCGATGGCCCGTTCCCAGAGATGCCGAAAGCTTCACGGGACATGCATGGAACAGCAAGCGAGGTGACACTGAAATCACCCTCCAATCAACCAAAAGTCGCCGAAGCACATGAAAGTACCAACAGTCCGAATCATCTGTGCAGCGAATGTCTCTCTTCCGCGACCGCCGCCTAAATTCTTAAGCGGAGCAATAAGTGGCAGGCATCAGATTGGCAATACCATACCTCAATGCAACGGCTGTGGCAACATCATTGGCGCTGACACGCCCACAGCATCGTGACGGTCCACTCGGCAAATGACCGCAGGCCCCTGGTATCCCCGCCTTGCTTTGGCTGACAATCCTCAGCCCAGTTGTTGGCAGCGACGAACTCTGGAAGCCAGTGAAAGCTTTGTCCAGTATCTTCTAGCGTGTCTTGGGTGCGGGAAGCTTAGAGTGACTTGGCTGCGGTTGGTGCTGCATCTTTGGGATCGACATCAACGGCTGAATGCGTTCCATTGATGGTTCCCACACGACGATCAACGCATGTCCATCATCCACGTTCTTTCCATCACAAGTCACTTGTTCCGGCCATCACTCACGGAACTAGAGCCCTATGAGGAAGGACAGCATGACCATGCAAGGATGTCCTTCCAACCTGACGTCTTCTGTCCTTCTGGACCAGAATGTCTGTCGAAACCCCGAATGACATCCTACGGACCGTCCTCCGTTGCTCCAGATTAAAAATATCCTTCAGTCAAGTCTGTACTCGGTACGACCCTCCGTCCCTATTTCGACAATTTGGACGCATCGTCCATATATGCAGTCTTCCCTGTTCTCACCTCTTTACTCCACACTGAGCACCTGCCGTCGCCCACTGTTATGGAAAAGACTAATCCCAAAATTTCGGACTCTGACGATGCTCGTTCTCCGTCAGAGAATGAGAAGCACGTCGAAGGCGGTGTACCTGTCGATGTTGTCACTACCTCAGATCCAGATGAAGGTCTGAGTGAGGAAGAGCGAAAGCATATTGTAGGCAAGAACTCATTCTAGTCTCAAGGAGGTGAATGACTGATTGTCCTTAGGACCGCAAATTGCTCTGGAAACTTGACATTAAGCTGATCCCATGGCTTTGCTTGCTCTACCTGATTTCTTTCTTGGACCGGACCAATATTGGAAACGCCAAAATCGACGGTCTTCAAGAAGACTTGAACCTGACCAACAACGAATACAATGATACTTTGACAATCTTTTTCATTTCATATTCGCTGTTCGAGCCTTTCACGCAGATTTTGTTGAAACGGTTTAGGCCGTCCATCTTTCTTCCCACAATCATGATTTTATGGGGTGAGTAAGCTGGTGTCTGGTCCAGAACCACCACGGTGGTAGTTTCCTGCATCTTGATTCGGAGCTTCATCTATGTACCAGCCTTGCTGACCATAGTCCTACTTTCCTAGGTATCTGCATGACTACAATGGGTCTTGTCCACAACTTTTCTGGTCTCATGGCAGCACGATGGTTCCTTGGATTGACTGAAGCGGGCCTATTCCCTGGTGCGTTAAATGTTCGAGTCTCTCCAAATTCCTTCTGACATGGCCATAGGCGTCAATTACTACCTATCTTGTTGGTACAGACGATCTGAGTTCGGTATTCGAGCGGCCATATTTTTTTCTGCGGCGGCTCTTGCCGGATCTTTTGGTGGCTTGCTCGCCGCGGCTATCGTCCAGATGGATGGGGTGGGAGGTAAACCAGGCTGGGCATGGATCTTCATCCTCGAAGGCCTTGCTACGATCATCATTGCTGGGCTGTCGTATTTCATGGCAAGCTTCTTGCCATCACCGTGGCTAGAACGCTCGCGGGCTAACATGGAACACAGGTCCACGACTTCCCGGATGAAGCCAAATTTCTCAGCGAAGATGACCGGCGTCGTGTGATTCGGCGCCTTAAACTAGACAAACAATCTAGCGCTGAGCACGAAGCATTCAAAATGCAGTATTTCTGGGCGGCCGCCAAGGACTGGAAGACCTGGACAGGCGCCATGATTTACATGGGCTGTGACGGTGCTCTTTATGCATTTTCTCTCTTCATTCCTACCATCATTCAGCAAATGGGGTATAAGAGCATACACGCGCAGCTGCTCAGCGTGCCACCTTATGCTGTGGCTGCGGCGGTAACGATTTTCGTTGGTTTTATTGCTGACAGAACTAGAACGAGAGGTATATCTCTCTTCCCCGCTCTTTTTGCCTCTCCCTCTTCAGATGCTTCTTACACTGACGAAATGAAATAGGCTACTGTAATATGGTCATGGCCTTGTTTGGCATAGCCGGTTTTGGTATGCTTCTGGGCTCGGGAGAACCGCACGTCCAATATGCAGGCACATTCTTGGGTGCCATGGGAATATACCCGTGCATTCCAAACACGATTACTTGGACAGCGAACAATGTCGAGGGCGTCTACAAGCGAGGTATCGCCTTGGGATTCGTCATTGGATGGGGCAACCTGAATGGTATGTGAAACAGTTTTCCCTTTCTACTCTCTTTTGCCTTCGGTTCTATATCTCTTCAAGTCAGAAGCATTTTCCCGTGGGTGTATCGAGAACTGTTTCGAATTGCTCTGGCGCAACAAAGGTAGCCGAAAAACACATACAATAAGTTCTGACTCTGTGCGATAGGAATTATGTCTAGTAACATCTACCGCGCACAAGACAAGCCTCGATTCCGTCCTGGCCACGCCGTGGTTCTCGGCTACGAAGCTGTCTTTCTTCTAGGTGGCAGTATCCTGCAGCACATCCTCTTGAGAAGAGAGAATGCCAAGCGCCGGGCGGGCGAGAGGGATGTGTGGGTGGAGGGCAAGACCGAGGAGGAGATTGAGAAGTTAGGGGACCGGAGGCCCGATTTCATCTACACTCTATGATGTTGTAAGAGAAATCTGGTAGAAGGAACAGAGACTTGAAGGTAGCTTTTGGAGGCAGAGAAAGAGAGATGAATCGCAGCAATCCTCTAGGTGAAGGAAGGGAGGGAGGGACAAGGCCGGGAACATGTGGCTTCTGAAGCAGAGATCTGGCACCACGAGACCTGAACGCGCACAGAGGCGTCTAAGCACGATTGGGATTCGGACCCCAGGATGTGACGAGGACATCATTAGATAGAAAAGCCCTGCCAAAAGGCGAACCGAAATCGATATTCCAGCAAACCGAATTCCTGCCTGCCCGAGTACTTGAGCGGGACGCATCCAGCCTTGTCATCAAGCCCTAGCCTGGCTGATGCTTCCTGGGCGCAAAATATCATATCCATCCCATCCCACAGGAATCAAACCCTGCGCTCTGAGCCTCTCGACCGACCCCACAACATGAGGTACTTACTCTATCTCGGGCGCGGGTCATGATATCGTATCCTTCTCCTTCATACGTATGCTCGTAGCAGAGACTCTCTCAGGTCCCGATGTGTATCGTATCTGTGCTTCATCACTCAATCATTACATGCTTTGGAGTCGTCTTTTCGTGTCGTGACGAATACAGTCAAGCTCAGTTCATTGGCTCGTTGCTCTTTGCTCTCGAATTCGGCGAATCTATCCGTGGGGGTGATTTTGACTTTCGGCCCGGATGAGGGGAATTGCTAATTCTGCAACAATTGTACCATCAGCCACAAGATTCATCTGAATCGTGCTCTGAAACGCACAAGGAAGAACGAGTCTAGTACTTACGATCTCCTTCTCTCACCCTCTCTCCGAAACTCCTCAATGATGCGTAGCATCTCCTTCCTCCCGGCCGAGGCATCCACCACCCTCCCACCCAGACTCATGCTAACCTTCGCATCCGTTCTGACCATCAAGAGTCTCTTTAGGAGTAAGTGCCTCATATTAAGACAGACAAATACCCCGCAATCACTCGAGTTATCCTGCAACGGCGAGTCGGTCAACTGGATGAACCGCAGAGGCTTGTTGATCAGTCTGGAGAGTTTTTGGGTGACGTAGTGTGCTTCGTTTTGGTTTCCGGGTGGCATGCTGTCATAGTGGAATGCGACGCCGTCAACGATGGAAACTAAGAGCAGAGACCAGTGCGTGCCGCCTTCAGCGATGGAGGCAGAGTGGTTGTCGTTGATGGGGAGGAAGATATGTGAGACGTTGGTGAAATCGGGAAGAGCGTCCTAGAAAGCAATTCAAGATGAGGGAAGGGATCGCAGAGGGATCGTGTTTGGTAGCAGAAATACCTTTATCGTCCGAGGATCGGGAGTCTGCATGAGCATGAACGACATGGTAGGGCGGAGGAGGACAATATGGGAGTGTTTGTAGTTGGTCAGGTATTCTCGCTCCAGATACCTTGTAGGAATCCTTGTCAGATCTTGTGTCTCTCCTTGATAAGGTGTGCGAGATGCCTACTCTTCCCAGAACGAGATGACCTGCACAAGCACCAAAATGTCAGCCTCAGCAGCCGTCTTATTCCCGGCAATGGACACAATCATACATTGTCTGTTAACCAATCATTCTTCAGTACTGATATGTCTTCCCTTGTCACTGTACGGCCTCTCCTTCTCAGTATATAGTCTTTGTTGCAGGGGAGAGCAATCAGGCAAGGGTACGAAGGAATACGGACATCGGACATCGTAGTCTGCACGGCCTTAATCAGCACGACATGTGTGTGTGAGGGAGGGAATATACTCACAGCTCAAGTATGCATCTTCCGGTGCAAGCTTCATGTTCACGTGGTGTCAGTTAGCCCAGGAGGTTGTTTGTAATCGAATATGAAGTGCGGCAGCGATATGCAATATGCGGCCATGGTGGGGGGGAGGGAACCGCAGACAAGGGAACAGATGTCCGTCTTCATGATGTGTGCACCTACTGATCTTCCAAATGCTCGGCTCATTCGCCCTCCAAATGGATGAAGATCTGGCATTTCTATCGACTTCTGAATTGTCCGCTCAAGGTGCACAGAGTAGGAAGGAAGATGTCATCAAGACGTGAAGTATGAGGCTGCGGGTCCCAGATGGGTGATAGCTTCACGGCTCACCAATCGCTTGCAGGTTGATGAGATTTCATACTGAATCCATGGCAGAGACAGTTAAGAATGTGAATACAGTAACACCCAGGCAATGTGTGTTGAGTGCCTCTCACGGTCAAACGTGGTCAAATGTGGTTGAGCGAGAAGGGTCTTGCTCCGTTCCCCCATATTCTGCGTGGTGGACTTCCCCTGTACGTCACCCGCGCTTGAATCAGCCACCAGCTACAGCCTCATCAGATTCCACGCCCAAGTCCTGGCCTTGCCGTGTGCCTACACTCTCAGTACTCGGTATACGACGTGCATCTAGGCACCTCTACGAACTCCGTCTCAGGGCTAAAGCAGCAGATCGCCCAATTCTTTCAAGTGTGCTTTTCATTCTCTCTGCAGTGAAAAGCATGTCCAGCTACAAGATTCCTTCAGCTACTGGTATTTTAGGCTGCCTTCCATCAAAGTCATTGTCTGATAGTACTGTACATTTGCTCCCACCGTCTTTGCTTTTGTGTTACATGTCCAACGCCGGCCCTCCCCCTGGATCCGCTTGAACGCTTGAACGAAAAAGAAAGCTAAAAGAACAATCATTGTTGAAGACTGGCAAGCCCTGCACCGGTCAGGCCACACCCCGTCTCGATCGAAAGTAACCATATAAGGCGCGGCCTTAACTCCTTGTACGAATGAGAAATGTCCTCCCCGGCGTATGATGGAGTGGATCATGTGTGTCCAGGATTGGTATATCCAAGATCTTGCCATGAGATACCATCATATCTGGAGTCTTCATCACCAGCTCATTCCGCCAATTTGGCGAAATGCTTGTTCCAGATCCAGCCAATTTCTCTTGTTGGATCGTCTTGATTAATTGCCAACCACAGTTCTCCATGCTCAGCGATAATGTCGAAGATCTCCCCAATCACATATGTGAGGTAGCGGAATCCACCTTGCTGCCGCGATCGGTCGATGTTAAATTCATAGACACTGGCCGCAGTGAACAAAACTCCGGGTTCTCTCCGTGGTTCTGGATTAGTCGGTGCTGTCTCCGGCTCGGGGCTCTCTTCCATAGGCATTGCGGAAGAGAAAACACTGGCCCGACCTGTGGCCGGTAGGTGAGACTGTGACTGAGTTGGTCCTGGAGCTGCCGAGTAGAATGTAGACGACGAAGCATGTCGGACTGCCATGGGAGATTCGGTTAACAATTCACCTAATGATGGAGATGGGGCTTCGAAGCTCAACCGAGGAGCTGCTTGGGCGTTGTCTGCTGAGGGACCTGGACTAGTCCCTGGTCGAGACGCACTTGTACTGTTGACAGTATGAAGAGATGCAGAAACACCTCGACTTCCCGTCTCTGGAGTCTTGGGAATTCGTCCAGATGCAGCTGAGCCGGTCCGGATCCGTCCGTTGGCGAACGTGGATGAACTCCACTCGGTGTGATCGTCACTTTGAGAACTCATTGGACCTCCGCTGTTCCGGTGATAGTGGTCCTTCAAAGGCAACTGGGGTATCTCTTCAGATGTTGACACAGATCGCTTCGTTGCGCTGTTCCATGAGGGCTGACGGGGTGACTCGTCGCCAGTCAATGTCGAGCCAGGAGTTAAGAACGAAATCATGTTCACTGCCTCTGCTAGCAATGATCCATTGCAGATGCTCAGGGACAATGCAGTCGCTTCTTGGAAATCAAAATCTTCCTGCCAGTCTTTGACAATATCAGCTTTGTCCAGCTTGTCCAAGGGTATTTCCATGGCGGCCGAGAACTTTTGCCGGCACAAAGCCAGCCAGCTGAGATGCAATTGAATAAGATTGGCCTGACAAGTATGGACGAGATCGGCTGTTGATTGGAGAAGTCGCTTCATTCTTTCTTTGGCTTCCAGGTTCAGAGCTTCCCATTGTTCCATGCGCTCGGTCATCTTCTTGTCAATCTTTTCACCTCTGTCCTTCTTGTGTTTGAATTGATTGTAATCCAGAAGCCGCTTTTCTCGCTTTTGAATCAGCCCTTTGGAATCTGATCTAAACCTCTCTAGCATTGTTGCTGTCTTTTCCATGGGTTGGACGACACGTCGTGTGACTTGCTCATTGTGGTCGGGGAGCGCAATCGAGTTGACCCCCCGAACGACAATGGCAAATTGTCGAAGTTTGCTCTCGGCCTGTGCGTAGTTCGTGTGGCCAACGTCAACCCATGCCTCAGCAGCAGCTGCTAGCTCGCACAAGCGATTGACCCACTTGGTGATCTCTTCAATATATCCTTGACAATCCTTAGTTACCAAGAATAGATGCGCAATGTTGTTATCATAACTGATCTTGAGCTTGGTATACTCCGGATCTTCGTGTACGCCATTGATGCCCACGTGTTGCCGTAGTTTCTCTGCACGCCGACCAATCGCTTTCGTCAAGCCATTTCGAACATCAGACTCCTTCCGTTTCCGGTTCAGTACCTGATCAACAAGCTCGGTGTGCTTCTTCACTTCGTTGATCCGTACATTGACCTCGGTCACCTCAACTGCTGCTCTTCGGATAAATTCGACGTCAGGGTGAGTATTCGGAGTCGCCTCCAGTAGCTGATTGAGCAAGAGAGGATATTTGGTGATGCGTTGTATTGGCTTGACAAGGAGAGCATCCAAACTCCAGGCATTGGTAATGTCACTTGAATTCTCACTGCATTCTTTAAGCCACTCTCGTACAGCGGCTGATGACTGCAGCGCCTCCAACCTCTTGTTGGCAGCATGTCGGGTTCGAATATAATCGGTATACACCTTCTCCATGTCAACCATTGACGCTTCAAACGCGGTGCCCACTCTTGTAAGTTCGTCTCTATCAAAGTCAGTCAGCTCACCAATGCCGTCAACAGAGACCGCAGAGCTCTGTATTGTGGATGTCCGATTGCCGTCTTTTCGTCGATCAGATCTTTCCATTACGTAAGCTGGCTTGACGACCTGTCTCAAATATGCCAGGAAATCCTTGGAAAACTGTTGTACAAGGTCCACATTGCCGAATATAATCTTGATGTCCTCGTCATTTATGGCGGCGGTTGCAGTTTGTTTATAGATATCGCACAAGACTCTCATATCTCTTTCGTATGTGTATTCGGTGTCTACCAACTCCTTGAGAACATGTCTTCTTTGTTTCAGACGGCGATGCTCGGGATTTTGCTCATCTATAGATGACCTAGTATCATGCGAGCCGGATGGTATCATCTGTTGATCCATACTTGACCTGGTAGACATCTGAGATAATGCAGTAAGTGGTCTAGCCAGTGGAGCTGTTTGTGGCATGACTGGTCTTATGCCAATCGGGGCAGACCAGGACGTTTGGTCAACGGTAGGCAGTTTCGAGACCGGAGGAGGTGGCGGTGAGTGGGATGGGGGGCGTGGAATGTTACTCTCAGCCCCGACCGGTACAAAATCGTCCGTCTGCTGCTCAATTTCGTTTTGTTCATTAGCTTGATAGGTTTCTGTGGTCGACGTCCTGGACCCTGCGTCTGCAAACGCTTCTTGAGCCAAAGTTGATGGTTGTCTTTCTTCTGTCGGTGATTTGAGAGCAAACTGCATCCAATCACCGACCGATGGTGACGTCTCAGCCCAGTCTTCCGCACTGTCCAAGCTGGATTTGTATCTATGATGCGTTCGATAGCTCGATGGTGGTGGCGGTGGAGGCGTGGGAGTCACATGACTTGAAGTGTGAGTTTTTGTAGATTTGGCGGCGTTGTGATACCGCTCTTCAGTTGCGTCATGCTCTGAATACGGTCTTGCTTCAGATTGAAAGGACTTGGTTGATCGCGGGCGTGAAGATTCGAGCTCCCATTGACGGGTATACTCTTCCAGTTCCTCCAAACACAACCGTTGCACTTTCTCCTCATCCGCTTTTTCCACGTCGGCTAGGTCCGGCGAAGTTTGAATGATTCGGTGATAGATATCATCCACGAGTTGCTGATCAACAACCCCCGATGGAGTCTGTTGCTGGAGAACTTTATTCACTATCGTATAGGCGTCACTTGCATGGTGCTCTCTATTCGAGTCATCCTCAACACTTGAGTGACCCGACTCGGACTGTGAATCGGACTCTGCATGTGTACCCTCCGTTTCCTGCTGCAGCACCTGAGGTGACTCAACGACAGAAGCAGGATTGTCAGCTGCTTCAGATTCAGGTAGATCCTCTATTGATGACGTCCACGAGGTTCTTCCGTCGCTCTGCGAGCGTGAATGCTCGGGCTGATCCAGCGACACCAAATGTCGATAACCTTTCTCTACAGCTTCGTCGTCGTCGAGATAGGCAGTCTCGCGAAGCATGAGATGAACAGATACCTGATCGGCGTGATCAGAATTCTCGCCAGATGCTTGAGAAGCGGATGATAAGGGTGAAGTGGAGTCCTGACTTCGAAGCACATTAATTTGGTTGCAAAGTGATTGCCCAGAAGTCTGGAGACGTGATGTGTCCGTTTGCGGCTCAACGTCGATCATGGTGGCGTCGGTCGCCACAGTGTCCTCAGTTACTGCTGATTGAGGCTCTTGCTCGTCACGCACCGGTTGTAGATGGGTGTTCAGGCTGAACGGGATGTTATTGAAGCCAACCTCAGCATGACCAAGTGTGGGCGAGTCCATGTCATCCCCCGGGAGCTGGATATTTCCTTCAACAATCCTCAAGGCCGTTTGGGTGAATGCCCGTTGATCTTGCGGGCTCTCTCCATTGCCGGTGTAAAATGCACGTTCCTCAGAGGTATCGGTGGGAGCCTCATTCACGACGACAGCCGGAATATCGAACGTTTCTTGGCGTTGGTCTGATTCATCGGATTCTTCGAGGGAAGGTGTCATGCTATCTGCCCGGTTGGTTGAATTGGCGCGAGTCTCTGTGCTGCCACCTTTCAAATCCTGTCCTTCTCGTGACCGGCTCAGAGCTTGAGTGATCTTCAATCGGCGAGCCTTCAGATCGATATCACTAAGTTCCGGCGGTTTCTGTCGTCTGAAAGCTTTTCGGTCACTTTGTTGCTTCGCCATCGTCTGGAACTTTTCAGCCATCTTCGCACGGGACGCAGCTGTGGTGGCAGAAGACACGGGGAGTCGGGGTCTCGAGCTTCTGAGTGGTGGGGAGACCTTCGGCGGAGGGGCGATGATATTTGCCCGAAGTGAAGGACTCTTTTCGCCATTTGCTGTGGTAGAAGGGCGCCCACGATTGTTTGGGCTTTTGATTTGCACCGGAGATCGTGGCTGCCGCTTTGAACTGTGCTGTTTTCGTTCTCCTGGTGGAGAAGGATTCGATGCTTTCAGCCCCGACTCTAGAGCCCGGAAAGGGAGCTGCTGGTGTGGGACAATGGCAGGACGACTGGTAGGAGAGATTGCCGCAGAATCTGAAGCCATTCGCTGATGTCTTGTACTTAGTGGTATTCTGGATTGAGCGTTCGACTTCAGTAATGATTCTGCAATGTGTTTGTGGGTGATCTCTTCAGCGGCCGGCGGAGTTTGGTCTTCTCGCAAGAAGGCTTTCGAAGGAGGTCCAGAGACATCACTATTTGCTCGGCGATGTGGAGGTCGGGATTGTGGAAAGCCGTTGAAACCATAATTAGAAGTCTGAGAATGCATAACTGAAGGCGAGATCGGGGGCCCAGACGACTGAGGATGGCCACGTTTTGTCGAAAACATTGGGTTGGGGCTATGCATTGGGGATCCTTCTGATCCTCGTCGCCGACGAGCATTGTAAATGCCGTATCCCGGTGCAGCAGGAAGATTGGTCGCAGAAGAAGGGACCTCACCAAACAGCAAGTGCTGACCAGCTGCGGGGACTTCAGGATTGCTGGCTACTTGACTCAGCCCGTCCGCGAAGGACGGATCTCTAGAGTGAGTAAACTTCTCGTTTGCAGCGGCTCTGAATCCCAACGCGCTCCCCGTCCTCCTTGAAGCGTCCGAGACTCTGGATGGTGGTCGCTTGACTTGTGGGTGATAAGAGTGAGACGTCTCCACCGAGGCATATGGCATGGGGCTTGCGGTTCTCGAAGCAGGTCGCGATACTTGCTGAGTGGGCAAAGGAGGGACGTCGTCAGGCGAAGCATCGAACCGAGCTACCAGATCTTTGAAAGAAGCCTTCCTCGACTTCAAAGAGTTGGGCATTGCTCCAGAAGATCTTGCATGTCCGCCATCGTACGTACCATTGGGCAAGGTCTGGGTATTCAACGATAATTTCCGAGCACCAGTTGAGCCTTTTGCTCCCTTGACCATCCTGTCGTCGGCGGAGAAGCTTGATTTTCGAGCTGTAACAGGCGGCTCTTCCGCACGTTCAATCGGGTCCGTTCGTATCGCTTCTTGATGTAGGGCCACGAGTGATGAGTTCGCGAAGGGGTCTTGATACTGGCGGTAGAAATTGTGCGGGTCATTCTGGATATCCTCATTTGGGACAGTATCTAGCCTCGAGGTCGATCTTGAAGGGTTGGACAGTGATGATGTCCGAGAACGCTGAGTCACAGGCTGTGATAGAGAATAGGCCGTGGAAGGGAGAAAGACCAGTGATCGGTTAGGCGACTGGGCCTGTGAGCCAGGCGTCCTGATCTGATCCGGCAAGTTTGTTTGGGACTGGGAGGATTGACGCCGGTGGTGGGCAGTATAGTAGCGTTTCTGATTCGACACCGCCGAAGGCATGTTGAGATGGCCCAAGTCAGGGAGAAGCCTTCTTTCTTGGACGGTGATGGTGAATGCTACGGCGCAGATGCATGGCCCAGGCCAGACATGATCAGTTTAACAGGACGTTCTCCTTTGTTCTTCTCCCTGCCGGCAAGATGTGTCCCAACTGTTCCTCCTCTTGTACGAAGCCTCATCAACGGACACGAGTCGAGCAAAAGCCCGTCACCCCGGAGTCCAGGGCGGTGGAAACACGAGAATAGCCCCCGTGCTGCCAAACGTTGGCCAAAGACTCTGTGGTCTGGCTCGATGGGAAGAGAACGCTAATAGACTCGGAGACGAGGAGTTGACGAGAAGTCGCTGTAGGTGTTTGCGGTTGTTTCTGGTTCAGTTGCTTGCCGGAAACGGAGTGTGGGTGCGCAGGGACATTTGACGTCGTGGTTGCTGCTCCAACAAGATCTGAGGGATGTGACAACGCAGGTCGATCGCTTAGAGATATGGTCAGAATTGATACAATAGGAAAGTCTACGTTGGAGCGAATGCTGGTGATGTAGAATGGCGCGGTCAGGCTGCGGTCCACGGTCATCGAGAGATATGGTGGTGTCGGTAGGTGGTGGTGGTGGATGTGAATTTGGCAGCTAACATCCGTCCAGCAAGTGCGGCACAGAGTGAGTAGCGGCGTGGGCGGAGGCTAAAGTCCCTCTGCTCACTAGTCGCGGACGGTCCAGAAGAACTAGGCGGGTTCGACGGGCTTAACGGGTATGGGGACTTCAGGTTATAGGGAGCAAGATGCAAGCATTGGTCAGTGGCATAAGTAGGCGAGAGTTTAGCGATAGCAGGCTACGGAGTCCCTGAACATTGTAACTACCTATCTCCATTGTTTTCCAAATGGCCGGACAAGGAAAGCCAGACCAACTGACAACAAAACGAGGCACTCATTCAACCATGCATCACTGGTACATCCACCACAATGCCATTTTGTCTTGTTTCTTCCGAGCACGTCTCTGACCTCCATCAAGTGAGACCTCTACCTGGTATGGTTCTCGGGGTTCATCCTTTTAGGCGTGCCCATCGCTAAACTTCAGTTCTTTCTCGATTCACCATTTTTGCTCTGTACTGACAAAATCCCACTCACTATTCCTATTAGATCGATGGTGACCTTCATCTGCAATCAACAAGTATATTGTTTTCCTTCACAATGTAGAAATAGTAGTGCAATATTGTTGGCTATTTTTCATATTAGCGGCCACTTTATCGTTGTTGAGCTCTCTTTTAACCATATTCCGCGTCAGACTACCTATGCACCTTATTTTCGGGTGTGGCTTGCCCCATTCAGCCGGAGATATTGTCAAACTGTAAAAGAGGAGTACCCAACTACCACCATCACCACCACCACCACCAACACCATCGGCAAGACTTTGTTCAATACGCCCTCAGCGCCCATCTCCCGTGCAACCATTTCCTCGGCAGAAGTCAAACCTACGCCCACTGACGAAGCGCAATCTGCGGCACGGCTTTCTCGTCCTGGCACAAATATCATGCCGTCTTCAACACCCAAGAATCTTACAATCATGGTACGCGTCGGTCTTGGGTAGTTTAGACCCAAGAGACTGCTTGACTGATACACGGTAGCTGCTTTCCGGATCATGTTATTCCGACATATAGATATATGCCTGGTCCTTGTCGCGTCTGATCTGAACGAGAAACACACCAGGCCTCCACACCTCCTACTCACATGTCAATATTTAATTTCCTTGAGGATCGATATTGACTCTTGCAGCGACCAGGGTGATTCTTGTTGCTGAGAAAGTAGGTTGAATTTCCTCGCCGAGAAAGATTGCTCATCCTTGGAAACGCGTCCATTCGTCCATCCACCTCGGTTCTCTGCGACAGTCGCGTCTTACCTATGTAACCAGTCGCGCTCATGGCGAGAAAACGAAAATCTGCCGACACGGCGTCCAATCGTCCTGCAAAGCAACAGAAACCGGCCAATCATGACTCCGGCCGCCAGCAGGATCTTTTGTCCTCCGTCCACCATGCTGTGCTGTCATCCTACTATCCAAGAGTTTGCACGCTGAGAAGTTACCTTCTGGCAGCCTTGCCTGTCACGTCTCGTGTTCGAAGACAAAAACTGTCAGTGTTTGGAAAGGGCAATGCCACTGCCTTTCTTGACACCTGCCTGGTTGGCGTTCTCAAAGGCACTTCGGCTTCTGTCAAGGAATCGCGAAAAATCGACTTTGCTACCTTCACTCAGAGCCAATCCCGTGCAACTGGCGCTTGCACAGGCCGAGCGCAGCCTTTTTGCATAGACGAGGTAGGACACACGCTAGATCGGTGATTATTTGTCAACCATATCCTGATTGATTGTTCCAGATAGTCGACTTCGTCATTTGGTCGCTCTTCAAAGATAACTTTGCGCAAAGGGTTCGACCTCACCACATTCTTTGCCATGGTCTCCAAAGAGGCAGACCTCCGGATCATGAGTATCAGCGTGGGGAATCGGCAACTTTTTTGCCTGGAATTGTCCGAAAACATCCTAACGAGAATCTAATGGCTTTGAAATCCTCCCCTTGGTCTGATATCATATCTTTGTTGGGGGTAGATGGTGAGGTGATTTTCTCAAGTTTGCTCCTAGATTGTGGCCTCTTCATACGGATAGAGAGTGGGACGGACAACTATTTCCAATTGAGCGGCATTCCAATCTCCGAGCTGCCTCGGATTCAAACCGCTCGTCCAAGGGAAGCTGTTTTGCCAAATAGACGAGATACCCAAAGCTTGAATCTCGGGAACATACGTTTCGTGAGAAACCGCATATTATATGCTAGACCGTTGTCTAACGCCGTCGGCAAGGTCAAGTTCGGACTTCACCATACTCATATTCTGCAAAGATTGCCGGATGCAAGGCAACAGCATCTAGCGGTCCATCTTTTGAAGTACGTCTTCCCACGTCAATTCAATCTACACAATGCTTTCACCTCACTGGTTCATTCAAGCGAGACGGCACATCAGTTCAAGGACTACACAGTCCGCGAACAGGAAATCATCAGGCTGAGAAAGAAATCCTTGACGTGGGCTCCGCGTCGCCTTCGTGGCCAGCCCATGCAGCTTGTGCAGAAGATTCATCAGAATCACAGATCATGCTCCTACAGCCAGCTTCTGAGACATTACTGCCCTCTTGGTTCTACGGGTTGCGAAGATTGTGCTGTTCAGAGCGACGAAACACCTTCGTTTATGCGGGGCTTGGAACTGTTCGCCACACAGATCGTACCATCTGAGGGGCCTCAAACGGATGCGGACTTGGTTTCCAACGGCAATGATGGTGATTCTTCATTCCTGCAACATTCAACTCCTGTGGCTAGAGTATCGGCATTTTGTCGCTCTGTCATCTCCCATCTGCTCCCACGCCACGCATTTGGGAGCGGTCTAGAAGGTGAAGTGAATCATGGCGTGATGATGAAGAAAATCGATGAATTTATTCGAATGCGCCGATTCGAGAGCATGAGCTTGCATCAAGCTGTCCAAGGAATCCACATAACATCGATTGCATGGCTTTCGAGACCGAAAAGCCTCCATAGGAAAATGTCCAGGTCCGAATTCACAAAGCGGCTCGAGATCTTTCACGAGTTTATCTACTATCTTTTCGACTCTTTGCTCATACCGGTCATTCGAGCGCACTTTTACGTTACCGAGAGTTCTACTCACCGCCATCGGTTATTCTACTTTCGGCAGGATATATGGCGCAAACTCTCTGAGCCTAGCCTTGCAACGTTGAAGTTGACCATGTATGCTCCCATCAGACCCGGCGAAGCTCGGCTCAAGCTACGATCTCGTGCCTTGGGATACAGCCACCTTCGACTCCTGCCTAAAGACCAAGGTGTCAGACCCATTACGAATTTAAGGCGGAGGCAACCGAAGCTGGATTCTGGGAAAAGACTCCTAGGAGACAGTATCAACACCCTGCTTGCTCCTGTCTTCAGTGTGCTCAACTTTGAACGAGGACGCAATTCTGCGCCATTAGGCTCTGCCTTATTATCAGTTGGCGATATTCATGAAAAGGTGGCAGAATTCAAGAAGGCAGTTCGCTTGGGAGCTCGCCTTTTTTTTGCCAAGGTGGATATCAAATCGTGCTTCGACACCATCCCACAAGAGCCTCTGCTGCAAATGGTCAACTCCCTGTTTATGGAAACATCGTACCGGACAACAAAGCATCTTGAAGTCAAATCGAGGGATACTAGACAGCAAATGGGTCAAGAAGGTCTAACGCGCCGATTCGCTAGTATAGCCCGCCCAGCTGATAATCGCGCTGTGCTCTCGGAAAATTCAGTTTCCAATATAGCATCCAAGAAGGGTCATGTCGTGTTTGCGGACACCGGGAATAACAGAGTATGGAGTCGAGAGTCGTTGCTGAGACTTCTTCGAATTCACGTGGGAGACAGCATGGTCAAGATCGGCAAAAAGTACATGAAGCAGATTGACGGCATCCCTCAAGGTTCAGTTCTCAGCGGTCTTCTGTGCAGCTACTTTTACGGAGCGTTCGAGCAGAATGAATTAGGCTTTTTGGCGCCGGAGTCGTGCTTGCTATTGCGGCTCATTGACGATTTCTTGTTGGTCACGACAGATGACAAGCTTGCTCGACGATTTCTGGAAGTCATGGCCAGTGGTGGCCAGGACTACGGGATCCAGGTCAACGCCGAAAAGTCGCTGGTCAACTTCGATGTGACCATTAACGGTCAGAAAGCGCCACGAGTACACGGCAGTACCTTCTTCCCATACTGTGGAATTGGCATCAATATGGAGACCTTGGAGTTGAAAAAGGACAGAGCGAAGAAGGATGCATTTGTCAGCAATGCTCTAACCGTGGAGAGCTGTTCGAGACCAGGAATGACCTTCAGAAGGAAAATATTGACGTCTCTCAAGCTGCAGATGCATTCGATGTTGCTGGACATGTCGCTGAACAGCCGGAGCCAAGTCGTCTCGACATTGCTTGGGAACTTCACCGAATCAGCAATGAAGATGCACCAATATGTAACAGGATTGGCAGCAAGAAGACCACCATCGCAGAAGTTACTTCGAAGCCTGATTGAAGATCTTGTGTCGGCAGGAAACAAGATCTGCTGTGTGAAGAATGGCGACAATCCGCAGGTCAAGCAAATCAGCCGGAGGCAAATGTGCTGGATTGCAGCGGCGGCATTTGAAAGGGTTCTTCAGTGCAAACAGAGCCAGTACAAGGATCTGCTCATTTGGCTGAGGTCCTTGCGAGAAAGCACACAGGCCAGGATGAACATGGAACAGGCGGCCATTGCACGACTTCTCCAAGAAAACGAGAGCGCGTTTCGCAATTATGTTTTTTGAGACGTCAACCGCGAGTTGCGCGGAGGATGAACACATACCGAATACGAAGTAGATACGGAGTTCATAGGCAATGGGATGGGGCTACGCTGCCATGGCCCATGGCGACGGCAAATGGAATGCTTGGGGCAGTCTGGATTCTGGATTGCGAGTGGCATCTCGATGACCCAGCACTAAACTCGTCGAGCTGCTCTTGCCAGCGCCAGCCACCTCGCATTTACACAACGACTCACCCACCTGCCGTAGTCAACAACAGTGAACACTATTCATTGTCCAGTATTTCATTCATCTTTCTTTCTACCCAGCTCACTACCTTCTGTACTCCGACCGGCTGTCGTCACACCCCGCGGCCTATCCTCTCGCTCAATCTCGTCTAACGACGCCACGAGTTACATACCTGCAATAGGATAACCCCAGACACGGCCACGCCTGGCAGATCAGATTCAGATCTCAGACACCCGCATTGATTGTCGTGAAACAGCCACACTGCCTCAGAATCCGATCCACCCTCCGATTTGCCCGATCCTGCGACAGCCGCATGTCGCTGCGCTACCTTGCCAAAAGCCACGAGTCTCAGCGTGACGCCTGTCCAACCTGCGACGCATCTCCTGGGGCATGAAACATACCTTCAAACCGCATCTCGACGACTGGCATTTCGAAAACATATATTCTCGACGTCCCGGACCGCACGGCTAGAGATCATCTCGATTGCATCAGGATTTCCTGACGAGCACCACAGGCACCCACAGGAGCGACGGACGCTCCAACCAGCAGTGGACCATGACGGACACTTGATTTATCCCTGGAACCTCCCCAATCGATGCCTGCCAACCCACGACAAAATCCTGCCAGCCACCCTTGCCTTTCACCAACTTTCCCACTCTTAGTGGCGGTCGCAGTATCGGTGCTACAGTTCTCCGGCAAGGCCGCCCCCCGGTCGGACTTCTTGCCAGCCAGTCAATTCAGATGGAGGAGCCCCTAACTCGGCCAGCTCTACCCCATGTCTGGCATAGTCTCCTAGCTGGAGCCCTGCCACCGGCATGCCCATCCTCCACAATGTCAGCACCTTGCGCAATTCCACCAATCGCCCCAACACCCTTACCAGGGGCTGGGCCAAAAGCACCATTGGCAGATATTCCAGTTGGTCGCGATCAAGCTTCGACTCTCGAGTTGGCAGACCTTGGAATTGTCGAACTCGACCGTGAGTATGGCCTCTGGTATGCACCGACACTCGTTTCTTCAAAACCAGCACAGCATCGACATGCAGACATCATAACATTGTTTGAGCGAGAACACCTCGTCATCGACACCTCTCGTTCCTCGGAAATTAGCTTCGCCCCGCTAACTGCACAACTCCTCGAGACCTATTCACGAAACGCCCACAGTTGCTACCACCTCCATGATCTCTCTTTAAAGTCAGTGCAAGGCTCAGACCTTGAAATCCGCTCGCTTACTGCCTTATCGAACACACATAATATCCTTGGTGCGATGTCGACGACCGTTACCAGTGCTCCGGGTTCACCTCCCGACCTGTCGGGCTCTCGATCCTCAAAATCCTCCTCCTATTCCTCGACCTTTTCGAGTCCGGATGGCTTGGAGGCAGACATAATCAACTTTGAAGAGATTGGTTTGGAAGATGATAAAAATGCAACGCCGAGATTTTGTCACTCGCGCGACGTCTCAATGCAGTCGGTGGGCTCTCAACACGAGCTGATGAAGACGGAAGACTCTGGTCTCGGGGGGAAGAGGCCAACGCTCCCACAAATACAGACTCAAATTTCGGTATCAGTATCTAGTCACGACTCGGCACCACCAAGAGTGGCTGGCTCGAGACTGGCGACGTTCAAGCGTGGATTCACTAGCCCAGAGACGTTTTATGACTCCAGCAGCATGAGAACTAGGTCTTCTTCCCCTCCAAACCGAAGAAATCCAGCATCCTTCTCAACCCACTCGCTCAGTGCTGGCAGTCTTCAGCCTATCCCTCAGTCACCAGCAAATGCTTTGGGACTGCAAGCTAGGCGTGCCTCATGGCAGCCCCACAGAAAAACGGTCAAAGAATTGGAGGCAGAATACCATGACTCTGACGATGAGCTCCCTGAGGATGCGAGCTTGTGGAACGTCCCTGTTTCCCCTCATGCAGCAGGACAAAGGTCACACCGTTCCAGCTTTCGCGGAAGCCCGGAAAGGTATCAACCAACTCCAAGCCCGCGCCCGATACCTCTAGAACACGCAAAAACAGCCCCGGAAGTACCTCCACGACCAGGACGCCATTCACAAAGCCTACCAAAGACTAGACTCCCTCCAAGATCCGTCTCGCTCACCCCTACGACGTCAAATCCCTCGTCCCCCCACAAAGCTGACCACAGTCTTAGCGGCAGAACAAAATCGTGGAACCTTGCAATGGCCGATCTGAGTGAGGAAGCAAGGATCATATCAGAGGCGTTGGAGTATCATGCTGAGGTAAAGGAACAAGAACGACTTGAAAGAGTCCGTGGTGGATCATCACGAGACAGCCTTGAATCCTCAATGGATCGCGGGTCGAGATCGTCGTCCATTCAGCTTCCTCCAATTCAAAAGAGCACGTTGGATTTCATGCCGATCTCCAAGGAAAAAGAGGCCACCCTCTCACGGACGAGACCATCGTGGTTACCACCGAAAGATCCGAAAGAGGAAAGGCGGCATTTGAAAGAGTACCAACGGATGATGGCCGCCTCAATTGAAGCCGACAAGAAGCGTCGCACAAAGCTGCAGGTTCAGCAATGCGAAAAGGATGACACTAGAGAGTCCTTGAATCGGATCTGGCATTATTATGTTGACGAGACTACGGATATCACGACCATTGACAAACGCGTCAATAATCTTTGCTGGCGCGGCGTCAGTCCGAATCTTCGCGGGAAAGTTTGGCAAAAAGCGGTGGGAAATCCTCTGGGACTTACTGTTCAGAGCTACGAGAGAGCTTTGCAACGAGCAAAAGAAATCAAGAAGCGGACCGGCGATCAGCTTGGCCGAGATGAAAAGAGCATGGAGCGATGGTTTGTCGATATCGAACGAGATGCCGAAACGGCTTTCCCTGAGCTCAACCTATTTCAGCGGCAGGCACCACTGTGGCAGGATCTCATAGACGTTTGCGAAGCGTACGCATGTTACCGCAGTGACGTGGGGTACATCTATGGGATCCAACTTATCGCCGCGTTACTTTTATTGCAACTATCGACCCCAGTAGACGCCTTTATCCTTTTAGCCAATTGTCTCAACAGGGGTGTGCCGTTGGCATTCCAAACCGATGATACGACTACTACAAATCGCACTTATAATCACGCTGTGTCGATCTTGGGTATCAAATTCCCGCGTCTATATGAATATCTCTTTGGGTCACTGGAACAGGGTTGCCTTGGTTTCCGCGGAGAGGAGGTTTTCGAACCAATGCTCCGGACAATCTTTTCCAATGGACTAGATGTCGACCGTCTGTGTCGCGTCTGGGACATATGGATCTTTGAGGGTGACCGGACCTTGGTCAACGCGGCGGTGGCTATCTTGGGCAGTCTCCAACAACAACTCTTCGACGTACAAGGTGATGCTGATCTGAAAAAACGAAACATTCAGGAAATGTTGGGATGGGGTCCCTTCAACCGTTTACCTCAGTCAGGACATTGGAATCTCCAGTCCGTTGGTGACGAAGACAAATTTGTGGAAGAAGTGCGGCTTGCAGGAATGCTCGACTATACCGGCAAATAAATATTAATGACGACAGTGTACACAAGTTTGTACAGATGAACATTCACAAGCATCTTTTGACAGCAAGAAGCGCTTTGGCTGTTCGGTATTTCTTTTTAATCAATTACGGCCTGACCATGACGATTTCTCAACGGAGGGTGGAAGAATTTCTGGACACATTGGTATCTTTGGATTGACACTGCTGTTGCTGTTGGCTCTGATCGGTTAGGTGGAGAATATCGCACCGGCCTTTGATGACCGCGGACATTACGAGCAATACGTATTCACCCTCTGCTGATTCGTCTTGTTCATTTGGAATGAATTTGTCAACTGGCACTCCTTTTGAAACGCCATTCTGGCCGCCACTCCGTTTCACCTTTTTAGTACTCTTGGGGAGAGAAGCCAGCCTCGTTCCCTGGCAAAGGAGCAATGTGTCCCATGTCCGGCAAGCAGACGAGCTGAATAGAGTGCTGCAATCATGAGTCCAATCTATCTCTTCTTATATCTGGCCCGAGTCCACTTTAAGCATTTTCTGAGCTCTAATATATTGCCCTTCAGATATGGCTTTCCATAAGGCAGAAGTCTCCAACACCGTCCCATTCCTTCTTGCACCCTCTGCAGCCCATGTAGCGTAGACAATTGACCGTTTCTACCGCGCGAGCCGCACCCCATCTAAAGCCTGGCCTTCAAGCTTCTCACCCAGGTCTCGCTATATTCCGAGTCGTCATGCCCTGTAACCAATCGATCTGGAATCTCCACTTCCAAGAGCTTCGTATTCACATAGGAGGAATTCAATTGATCGAGGGACGTCACACCCATGCAGCGCATGGTTGTCTCGATCTCTTCGGACAATACTGTGTAGAAAGTGGACGGTCAGCCTTAAATCGTTTGTCTTTCGAATTATGGCCTCGGGTATGCGTCGTCAACAATGAGGAGGGGGGAAGGGGGGTTTGGTAAACACACACGAAAAGTGCCCCCTCTTTCTTTGAGAGAATGAAAAGGGTCAGAAACTTACACTGAATGACCTTGGCCACGCCCTCATCCCCCATGGCGACAGAATACATAAACGGTCGCCCTAGGGCGACGCCCCTGGCCCCGAGACACAAGGCTTTGATCACATCCGCACCCCTCTTGACTCCACCGTCCAAGTACACCTCGGTCTTCTTCATCAACTCGGGGTAAAACTTCCTGATCTCGAGCAGAGTGCGGATGGACGATGGCGCGTCATCGCACTGTCGGCCGCCGTGATTGCTCAGATAGATGGCATCGACGCCGTATTCGACCGCGAGCGCGGCGTCTTCCGCTGTTTGAATGCCCTTGATCCCAATCGGCCCGGCATCAGCCCTGCCCTTGCACCACGCCTCGCGGATCCAGGGCAAATCATCCCAGTTCAACGTCGAGGAATGATGGCCCCGGAGTGGAGGGCTGTTTTCGTCGTCTTCGTTGGCCGGCTTGTACCATTCCGTTAAGACGGAATTATCGCCGCTCGCGGTCGCCAGCTCGGCGCGGTAGCGTTCGTCCTCCTCGCGCTTGCCAACCACAGGCGTGTCAACCGTAATGAGCAACGCCTTGTAACCCAGATCACGCGCCATGGCGATTAACTCGAGCGTGCGGCTCTTCTCGTGCGCGACGTACAGCTGGAACCACAGGGTGCCGCCGTCCTCGGGCGAAAAGTTGCGAAACCGCACCTTCTTCTTTTCCTCGGTCAAGCACTGCATCAGTTCGTCGTGGGGTACGGTCGAATACGTGCTCGGGCAGTACGGGATCCCCCGTCTCGCCGCACCCCTCGCCAGACACAACTCGCCGTCCTCGTGCACCAACCTCGCCCGGGCGGCTGGGGCGATGAAGAAGGGCAGCCGAAATTTGGTCCCCAGCATGACCCGGGTCATGTCGACCCGCCGGACATTGCGCATTACTCGCGGGCGCAGGGTGACTTTCTTCCAGTCTTGCCGGTTGTTCGTCAGAGACCCGAGGCTGTCGGCTGCGGAGCTGAAGTAGACGTAGGCGCTGTGAGGGATGATGCGCGTGGCGGCCTTTTCGACGTCGTCCAGGTTCATGCAGTGGGCGAGTGGGACTTTGGCCGCCTTGTCGAGATCCCGAGTGACTTGAGGTGAAGACGGACTCGATACCGTGGCTGGATCTACAGAGCCCAAGTGCTTGTCTTTGGGTAGATTGCGTTCGATTGTGCCCGGGGGATGGATGGGTTCGTACATGGCCGTGGCATCCTTCCCGCCATACTGCAACAGTATCTGTGGGCCGCCGGGGTGTTTCTGTAGGTAGTCGGTGACATCGTAGACTTTGCCCGAGACGATGACCCAGCACGACTCTCGTGAAGCGTGCTGGGCGACTTCGTTGACGTTGAGCATTTTGGACATGGCTTGCTGCGCTGCGGGTTTTGCACAAGGACACACGGACACACGGACACACGGACACACGGACACACGGCAGCACACGCAGAACCTGACCTGATGATTGACAAAACTTCAGAAGATAGAGTGATATGATTTCGCAAATCAGGGAAAGATACACGGGTTTATCAAGTCGCCAGTCGCCTTGCACGCACCAGGGGCGGTCGGATATGGGCGCCGGAGAAAATCCCGGCTGGGGCTATTCGTGGGCTGGTGAGGCTGTTCTTGGGCTGTTTGGCCCTTGGGCTAGTTAGGCTGGATGCTTGACGGCTCTGGCGCTCCAGACCGAGGCATGGTGAGCCTGGCAATCCAAAAGCTTCGCCCCTTCCCCGCATCGAGCAACGAAGAGAATGCCGTACTGGGTAGATATTGTGTTACACTGGATACCAGTGCTCGAGGCTGAAGGGGGGGGGGGGAAGGGGGCCACCACCAGAAGGGTAGAAGTTGATCTGTCTCCCATTCGCTGTCCACTCGATCACTTTTCATCTACGAATCATCGTATGGTCCAGTGTCCTATCGTAGATGAAAGTCCAAGAGTGTTACATACATGGCGCCGTCACCCTACATGCTCCTTACACCTGTCAAAAAGTCCAGCACGACATGCCCAACCACTTCACTTTCTAAACTATACAGAGAGCCTCCGTCGCTCTCTGAGGTAGACAAGAACAACCTTCAACCTCTCATTCTCTGATAACACCAAGGTGAAGCCTTGGCTGGGCACACCTTGTCTCTTCTGGCCCTTGATATCACCGCCATACCTGTATCCTTCAAGGAAGATCGGAAAGTTGTGGCATTGAAGGAGGAGTGTGGAAGAAATGCTTGGATGACGCTCATTCCAATCTCTCCTGCTACTGCTTGACTTCACCTTTTGTTGTGGTGTTGAAAAGGCTGTTACCGTATGTTATCGGACACACCCGCTTACCAAGTCCACTACAGTCTACAACCAGCAAGTGGCCTCCTTCGCAGCCTCACGCTTTGGAGAAGTTGCAACTTGCAAGAAGAACTACAACTTTCGTTAGGAGACATACCGATGCTGTATGCGGCATCGGTTTGACTTGACAGTTTGGACGTCCTTGAGATCGAGCGCATTCGTTGGACTTTGAAAAACGCACCATCCAGAAAGGCGCAAAATCTTCCTGGGTGGCCGAGCATATCGAAGGAGCGGCACCGATTTCGGGCCTGGCCGCACAAAGGGATGAGCACCTACTGGCACGGCGTCCGCCAGACTGATTTGACGACGGTCAACCCCTCCCTTCCTTCGTATCTTGATCTTAATCTCATTCAAATGTTGACTTGCAGAGACAAAGTTCCCCCTTTTTCGAGACATGCATCCAAGGGAGCTTAGGTGACTGAGCCACTTAGCCAGCAAAGCGAGAGCTCCGTATCCGTTGCATCCTCTCGCGCCAGTTGAATTATGGAAGCGCCACACGGTTGGCTGAGCAGGTTCGACGCGCTCCTGCGCTCACCCAAGCGAGTCTTGAGATTTGGCTTTGAAGTTGCCGGGCTTGTTCTGATGGCATATCTCGTGCTTGCGGTAAGTCTGATTCTGTCGATTTTGGGACGTGTGGTTCCTAGTCACCCGAACTCATGCCATTGGCTTTGATGTCGGTGGGAAATCCATTGAGGGGGAATTTTGTGTTCCGCACAATTCCTGGAGGGGTGATTCCGACGTTGTTCAATAACCGCTAGACGAGCACGGAGATTCACTACAGAATGATTCAACCCATCCTGGGGCTGCGGCAACTGTAGGTGGCTTCGGAGAATCTATTCTTGGTTTACCTCGGTGGTTTGCCCGGGTTGGTAACAATTCAAGCCTTGCTGGCAAAGCACTGGCGACTGGCTGGGGCCACCGTGATGCCGGTTTCTCAGCGGGGTTTTGTTATCTTTGCCACCACTGTGTTCCAGCCGCGTTCTAAGCCAGACAGGGGAGGTGTATTCGCGTCAATTGACCGGCAAGCCTTCTTGGTCTATTGGATCATCTTGATTGATTTACACCCTGGCAATTCCGTGGACCATGCCCGGTCTGGGCAGCAAACTCCCCTGGTTACCGTCAGCTCTGGCATTCCAAGTCCTCTACTTACGCGACAGCCATGTCTTTCGAACCTCGGCCCTTACGCCGCTCAGCATGGTGGAAAGTCGGTGGCAAATGGTATATCGTCTTCTCCTCGAGGAGAGAAACATGCCTTTGGTCTGTTCCTTTCGCCGGACAGCTCTCGCATTCGCCTGAGAATCGATGAGGCATACGTAGACGACAATGGCGAGGGACTGATAGGGCCGCTGACGCTAGCTCAAAGGAGGAGAAACTCGAGCTGATGCGCCCATACCGCCTCCAGAACGCATTGGGCGTCGACACCCTGGTGCCCTCTTGGTGTCTTGTATGCCGTTCTTGAGTTCTGATTATGAAAAGGAGATGGCAGAGGAATTCTAGGAATCTACAGCTGCAAGGAAGAGGACCATGTCGACCATCAACTCTATGAAGCGACGTTCCTGAGAAAGAGAAGGAAGGTTGGTCTTGAAGTGAGCCGATCAAGAAACTATTCTCCGCACTCATGAAAACGAATGGTTAATAATAATGATTGGAAGTAATAAAAAGCAGACATCACACCCAATATATCTCACCGCTAACCGCTTTTGAGATGATGTTGGCTCCGCGCAAGGTTGAGACAATAGCCGCACCGACCGTCGGTCTCGAACGTCGGGCTTGCCATACAAATTAATGAGGGTGTAACCATGTGCGTTCAATGATTGCCAGATCTCGTCCTGCGCCGCTTAATTACTTAGATTATCGCGTCTGCACTAATTCTACAGGGAAAGAAGAAATAATGATGGTGAAGGTGAAGGAGATGGTGAAGGTGAAGGAGATGGTGAAGGTGAAGGAGATGGTGAAGGTGAAGGAGA